TCTCTTGTGAATCCCCACAAATTGCATCATCTGCTGTCACCTTTCACCAAACTAGGAAATGGCTGAAAGTCTATGTGTATCGGTCAATGCTTGTGCTTCCATAAATTTCAATGGAACATGTGTATATAGCCCAGAGATATATGAGAGAAGTAGACCAGCTGTCAGATTTTTACATAAGGTGCAGAGCCCATGGCAGCCCTGGAATAGACACCACACAATGGAAGCTATTTGTGCAAGGTAAGTTTGCATGTGATTTGGTCATATTTTTGTTTCTTACGAATCAGGTAAATGTAGTAGACTAAGAATTCAGCAGGGTTTGTACTGACTAAAGATGCTGAATGGTTAGAATTAAGAACAACACTATACTTACCTTATTTACATCACAACAGAGATCTCTGAACTAAGTATTTGAGCTCATTATCACAATCCTAAAGTGATTAATGCAGCTATGAGCCTTGGATATTGAAATATTGAAACTAAAATTGTACACAATGGACAGCATTTAAAGGGACACTGTAGACACCTAGACCACTTCAGGTCATTGAAGTGGTCTGGGTGCTGTCTCCCTATTGCACTTAGTGCTGCAATGTAAAACATTGGTTTACATTGCAGCTCTAAGTCAGCCCTCAGTCCAAATGGACTTTTGGTCCATTATCTGATGCTGGACGTCCTTACGGACCTCCAGCGTAAGATTTTCCCCACAGGAAAGCATTGAATAATACTTTCCTATGGGGAGGTCTAATGCGCGCGGCTGCGCGTGCTGGCTGATGTCGGCGGGGGAGGAGTGTGGGCAGAGCCTGACCCAGCACCGAGGGACATCGGTGCTGAATTCAGGTAAGTGGCTGAAGAGGTTTTAACCCCTTCACAAGGGAGGGAGGCACTGTAGGGACCTATAGTGCCAGGAAAACAGGTTTGTTTTCCTGGCACTATAGGATCCCTTTAAGGATGAAGACAGACAGGCTTAACAACCAACTTTTAAATAATTAGGTGACAGCCTAATATTTACCTACTTATTTTCTCTACATTATCCAAACATTTTCAATATTGACTTTAATTATGTAAAGCTGTCACAGGTAACTCAATAATCTGCATACTATAACCAACACAGTTTATGAACTCAGTCGGTCTAAAAGGGTTATTTATGAAACGTCAAATTGTAGAGAGTTAAATCAGGTCGCGTGCGGACGTGTGGAGAAGGTAAGTTTGCTACAATCCTATGGGTTTTATACAAAAATGCAAACAAAAAGCTCAAACAAAAAAACAATGCTTCATCATTTAATGTATTTTATTGGACATTTTATTAATGCCACAATTTAGTTTTAGTCTTAATCAAAAAGAAAAAAAATTCTCTACCTTTTGTCTGTCTTTGTTTTTGCCGCAACCACATTTACTGTTGGAGCATTAAACCTTTTCTGCCGCTGGCAGGGCCGTCTTTAACGCGGGGCAAACGGGGCAGCTGCCCCGGGCCCTGTCCCTGCTGGGGGGCCCGAGGTAACTGCCCTGTTTGCCCTCTGCCCGCAAACTATGGGGGCCCATCGGGTGGCCCATGCACTTAGGGCCACCCGGTGGGACTGTGTCAGCAGGGGCCCGGTCGGGCGCTGTGGCGCTTTAACAGCGCGACCGGGTCCTTGCTTTTCGGCAGCACTGGGAGGAAGTGACAGCCGTGCGTCACTTCCTCCCACAGAAACTGGAGCCGCGCGGGAGGAAGGCGGACCAGCTGTTCCGGAGGGGGCCAGGCCGGGAGAGCTTAACTCCCAGCCACCCCAGCCAGCCCACTGGACCCCAGGGAAGCCACCCTCCAGGACAAGGTAAGAAACTGGAGGGTGGTTATCAAAGTCTGTCATTGTGTATCTGTATGTCTGGATGTGTGTTTGTCTGTCAGTGTCTGTGTGGTTCAGTATGTCTGTATGTGTGTATGTCTGTCAGTGTGTCAGTATGTCTGTGTGTGAGTCTGTCAGTGTCTGTGGTTCAGTGTGTATGTGTGTTTCAGTATGGCTGTCTGTGTATGTCAAAATGTCTGGATGTGTGTTTGTCTGTCAGTGTCTGTGGGTATGTGTGTTTCAGCATGTCTGTCTGTCTGTATGTGTGTTTCAGCATGTCTGTCTGTCTGTCTGTGTGCCAGAATGTCTGTCTGTCTGTGTGCCAGAATGTCTGTCTGTGTGCCAGTATGTCTGTCTGTGTGCCAGTATGTCTGTCAGTGTGCCAGTATGTCTGTCAGTATGTCTGTGTGTGAGTCTGTCAGTGTCTGTGGTTCAGTGTGTATGTGTGTTTCAGTATGGCTGTCTGTGTATGTCAAAATGTCTGGATGTGTGTTTGTCTGTCAGTGTCTGTGTGTATGTGTGTTTCAGCATGTCTGTCTGTCTGTCTGTGTGTATGTGTGTTTCAGCATGTCTGTCTGTCTCTGTGTATGTGTGTTTCAGCATGTCTGTCTGTATGTGTGTATGTGTGTTTCAGCATGTCTGTCTGTCTGTGTGCCAGAATGTCTGTCTGTGTGCCAGAATGTCTGTCTGTGTGCCAGAGTGTCTGTGTGAGTCTGTCAGTGTCTGTGTGTTTCAGTATGGCTGTCTGTGAGTTTCAAAATATCTGTATGTGTGTATATCTGTCAGTGTCTGTGTCTGTGTGTTTCAGTCTGTCTGTGTGTGTGTGCCAGAATGTGTGTATGTCTGTCAGTATGTCTATGTGTGAGTCTGTCAGTGTGGTTCTCTATGTCTGTGTTTGTCAATATGTCTGTCAATGTCTGTGTGTATGTGTGTTTCAGTATGTCCGTCTGTCTGTGTGTATATGTGCCAGTACGTCTGTCAGTGTATCTGTATGTCTGTGTGTGTGAGAGTCCATCAGTGTCTGTGTGGTTCAGTATGTCTTTGTGTATGTGTGTTTCATTATGGTTTTCTGTGTGTGAGTCTGTGTGAGTCTGTGTCAGTACGTCTGTCAGAATGTGTCTCTGTATCTGTATGTTGTCCATTTGTATTTGTGTGTGTATCTGTATGTGTCAGTGTTTGTATCTGTATATCTGCATGTGTGTATCTGTGTGTCTGTCTGTCAGTGTGTGTGTCGGTGTATCTATAAGTAGTCAGTGTGTGTACCTTTGTATCTGCATGTATATCAGTGCTTGTATCTGTGTGTGTGTCAGTGTATCTATATGTAGTCTGTGTGTATCTGTATGTTCTTGTGTGTTTCTATATGTGGTCAGTGTGTATCTGCATGTGTGTCAGGTAGTGTATTTGTGTGTATCTAGACGTAGTCAGGGGGCCCAAGTAAATGCTCGCCCAGGGTCCAATATAAATTAAAGACGGCCCTGGCCGCTGGCTGCCATGCAGTTACAAGATACAGAAATTGAGACCTTTTTCGTGAATTATGCCACTAATTTCTGGATGAGATTTTCCTTTGGCTGTAACCAGTTTCTGGAGGATACACTGGAAAATGACACTTCCTTGGAAAGTGTGTTTCCATGTAAAAATAGTGGCATCAAGGGAGTTAGTTGAACTTCTGATCTATGCAATTTACTGGAATTTCGTTAGCCCATAACATTTATTTATTTATTTTTAATTCTTTATTTTTCAAGTGTGGCATATCAAGTTACAGTAACGGGAGATAAGGCATTCAGCAAATATAGTATACATTGAAAGCATTATGGTACAGAGTTTCTATTGGTTTATCCGTGTATGAAGCACTTGCACAGCAGTCGTACCGCATGATAACATTTTTCATCAGAGCGGGCAGGTCCAGTGTGTATGCACCTCTCTTGTACTTGAGAGTGGTAGGTGCACTGCTTCACCTGGAAATAAAACCTCTTTCATGTGACATTTTCAAAAGGTACGCCACACCTGACCTCGCAACTTCTGAGGTGTTGCCGAGTCACTTTATCACCTTATATATACACATGAATCCCCTCCAGCTTTAAAAACAAAACAAAAACAAAAACAGAGTAGGAATAGAAGTAGGATGGGGGCAGGGGGGGAAGAAGAGGGGGGGTCCAGAGGGAGGGGGTGGAAAGGAGGGGCGGTTGTCCCCAGCCGGGGCGTTAAAAACATCCAGCTCCGTCTCGGTCCATCTCTCAGCAGTTAGCGAATGCTTCCCATGTTTTGGTGAAAAGTGTGTATGTGTTTCACACTTGTGCCATGAGTTTGTCCATTAGTTGTATTTCTTTAATGTTGGTTATAACCCTGTCCATCAGTGGCGTGTTTAAGTTTAGCCATGTCTGTGCCATGGCTCTCCTGGCCTCTAGGTTAATTTTGTTTACCAATTTTTGTTCGTTTGTTTGTTCGTCCAGTGGTTTAGCAATGAGGAATGTCCATGGGTCAGTTTTGATTGGTCTATGTAGAACCTCCGTTAGGAGTTGTGCTACCATGTTCCAGGATCTCACTGCCTTCGGGCATGTCCACCACACGTGGAGGTATGTTCCTTTCTCCCCACATCCCCTCCAGTACGTGTCTGTGGTTGTTTTATCCATTTTATATTGTTTGACTGGTGTACCATCTCATGAGTGTTTTGTAACATTGTTCCTGATGTAGTACGCATATGTATACCTTTGCAGCTGCTTCCCAAATATCTTGCCATTCCTCGCTCCCTAATGTTTCATGTAGGTCTGATTCCCATTGGGTGACCTATGTGAGTGTTTTGTCATCCCCTTCTGGTGCTCTGAGTTGAGTGTATAAGTGCGTAATAAGGCCTGTTCATGGTCCTTCTGTCATGCATAGTGTCTCGTAGAAGGTCAGTTTGGTTTTGGCTGCTGCTCTTACTTGGGGTCATCTGGCAAAGTCTCTAAGTTGAACGTATTTAAAATGGTCTCTGGTAGTTAATTGGGCCTGTGTTTTTAGTTCTTCAAAGGATCTGACAGTGTCAGCGTCGTATAGTTGACAATACCGCTGCATACCAGTGTTTTCAATTCCCCTCTTAGGCACTCAAGCCTGGCTCAAATGCTTTGTTTCAAAGATATTGTGTCAGAGGTGACGGTGTAGTTTTTAGGGTATATTTGTGTGACGCAAAATCCCATATCTGAAGTGAGTTTAAGATTGCTTGGCAGCTGGTGTGTAGGTCAGCTCTGTCAGCCTTGGGTACCCAAATCCAGTATTGGGGGAGGTCAGTGCTCATGAGTAGGGACTCCAGGTCAACCCATCTACAATTTGTGCTAGTTGGGCTGATAGGTAGTAGAGGTGGAGGTTGGGAAGTCCCAGCCCCCCCCACATTTAGGGATGTATAGAGTTTGTCTCGCTATTCTATGTCTTTTTCTAGCCCAGATTAAATTGTCTATCGCTGTCTGGACTGTTTTAAGATCCACTCTAGTCACTTTCACCGGCAGTGCTTGGGAGAGGAACAACCGGAGCGGCCTGAGGTTCATTTTAATGCTGTGGAGTCTTCCTATCCACGAGATGGGTTTCTAATATCAGGTGTCTAGGTCTTTCAGTAGTGTACGGATCATGGGTGTATAGTTTTCAGCGTATAGATCGCTGGGGTTCGGTGTCAATTTGACACCCAGATATTTGATAGAGGTTTGGCTAATTTTTAGTCCGGTCGTATTGCGCAGTCAGGCGACGTCTGCTTCGGCCATCATCAATGGCATTCTCACTGACTTTTTAATATTGATTTTGTATCCGGACACCTGTCTATACGTCTCCAGTAGGCAAGCAGACAAGGGACCGACTCTTTCGGGTCAGTCAGGGTGAGAAGGACGTTGTCCGTGTACTCAAAGACTTTAAAATCTTCAGTCGCTACCTTCAGTCCTTTGATTTGTGGGTTGATGCTAATTAAGTGGAGTAAGAGCTCCAGGGCTAGGATAAACAAGAGTGGCATGTGCTGTTTTTCAGGTCAAAGGACTCCGTGGTGGCTCAGGGCAGTATTGTTTGCGCCCTGGGGTTCGTGTAAAGTGCTTGTATCGCCCTGACGAAGGCCGCTGGCAATCCCATCCCCGACCGGAGTGTAAAGATGTAGTGCCAATGAACTCTGTTGAACGCCTTCTCCGCGTCCAGGGAAAGGATCAGAGAAGGCATCAGAGACCTCCCCGCCCACCATATCAGGTCCACCCTTCTATGCATGTTTTCATATAGTTGTTGCGTGGTCTGCTTGAATATATTTAGTGAGGAGCGGTTTTAAGTGGGTTGCTAATAGTGATGTCGCGAACCGTTCGTGACCTTGCCGTGAACGGTTCGCCACGAACGGTTCGTGGCGAACTCCGGTCAGCTGACACATCCCTGCCAGTCTCCGGCAGACCCTCCCTCCCAGACCCTCCTACTTCCTGGACAGCATCCATGTTGAAGGCAGCTTCAACATGGATGCTGTCCAGGAGGTGGGAGGGTCTGGGAGGAAGGGTCTGCCGGAGATTGGCAGGGATGTGTCAGCTGACCAGAGTCCGTGGCGAACCGTTCGCGGCAAGTTCGCGACATCACTAGTTGCTAACAGTTTAGCATTAGACTTTCAGGTCATAATTGAGGGGAGGAATTTGGGGCGGTAATTGGCGACATTAGTACCAACTCTACCCGGTTTTGGGGTTAGGGCTATATTTGCAGTGGAAAGGTCAGGGTTTGGTGTCTCTCCCTCCATCAATGTTTTATATATGTCGGTCAGATGGGGCACCAAGTCCTCCTTGTAGGTCTTGAAATAGATGCCGTCGAACCAGTCTGGTCCTGGGGCCTTATTCCCTTTTAATTTTGCGATGGCTCTTTCGACTTTCTCTGAGTTTATGGGTGCGCCTAGGGAATCAGTCAGGTCCACATTTAATCTTGGCAGTTGGGCTTTGTCAAGGAAGGCAGCAACTGCTTCTGCATTAAATGGCAATAATGTGGGGGCATGGTTGTACACTTCGGAAAAGAAACGCGTAAATTCCGCACTTATGTCTTGGGGGTTGTTGAGGACCATCCCTTGTGATTTTTTTATGGCAGTGATCATGATGGTTTGGGTCTAAGGGCCCTTGCAAGCAGCGTGTCCATTTTATTGGACTTTTCATAGAACAGTCTTTTTGCTCGGACGATGTCTCTGCTGACCTCCTCTGTCATCAGCTCCCTTATCATTTGTCTAACCTCTCGTAGTTCAATGGTTGTGGTTGCTGCCTGTTTATGTTGCATTTCAATTTTACGTAACTGTTTTTGTAGTTCAGTCAGTCATATTTTTTCTTTTTTTTGTTGAGTCACTAGCTTTATTAGTAGTCCTCTCAGGACTGCCTTGTGTGCTGCCCATAATGTTGTAGGTAACATTTTGGGTGTTATGTTTGTCTGAAAGAATTGTTTAATTTCTTGTTGGACCTGTTCTTTTATCCATGTGTCTCTGAGAAGGGAGTTATTTAACCTCCATTTCCAGAGAGCATGGGGCCCTGGCATGCGTAGGGTCAGTTCTATGTCCGCGTGATCAGACCACGAGATAAGATTAATCGCTGACGTTTTGGTTCACTGCATCCCCATCTGGTTGGTAAGGAATAAGTCAATGCGAGAATAGGAGGCATGAGCCGCAGAATAGAATGTATATTCCCTTGTAATGGGATGCTGAATCCTCCAAGGGTCCAACGGACCCTTGTTTTGGATGGATCTGTGTAGGAGTTTATCTTGGCTTCTCCTATTTTGCGACTGGGGGAGGTACGATCCTCCTTCACGTTCAGTTGCTGGGCATGGCGTTTAGGTCAAGCCCTAGTATTAGTATACCTCTAGGTAGGGTAGTTGTCAGGTCCTCTAATTGTGTCCATAATGTCTTATTAGGTGTATTGGGTGCATAGACGTTGAGTAGGTGATAGGTGTTAGAGTTAAAGGTTCCCGTTAGGGCTATGTATCTCCCATCAGTGTCTTTTTGTATTCATGTGATCTGGAGGGGGCACCGCTTGTGTATCAATATTTCAACACCGTGCTTTTTATACAGCTCAGTTGACATAGGCCGTGTATAAACATGGTCAGCGAGGTGGATTTTTGAGCAATGTGGGATATAGGTTTCTTGGATATGTCGGCTTTTTGGCGTCTGATTTCTCTGAGCAGGAGTCTGCGTTTGTTGGGTATATTCAGTACGTTCACATTGAGTGAAGTCAGTCGTAGCTCCATTGTGTGTGTTTGGGTGTATTTCTGCATTGTGTTGGTGTTCTTACCTATGGATAGTCTGCTGGTCTGCTTGTTTTGTAACCCTAGCAGGAGAAGAGTTGTTCGTCCTGGCTGAAACGATGCTTACATTAGAGACATAGAGGTGGGAAGGCGGGAGGTACGGTTAAGCAAAGGGGGGTAGAAGTAGGGTATAAAGAATAAGAAAAAAATATTAGATTAATAAAGTATAAACAAAGTTTCACACAGTATATTCGTAAATGAACTTCCGGTTAAAGACCGTTTTGTGTAACTTTTAGTTCCTGGTCTTATCTATTGCCAGGTCTTCTGGGGTGGGTGTCCACCGCATTGAGGGTGTCTCCTCTAACGGGGGGAGGCTCAGCCAACTAGCACCCTGGGCTAGCTCACATTAGGGTAAAACATTCATGTATTTTTCTGCCCAATGCAGCCGTTTCTGCTTGTGAGCATTGGTTAGTGGTGGCCGAATAGAAGGTTTATGCACAGTTGCAAGACTCTGGAGCACTCTACACCTTGATGTCCGTGAGACTCCAGAGGCACCAGCAGCTTCAAATATCGGTTTGCTGCTATGTAATGTATTTTAGCAACTGCTCTCTTGATCTGTGCTCTGAATCAGCCACAAATCTCTTAATAGTGCGATGATCATGCTTAAGTTTTTGTGAAATATCTAATGTTTTCATACCTCGTCCAAGGCATTGAACCTTTTCACTCTTTTCGGCAGCAGAGAGATCCTTTTTCTTCCCCATATTGCATGAAAATGGTGCTCTGCTTAATAATGTGGAACACCCTCCTTTAGTAGTTTTTCCTTAAATTGGGGTCACCTGGCAATCTAATTATCACAGGTGTCCGAGATTGTTTTCAGTGATCAAAAGAGCCCCGAGACACAATGCCATCCATGTGTTAAACTGAAAAACAAAATATTTAATCTTTGTGACACTTAAATAGAATTTGCATAATAATTTGGAACAGGGTGTATATCTATGGCTCTGGTAGTGTGGGAGGAGGAAGGGGTGGGAAGGGGGAGACCGAGGATGGGAGAGAGGCTTGGAAGGCAGGCAAGAGGAGGAGAGAGGGCCATGCTTCTAGCTAAGTACTTTTAGCTAAAAGGCAAGTGCGTGGGGCTATCAGCATCCTGTGGCCGACTAGTATTGCCACGTTTCTCCTTGACCTGTTTGAGAGGTCTTCGAGCTCCAGGTCTGTAATTCTGTTATAAAGCTTATTAGTGAGATTTGCGGCTCCGTTATGAGTTGTGACCACATGGGTCACGCGCCGCTCTACCTCTGTAGTGCAAACCACAATGGCATGTATTTCATTCTTCACATCCACGGCCGTGCGGACTATTTCTGCCGCCAGGAACCTTCACCTTCGCTAGTGATTGCAGTATTTGCTGGAAGAGCTTTCTGGCAGTTTGCAGGCGGGTCCTGGCTCTCCGGCAGTGCGGCCTAGTGGGGCTGTCGTTCCCTTGCGCGCAACATGCTGCAGGCCTCTGCGAGTTAAGCATGCTGGCCACTGATGGCGTTTCTTTGTGGCTCTTCTGAGCTTTTTCTGGCTGGACATCAGTGCCTGGTCTCGCTCCGTGAAGTGGGTCAACTCAGGGGTGGGTCTCCGAGCTTTTTGTGCAAGATGATGCTGGTTACAAGGCAGTTTTGTGAGCGTTAGGTGCAGAGCTCTGGAGCAATGCGGCCCTCACAGTCAGAAGTCAAACAACGTCCCCCACATTTATTGTTAACTTAAAGGATCACTATAGTGCCAGGAAAACAAACTCGTTTTCCTGGCACAATAGGGTCATTAGGTCCCCCCCACCTTCAGGGCCCCCTCCCGCTGGGCTGAAGGAGTGAACCCCTTCAGCCACTTACTCTTCTCCAGCGCCGGGCTCTGTTGGCACTGGGGAACTCTCCTCCCTCTGCTGACGTCAGCTCTGAATGCACATGCGAAGCAAGAGCCGCCCGCACATTCAAAACGCCCATAGGAAAGCATTACTCAATGCTTTGCTATGGACGTCCAGCGTCTTCTCACTAGAGGCTGGATTAATCCTCAGTGAAACATAGCATTTCTCTGAAACTACTATGTTTTCAGCTGCAGGGTTAAAACTAGAGGGACCTGGCACCCACACCACTTCATTGATATGAAGTTGTCTGGGTGCCTATAGTGGTCCTTTAAACCGTTAATACCTTCACCTCACCACTACATAGGATTATCAACTACTTTCATTATTGGTGAAATTACTAAAAATGCACAAATAATAGATTGCTGTTACAATTGCAATAACATGTTATATACAACATTTTCTCAACATTTAGTGTAGTACATGTTCACACCGACAAGGCATTCATGTATCTGGAATGGTTAATTTATTAGTTTTGATTATATGCAACTTCTTTCTCTTAGCCAGCATTGCTTAATATGCATCATTTTAAAAGTTTTTGTTTTTTTCTAGTGTACCTAACTTTATACTTAAATTCGCTAAACTTCCTGCCACAGAACGATGATATAGACCAGTACTAGAATTATGGAATGCTCTGTGGGTGAATGCATTTGGGTGTGTTCATTTCCAGCCATCTTGAAGAAAGGTGACATGATCTTAGGGAAGTATATCTGATTTTACTACAAAATAAATGTATTGACTATTGTGCACATGTACATGAAAAGTCACCGTCATCCAATTCATTAATTGTGCAGATGACCAAGTTCATGAGCTATGAAGTCACACAGTCGCTTTGTTTGACACATGATTTTCTCTCACTCCTTTTCACTCAACATAGCGACTCGGTCATCTTATGTCAGGAAGAGTGAGGGAAAAACAGAGCTACCTTAAACTCTACTTTTCAAGAGTTACATGGCATTGAACCCTCTTCCAGCCATGTTAAATGTATAGACCTCATCGTCTGACTGGCCCGTTAGGCAGCCTGCCATCATAATTTTAATTTTTCCCATAAGAACCAATAACATTTCTAATTGTCATCATAATGACAATCACATTTTGCCAGCATGGAAAATTCCACTAAATTAAGCAGTGGCAACTCAACATAGCCTTGGTGTTGCCAAGTGAGTGGTATATACTGTTTTGAAATTAGACCTTGGATACTAATTGGTTATGATGATATTATTCTGTGGGTGTTCCTTAAAGAAACACTATAGTTGTCACCAGAACAAGAACAACTACTGCTTAAAGGACCACTATAGGCACCCAGACCACTTCAGCCTAATGAAGTGGTCTGGGTGCCAGGTCCAGCTAGGGTTAACCCTTTTTTCTCTGAAACTGCTATGTTTATAAATTGGTTAATCCAGCCTCTAGTGGCTGTCTCATTGACAGCCGCTAGAGGGCTTCCGCGCTTCTCACTGTGATTTTCACAGTGAGAAGATGCCAGCGTCCATAGGAAAGCATTCTGAATGCTTTCCTATGGACTGGCTGAATGAGCGCACGGCTCCTGCCGCGCATGCGCATTCAGCTGAAGAGGAGGCGGAGAGGAGCTCCCTGCCCGGCGCTGGAGAAAGAGGTAAGTTTAACCCCTTCCTCCCCCCAGAGCCCAGTGGGAGGGGGGCCCTGAGGGTGGGGGCACCCTCATGGCACTATAGTGCCAGGAAAACGAGTTTTCCTGGCACTATAGTGGTCCTTTAATATAGTTGTTCTGGTGAGTATTATCATTCCCTGCAGGCATTTTCATGTAAACACTGTCTTTTCAGAAAAAAGGCAGTGTTTAAATTTCCCCCGAAGAACACCTCCAGTGGCCACTCCTCAGATGACTACTAAACTTTCTTCCTGGGGCAGTGCTGCACAGCCATTCAGCTAAACCTTGCTCATATAAATGCAATGATTCAATGCTTCACTATGAGGAGGTGCTGATTGGCTCAACCGGTATTTGGCCCTGCCCAGCTTCCCTTAGTGCTGCCCATGTTCTTCTCTTAGGCTGCCTTACTTGTGTGTGGCTGGAAGCAGCAAAAGAAGGGCTACTTCATTCACTTGGGAAAGCCTTGTATTAAGGTGAAATGCGTTGTGGGTGTTTCTACTGGCTTATTTTACTGCTAATTAAGTATTTTTGGCTTATACCTACACTTTATATGGCCATATACCTTTTAGTTGCATTTATTGTTTTTGTGTTTTTAGTTTAGTTTATTTTTCCTGTTCCTAGCACCATGTGAGAAGAACCCTATTACTGGCTGCAATTCATCTAATCCCAGGTGGGAACTATAACACTTACTACTTTGAGCAGATTCAGCTGCTCAACTGATTGTGTGTACATTTCCATTAGTTTCTACACAGTCATCAAATCAGAGAACACTCTATTGTGTTTCCTTTTCGTAACATGTGTATATTGTTGTGGTTGAAGAATCTGAGATCAACTAATATCCAAATGGTGGAGATTATACCATCATTCTCTATGTACATTGAGCTTGAGTAGCAAGCTCCTTTTTGTGAGTGTGTTCTCTATTATATTTCTCATATTATATTACAAAATTAAAACATTGTTAATCCATCAGCACATGCACTCAGCATCTCCACGCTCTTCATGGAGGCGATGAACGTCCCCTATAGAGCTGCATTGATTCAATGCATCTCTATGAGGAAATGATGATTGGCGCAGTGCAGAGTTTTGCTGTGCATGTGCAACAGCCTCCCAATGCTTTCCTATGGGAAAGCATTGTACTGGCTGAGATCATCAAGTGTGATGATCTTAGCCATGGAGTCATAACCAGCCACTGTGAGACCTGCGGGGCGTGGGGAAAGAAAACAGGTTATGACTATGACTGTATTGGAGATTTTATCCAGATCTGCAAGTCACCGTCCGCCCCACTCTATCCCCACACAGCAGCATCCATGCTGGACCTAATTCACAGCACACCACCGATCTCCAGAACTAATGTTGGCGCTGACCAGCTATCATGAGAATCATAAGATACTGGGCCAGTGCCAGCCTACTATTATTATTATCATTATCATCATCACTTATACAGCACCAACATATTCTGCAGCACTTTAAAATTTAAAAACAGCAGGGTTGTTTGACAACAAGCAACTGACATACCAAAATTAGCAGTCAGGAGCTTAAGAAGGCCCTGCTCAAAAGGAGATTACAATCTAGAACTGCCCCCTGACTGCCTCTATGTAACCATGCCTTCCCTGGCCCTGGCTGTATCTCACCCCACTGATGATAAGGAGGGCCAGTGTGTGCTGGTGACAGGAGTGGTGCATAGCAGTAAATCTAGAGTTATTACTACCGGGATCTACCTGCAGACCCCATTGCTTTCTATAGAGAGCCCCAGTTTTAGGACTCTGACCAGCATGACAGCCATGTTACCAGTAACCCTTCCCTGCCACGACTGTGAGGGCAGCCATGTTACCAGTAACCCCTTCCCGGCCAGGACTGCGATGTTACCAGTAACCCCTTCCCTGCCAGGACTGTGAGGGCAGCCATGTTACCAGTAACCCTTCCCTGCCAGGACTGTGAGGGCAGCCATGTTACCAATAACCCCTCCATGCCAGGACTGTGAGGGCAGCCATGTTACCAGTAACCCCCTCCCTGCCAGGACTGTGAGGGCAGCCATGTTACCAGTAACCCCCTCCCTGACAGGACTGTGAGGGCAGCCATGTTACCAGTAACCCCTCCCTGCCAGGACTGTGAGGGCAGCCATGTTACCAGTAACCCCCTCCCTGCCAGGACTGTGAGGGCAGCCATGTTACCAGTAACCCCTTCCCTGCCAGGACTGTGAGGGCAGCCATGTTACCAGTAACCCCTTCCCTGCCAGGACTGTGAGGGCAGCCATGTTACCAGTAACCCCTTCCCTGCCAGGACTGTGAGGGCAGCCATGTTACCAGTAACCCTCCCAAGGCTAGGGACTGTGGCAGCCATGTTACCAGCAACCTCTCTGCTGTGGTAACCCCCTCCCTGCCAGGACTGTGAGGGCAGCCATGTTACCAGTAACCCCTTCCCTGCCAGGACTGTGAGGGCAGCCATGTTACCAGTAACCCCTCCCTGCCAGGACTGTGAGGGCAGCCATGTTACCAGTAACCCCTCCCTGCCAGGACTGTGAGGGCAGCCATGTTACCAGTAACCCCTTCCCTGCCAGGACTGTGAGGGCAGCCATGTTACCAGTAACCCCTTCCCTGCCAGGACTGTGAGGGCAGCCATGTTACCAGTAACCCCTTCCCTGCCAGGACTGTGAGGGCAGCCATGTTACCAGTAACCCCTTCCCTGCCAGGACTGTGAGGGCAGCCATGTTACCAGTAACCCCTCCCTGCCAGGACTGTGAGGGCAGCCATGTTACCAGTAACCCCTTCTCTGCCAGGACTGTGAGGGCAGCCATGTTACCAGTAACCCTTCCCTGCCAGGACTGTGAGGGCAGCCATGTTACCAGTAACCCCTTCCCTGCCAGGACTGTGAGGGCAGCCATGTTACCAGTAACCCCTTCCCTGCCAGGACTGTGAGCACAGTGTTGTGCTCACAGTCCTGGCTGCCAATGGGTTAAACCACTATGCCATGATATAAAGATGGCGCCTGCCAGCGGGATATCCGGTGCAGTGTGCGGTGTCCCCGGTCCTGTGTCCTGACAGCCGGGTAAGGTGAACCTCGGGAAGGACATGCCACTCACTTCCGGGTTGCAGCGCCGCCACATTGCTTTTGTTTTGAAAAGAGCTCGTGACGTCACGCTCCGCCTCCTCCCTCCCAACACCAGCGCTCACTCCGCCAGCTGAGGTCGCAAGGTTGAACCAGCCCCGCCCTCAATTTACATTCCTGACGCGGCCACGCCCACACTGCCTGCTTCCTTCCCACTGCCCCCCAAGTTTTCCCGTCAGGAGAGAGAGGGAGGGAGGAGGGGCGCGCCGACCTCGGTCACGTCCGACTTCCAAACCCAACGGGAACTTCAAAGGCTCTCACCATCTGGCCACGCCCCTTCTAGTGACAGTGACGTAGCGACGCGAGTATTTCTTTTTTTTTTTTTTTTCCAGCTGCCCATCCTCTATGTTTCATGCTTCTGGTAATTTACATAAGCCACGCCCGCTGAAAGCTGTGACAGCGCGGAGTTCTCCTCAGATAGCCACGCCTTGTTTTTATTTCCCCACTGACTTCTCCTCCGACTGGGCCTCCGAGGTTGGTGGGCGGGGCTTCGTGTCACAGAAAGGCTGCGCGTGCAGTATGTTTTTTTTTTTAGTGGGCGTAATTTAGCTGACGGTTGGGCGGTGGAAGGGCGTGTCTCCCCGTTGTCCACGCCCCCTAGTTTATAATGCGCACCCACTTCCGCTGTCTCCTCAGAAGCGGTGCGAACATGGCGGAGCGCGGCCAGCAGCCTCCTGCTAAACGGCTCTGCTGCAGACCAGGCTTCAGCTCGGCTTGCAGGCCCGGGCAGCGGACGGGCGGAGCCTCCTGCGGGGCCAGCGGCTCCTCCCACGGCCTGTCCGGCAAGACACAGAACCCGGAGTCCCTGCTGGACATCGCGGCCCGCAAGGTGGCCGAGAAGTGGCCCTTCCAGCGGGTGGAGGAGCGCTTCGAGAGGATCCCGGAGCCCGTCCAGCGCCGCATCGTCTACTGGTCCTTCCCCCGGAGCGAGAGGGAGATCTGCATGTACTCGTCCTTTAACACTGGTGGGGAGGACGGGGCCCCCGGAGCGGTAGGGGCCCCGGGAGGAAACAACGGGGGAGCCGTCACCACAGCGGCAGGCTCGGCCTCGGTCACTGCCCCAGCGGCCGTGTCAGCAGCAGCAGCAGCAGGCGGGGAGAGCAGCGACGAGAACAGGCTGCCCTTCCGCCGGGGCATCGCTCTCCTGGAGGGCGGCTGTGTGGACAATGTCCTGCAAGTGGGTGAGTGGCTGCTGCATGCATTGTGCTGGATGGCTAGCTGGGCTCCCTGGATGGCTAGCTGGGCTCCCTGGATGGCTAGCTGGGCTCCCTGGATGGCTAGCTGGGCTCCCTGGATGGCTAGCTGGGCTCCCTGACTATGCAGCTGATCATGCGTGTGATGATGGTGTGATATGGGGGGCTGGAGCTGCCCCTCTCCTTCCCAGCTCCCCTCCTTCTCTTCCTCCTCCTAGGGAGAAGCCCAGCAGCACCCCCTCCCTCCCAGCAGCACCCCACCTCCGGGAGATAACATGTAGGATCAGAACAAAGAGAGGAATTTAAAGGGCAGCACACAAGGAGGGGGGTTTAATCATGCACACACTCAATGCAGCCCATACCCAGCATACTGTGACTGGGTTTCCTGTTTTGCTGGAAGAGCTTGTTATATGTTGGCTTTTTTTTTTATTATTATTCCCCATCCTCTCATCATTTGTTGTTTTTGGCTACCCCTGTAACCATCCTCCTACCTGTCACTGCTAGTTTACATTGTGCTGTGCATGTCATATTGGTGTGAAGGGGGTGGAGGCTATACTGTATTCCCCTTCTGTCTTCTCTGCTGCTGATGGTATTTTTTGTTTTGTACAGAAGAAATGCTTTTGTAAATGGGTGGTGTAGAGAGAGGACTAGATCTCCCCCCCCCCTTATTATTAGGAATTGGGGGAATGGTTAATGTGAGGTTGCTTCTGTGTTGTCTATAAAGGACTGGATTGTTGTTGATGCTGTGCTCATTAATTGCCTGGAGGTGTCTTGGATTTGGGTGTCTGGGAGAAAAGGGAGGTCACACCTCCTGGTGGGTTGCACTGCTTGATTGCTTGGAGGTGCTTGATAGGATTGTGTGTCTGTGAAAAAGCAGAGGGGGGACTAGTCACACACCCCTGGGCTGTGCTGCTGCATTGTGCCAGCCAGCTCAGAATGCAGCCCATTCTTGTCAGGACAAGGGAGTGGAGTGAAAACAATACCCACCTTTCATGTACCCCTTACTCCCCTCTTTATCCAGTAATTTATTTGTGTTACTCTATACATTCTGATTATGCATGTCATGGTGACACCCTTTCCTACTTATTTTGCAAGGACAAAACCTCCAATCATAAAAATCAATATATAAGCCTTTGTAAATAAGACAGCAGTGTACGTTTTGCATTTCTATTCTGGCAAAGCTTTGAATTGTTTATCGCCTCAGTGTGTGGGCTAAAATTACTGACACAATTCAGCCTTTTCATAAGTGAAATTTTTGTTTTAACCCTCTAATGTTCCAGAAGGGTATTAGTGCTTATTAGATGGGGCAGATTTTAAACCCCAAACTAGTTTACCTATATGCTGGTTGTGAGTATCAAATAGCTGTCATTCATTCCCATTGAAAACATTGTACTTTGTTCTCGTTGTCGTGTTTGTCTTTTCTGTTTTTTGTTTTTTTTTGTCACCCCATCTAAAGAAAGCTAAACAAAGAAGCTTCTTTTATTTCTTTTCAATGCCTGTTAAATAGAGCAGACTTGACAAAGACAGCAATACTGATGACCCAAAGCTGCAGTTTTTTTTTTTTTTTTAAAGTGGCCCTAAATTAGAAAATAGGTTTGCCTGTGTGCATTTTGTGTTAAAGGGCATGTGCTGACTTCAAACAGTACATATAATATTAACAAGGTATATCATGCTTATTTTTCTTCTGCTGTCTGCAACATAATTTTCCCATCCTTGGAAGGAATTCAGATCCCATTTTAATCCAGTCTGTCTGCACTTCATTTGAATTCTAATGCAATCTGCAAACGTGATTTTCTGCCTGATAATTTCTTTTCTGGACACAGCCAGGGTTGCTCTTATCTGGGCTCTGTGCCTTTCCATCTGCCTAGAGGGCCTTCTGAATTGACAAAGCATAGTTATTTCCTTTTTAAAAATTTACCTATTTTTTGATTATTTTTCTTGCAGTTTTGAAAAAGGTATATTTGTGGTAGCTGTCAAGAACCCACCTCCATGGCATTGCCGTGGGTTTTGTCTGTGCTCGACTCTGCATGCAAGCAATGAGGGATGACAGGCGTGCACACTGGGAGGGATTTTTGGCTGATTGCATTTAAGCAAGGAATTCATTGTAAAAATAAAGCCAAAGGGCAATAAATAAAAGATGCAATCTTCTCTTGGAGACATACTCACAAGCCAAGGATGCATTTGCTTTCAATGGTAGGAGGCCCCTTCTAGAGGCTATGCACTTCATTTTGTTTTCTCTAGCAGTAGAAAAGAAAATGTCTTTAGTAGGCCTGTGGCTAAGCCTATGTGGGGGTGAGTTTGTATTCAACTAGTTCTGACAATTTTGCATTTCATTGCATTCAGATAGTCTCCAAAGTCCTATTGGAGTATCGGTTTATATAAAATATGGTTATTTGCAATTAACCAATTGTCACCCTAAATTAATAAATATAAACCAGTATTACTATAGAGATATATATATATATATATATATTGTTTGTGTGTTCATTGTGCTCTGTTGTAGATGTACTCTAAAAGTTAACGCTATGAAAATCTTTGGACTCCTCAGTGTGTGAATGATTACGAAAAAAAAACACTCATGTCATCAAGCAGCTGACAAACTATCATAATTCTGGCAGAGATTGTTGTACTTCAACAGCTGCAGGGAGAACACATTTTGACTCCTTTGAATCAGGGACTGAGATTTTAGCATTGTTTTATGCATATCTGGTGGTTTAATTCATTCAGTGAAATGATTAAATCTATTTCTCAGCCTTGTGAAGGTGTTTGTGGAGAATTTTTATTATGTGCTAGTACAATTTACAATTACATACAAGACTATTGGGCAGTGCATATTCTGCAATGACTAGGAAATCTAATTTTTAAAATGGAACTTTTTATTTAAATTGAAGCATTGTGTGACGGAAACAGGGTATGCTTTTTCACCACACCCCTTTGTTATCAGTAGGGATTCTGCAGATAAAACCTTGATTGTTCCTTCTGGAAAGAACCAACTGGTCCATCTAGTCTGCCCATTATCAGGCCTTGGACTCATTTTGTTGATTTGTTCTTTAGAATTACAGTGTTCACATCCTTTTCTGAAAATCCCCAAAGTAACTTCAATAAAGAAGGCATTTGGTGTCATCTTGTCAAAGGGAGCCTTTTGCACCAATACATTGACAAACAATCATGTTTGTATGGATTAACTTTTTCAATGCAATGTGCTCTTGTCTGGTACAGAAAGGATTAATTTAACATCAATGCACTGTTTTATTTTATGCTTTTTTTTTTTTTTAAAATATATATCTTTATTAATATACATTTTGTCACTCCAAATACCGAACATCCTACCTTTTTAGAGTGAGTGAGCATTTTTGAAGGTGTGTGTGGAGATGGTTTGTTTAAAGGGTGGATGCTGTTTGCAGACTATGTACCTGGAAATGTCTAGGAGAATGTGACTTCCAGGCTATGGTTATATACACATGGTGGGGATGGTAAATAAAGCTGTGTTCAAGATACAGAAGTGCCATTATCTTTATTTAGACATGGATGTTTGTTAATCATGGAGGAACTTGGGGTTTGATATTGTTAGTTTGTAACTGGAAAGTCCTACATATATCTGCAATATGTTTTTATTTATTTATAAAATATTTTACTAGGAAGGATACATTGCGATTTCTCTTGTTTTCAAGTATGTATGACAAATCTTATTCTACAAACTTATAACAATGCAAAAATGCAAATGTATATAGCTATCCTTGCAACCGAAAGAGTGCATATGTATTATCTTAATAGAGTGCAAGGCTGTTTTTGTTGTGATTTTGCTCGTAAAAAAAACAAAAAACTTGTCTTGTCCTTATGAACATATTTTAGATTTGTTCTTTGTTTTTATATTTATTTGTCTTTCAGTATATAATGAGCAAGTGATTATTATCTGCATTCTGTGAAAGGTTATTGCTGTCAAATCTATACCAGGGTGGTTCAGCTGCCGGCTGAATGCAGCCAGAAGGTTTTTTAAATCCATACGTTCAGCTGTATCACATCATTAATTTAATATCCTTGGCACATGAGTAAGAAAGATTTACTGACTACCTCATTAAAAATTCGGACAACACTCTTGTAGACTCTTAGTTATAGGTTTTCTTAATTTAGCTTCATCTTGTTGCTGATTTATACACCACATGGTTGACTACACCTGACTAGGCCAATTTCCTTTCCCTTGGAACATTCACATATAAGGGGCATATTGTATAGGGTATCTATAGTTTTTATTACATTTTCTTTTTTGGCAAGTGTTCAGTGTATAACTGTATTAGCTAAAAAAAAAATATTGGTCATGTAATATTTTTTTCTCAATATTTTACCTTGAAAATTACAGCTTTCATAAATTCAGTTTTTAACAGTTTAAGAAGGTTTATACTATATATAAAATACTCTTATTGAAATTGGCCGGTGCTGTAGAAATTGCCAGATCTTAGTTAATGTTGGAAATAAAATACAGTTGATAATTCAGTTTGTTTGAGCATACCGTTGGCACATTACCTGCATGGTTTGAATGTATTAGTTTTTTATTCTATTTTTTTATTTCGTTTAAAGTGGATGTATTCCGGTACCTGCAATATTGCCAGTTTGACAAATTTTATAATGAATCCATTGTTGCATTGTGACATGGTTTTATCTTATTTACAAATACTAGATTTGTTTAATTTACACATTTTTGTAGCATCTGCTGTTAATAAAGTGGCTAATCTGTAACTAAAGTTTAATGTAATACTTTTTGGCTTTGATTAATTGGTATATTGACAGGCACACTGTCATGAATCCATATTTTAGTTTAACTTTTTGGCTATATAGATAATTTTTCTCCTCCTTCCTTTAACATTAACTTGTTGCCACATGTACGTGTTAGTTGCAGCTGATATGAATCTGTTCAGTTTTACCATTAGGAAACCAGTGTTGCAAGATGGTGCAATACATCACCTTATAGATGCTTGACTTGTTAAACATCTCACACCTTAATACATATTCCTATTGTCTCTGATGTCTTGCTTTCAGGTGTGCATGATGTTTAACACTACCTTGATGATTCACATGCTTTCTTTGCTTTATGTCCTTCGCGGTTTCAAATTTAAACATGCTGACTTTTAGTCAGAAATTGTCAGCCAGGTGGCAGTTTGTTAAAAAAGGTTTTTTTTCATACAGTTCACTAGGCTTTTTAATACTTGGGACATCGGGTAAAGCGAATAGTAACTATGATGTATATTACTCTCCTGATGTGTGGATGAAATTGAAGGTGATCACTGAGGGGAGGGCAGAGATGACTCAGACTTGTACGTTAAACTAGCAGCTGAAGAAAACTTAAGCCTAAACTTAATGGCCACATTAGAGCAGTCAAAATGTATGTACTTGATTTACTTTCATTCATGGGTTGTTGACTAAATTGTCAGGAATTCAAAATTAATTTTAAATTAAAGGTCAAAATTGCCAAACCTCATACATAGCGAATTTGATAATTTTGCAGATTTTATGGTTTCAGCCTGACATTTCCAAATTTACTTGAAATTTACTTGTCAGCATCTCTTCATACTAAAATGCACAGTAATTAGCACATAGTATTTTGTCACATTTGAATTAGAACCCAGCAGTTTTTCCTAGTAAGTATCATCACTATAGTGTCAGGAAAACAAACTCGTTTTCCTGACACTATATACTCCCACCCTCAGAGCCCCCCTTCCTTGGTGCTGAAGGGGTTAAAACCCCTTCAGTTACTTACTTTAATCCAGCGCCGGGCTTCCTCGGCGCTGTTGACCTCTCCTCCCCCGCGTCAGCTCCTGAGTCGAGCGGAATGCGCATGCGCGGCAAGAGCCGCACACGCATTCAAACAGTCCATAGGAAAGCATTTCTCAAAGCATTCCAATGAACGTTCTGCACGCTGGATGCGATTTTCGCATCCAGCGGTGCAGAAGCGACTATAGCGGCTGTCAGGAAGACAGCCACTAGAGGCTGGATTAACCCTGCAATGTAAACATAGCAGTTTCTCTGTAAGCGCTATGTTTACATCTGAAGGGTTAAAGCCTGGCGGACCTGGCACCCAGACCACTTTATTGAGCTGAAGTGGGTCTGGGTGACTATAGCGTCCCTTTAAGGTCTTAGTTGTATGCATTGCGTTGTTTGAGAGCTCCTCCAGCTGTCTTCTCACTTCAGGTTTCCATAGATGCCAGCCATTTCTTTTCAGCATTATGCTAATCATCGAAAATTACTTGTGTTGCATTTCCATTATTTGGTGACTATTGTACACTCGGATATGAAAGCGTTCAGTCAAGTAAGTGTATTTAAAATCATAGACAGGAGGCCATAAAAAATATACATGGTTTTGTTTTTATCGTACTTAGTTACAGAAAAATACAGAATTGAGGTTTGGGATCAACACTAAAGATGGGTGACAATTTTGAATTTGTGCCTCACAGGTACTTGTCACCCTGATCTGTTAACAGCTTTTACTCAATGCTCTCCATGGGAACTTTATAACTGGTGTAGATTCTTTCCTCACATAGTACGAAAAGATTTGCTTGGTTTGTATTGAAATAAGGCAAACATCTTTGCCTAAAAGAGGAAAAATAGGTGCACATTATTTCAGGAACAGGGTAAAAGGAGTGAAGACCAATTTGTGCATTTTAAATAATTTATTGTCCTCAAAATATCAAGACTTTCATATTAATGAACATTTAAAAATGAGTTCAAGGGTTGTATCTATCAATATATAGACTTAGCAATTGTATTTCTTTCTATGAAGCAGATAGTGTTTATGTATTTTTCTGTGGACTAGGGAAATAATTAGCATCAGTACTCTAGAGCTTCTATTAAGGTTTATTTCTGCTGTGTTGCCTAGGTACCTACTGACTAGTGACTGTATTTTGTGCCTTGTGTGTAAGAGTTCATGGGACAATTAAACCTAATACCACATTTTAAGTCACAAATGAAGTGAGTAACAACCTTACCAACAATAAAACTTAAGGCCACATTTTCTACTTTCTGCATAGTTCAGTTGCGATCGACACATACCCTTACTGTTGTAAATTCTTTGCTCCTTTGACATCTTCAACATCTCTAAAAGCACTCTTTTGGCACCTGCACCTCTCCATTAAAGGACCACTAAAGTCTCCCAGACAACTTCATCTCAATGAAGTTGTCTAAGTGCAGTGGTTCTATCATTAAATTGGGTAATAGTAACAACCCCTGGATGTTGGGCTAAGGTAACATCCCCAGGATGTACTTGAGAACCAGAGTAATCTGAATGTGCGTTTCCTGGTTATATACTTTGTTGTTGTTATTATTTTATTATTTGAATGCTGCAATGTAAAACACTAAACTTTGACATCAGCATTTGATTGGAGGAGCGTGATATTTTGCCACACATGTGTATCTCCAATCCATTGCTTTTCCTTATGAGAAACATTGGATTGGAGCAGAACTGTAGACGGTTGCAGCAGAGGAGTCCCAGTACTGAAATGAGTTGAGTAATTGTTAATTTTATTTTATTTTTTAAATCCTAGAGGTGGGTGGATAGAAGGGAACCTATAGTCCTATAGTAGATTGGTTCCCTTTAATTCTCTGAGCTATTCCAAGACTTTGTCCTTGGTTTCTTATGCCTTTCCATATCCACCATATCTGTCACCTTCTTTGCATACTGACATCACATAGATTTAGCTCTCCTCTTAGATCTACGGCCATTACCTACTATTTTGTACTGGGCACTATCAATCAGTAGACCGTATCACTACTTTAAGCTGAACAAAGATTAATGTCTTACTAGGTACAAATTATGGGAAAAGGCGAGATGTGACTGGGGACACTGCTTGAGGCTCTGTCATCTGTCACATTTTGCCAAAAATCAACAAATATATAAGGGGCTACTTTGTTGCATGTCCAACTTTCACCTTTTTTGAATGTCTGAGAAATAACAATCTGTGTTTTTCATAAAGATTCCATCTTCATATATTACAAGAAGCTTACATGACAATGCTGTTTTGAGTACTACATTATTTTACTCTTATGTTATAATCACACAGCTATCTCTTCTGCCAGCTTGAATAAAGAATGTACCTCCTGCATGTTAAGGAATTTCTATTGCTTCTTGAGTCTTGTTCCCTCTACTGGTTTAAGGGACAATCCTACTTTTTATTTTCAGTTGTCTGCTCATCGTTCATGCACTGCCATGCAAAAAACAACTTAAAGCATTGTTTTGTGTGAAATGGAACAGGAAACAGCTTACAATTAAGGAGTCTTAAAGGCAGCAGTTGTACATTCCTTTGCTTTGACTGCTTTTTAGGGTTTGGAAGGTTTTATTATTAATTTAAGTCTCTTCGCTCTCCTGGCTTTAAGCTAGATCACTATGCAGCAGCATGACTAGTACTTGATTCATCATCAGCAAGTCTGATGTCTGACATTGTTTTTGTTATGGATAAAACCAAGACCTTCATTGCTGTCAATTCACGTTTGCATATTTTTGCATCTGTTTTACTAACCTGGACTTCATCCATAAAACAATGTAGTCTCTACTTTATCTTATGATATATTTTGATTGTTTTGGAATTTTAATTAAATTCATACTCTGTCATTTTGAGTGATTGATACAGATTCTATCTTTGTTAAAGACAGGAAATTGACAGTGGCGATTAAAAGATAAAGGTCTTGTCCTCTTGTCTGACTTCTGTGGTTATGAAGGTGTCATTTCATGTGCTATATTTACTGGCATGTAAAATGTAGGAAATCCTGAAATAGGAATGTTCGCGAAGCACTGCATGTGTGAGGAAGTTTCATTAGTTGTAAACTAGGACTTGACTTAAAGGAACACACTATAGTGTTAGGAATACAAAGCAGTAATTGTAGTGTCCCTAATACTGGACAGTAGAACCCTAATTTTCAGTGTCGAATTGAAGGAATGTTACAGCTCAGAACAGTGTTATTTGCTTCATATATGGGCATGTTTCCATGGCAATGTAGAATGCTTACATAATTGGAGCTAATGGTGACATTTGTTTTATCACAGCAGGCACCTTCATGTAGTGTGAAGACTACAGTAGGGAATGAGAACTCAAAACTCAAAAGTTAAGCAGCGTCATACATGATGAAAATCATACAAATATATTTCCTGGTTTAAAAAATATTCTGGTTATAGATTGTGTTGTTTTTAATTATATTAGTTGCAAATACTTGATCTCTCACTGGGAATTTCTTTGCCTTTGAACACTGTAGAGCACAGTGGGTCTTTGAGGACCTTCTTAGTTATCATGTTTCTGTTGAAATAAAATAAACCTCAAGGTTCTGTATGTGCGTGTGTGTGCTGCAGCATGTGTTTTTATATTTCATCTCTGCCCCTTAAAATAGGGGATGATGGTCTTAAAATACATGTTAAAATTGACATATGCAAATGCACTTGTGAGCTTTTGCCAAAATATATTACTAAACAATCAGTATTTGATTACATGTTTTGTGAAAAGTATAAGTAACCATTTTTATTTGTACATATGCTGATTTTCAACTCACTTCCTCTACTTTATACATACAGTTTTCCATGTCCTGAAATTTATTTAGCTATAAACCTAGGTGTGCCACAGAAATCAGTCCGATATCCATCTAAACTTACACCTCTGTCATTTAACAGCTCTGTGTGCTGATCATGCTGGGCATTTCCCCAATCCACTTACCTGCATGTAGGTATTTGCTTGATGTACCTAATTGTGCATACCTGCCTTTATAGCCAATATTACAATATTAGTACACATCAGTGGTTTTTATATGTATCCCATAGCCATTGGCTACTCTGCTCTTCAAGGTCACTCTGTAATAGAATTTGATTACTTTATGACTAAGCTCAATTTGTTGAAAATACAGGTAACCCTAACCCATTAGTTGCATGTGCAAACACCCACTTTGCTTTGCCCAAGTGAAACTTTTTGCCAGAAGTAGAGTGTGATGGGAGTGCTTTGCGCATATTCGTTTCAATGCTTGTGGGAAGTTGTGAAATTCAGCTTATTTTCCAGCCATCTTTCACTGATGTCAGCCTTCTAAACTCACTTTGTTATCCAGCCCCCCTGCTGCCCCGAAACTGTTAGGCTCACAGCTGCTATACATTTAAAATTCCAAATATTTTAGTTGATGACACTTCTTTTTTGGTGACTATAATAAACCATATTAAATGAAAACTGATATATGTATCTCTTTCTATATATAATTTTTTTTTTTAAACTTTACATGTGTTAATGCATCTATGAGTTTACTTATAAGTTCTCTTTTCAGTTGATTTTGTGGCATACCATTGCTGTATGGTGACTGCCATCTTAATATTAAAACGTACTGTTTTTCTTTAAGATTCGTCAATGTGTTATTAGTTGCAGAAGCTTTAACTAGTCACCAGTCTTTTGGATTTATTTGGAGCTACAATTACTCGAAGCCAAAACCTTTTGTTTGAGGCTTTCATTTGTTTTATCCACTTATACCCATGATGTCTAACCTTTGAAACCCCAGCTGTTGTGAACTTACATGTACCATGACCATCCATTCGTCTGATTGAACATCGTGGGAGATGTACACAACAGCTGCATTGTCAACAATTAACCATCACTAAGTTATTTATTTCAGCACAAGGCTGAATTGTTTTGCTGTGTCTATTGGTGAACTACTAGCATTGTCAGATTTGCTTTATTTAATAATTCCATTATGAGCATGAGGGAAATGCTTTCTATATATTTTGGCTACTCAATTCTTTTAAATTCCAACTGCTATAAGCAGCTTTCTGAAAAGATTGTTCTAAAAGCTGTAAAACAAGCTCTCTGTAAAACAGTATGAAGTTACTTATGACAGGCACAGAGTTCTTTGGTTAAACACTTAACTTTTTTTTTCTGATTATACTTTAATTGAAGTTATCACCTATATTGTGGTTACCTAATCTGCAGTGTGAACAAAACACAAAGGAAGTGTAGACATTTCATATGGGCCCTTCTTACAGCGTTGTCAAAATATATCCTCTCCTTGCTTCCCCTTCTGCCTTTGTGCCTGATATCCCATATCTCAGGGAAGCAGGATCCCATGTGACTCTCTTCTTCCTCTTTCCCCATCACAAGCCACATCCTGTTTGATTGTAGAACTCTGTTGTAAGATGTTCTCTTCCCTACTTCCCTTCCTTTAATCTGACATCCATTTACTGTATTTCTCCAGACTCTGTGGTGTCACTTTTCTTTGTTAACTCTTTGCACTCTGAGGAACACTTGGGTTTTCAGTGGTATGACACATCCCAATCACTCCTAAAAAGTATTTTTTTTTTTTTTTTTTTTGGTTGGAGAGGAGGCAACTGCCAGGAAAAAGAAAGGGAATATTTAAAGTGGATTTTCAAACTTATAAAACCCTATATTAAATTAAATTAAATTAAATTAAATAAATTCTAAAGTTTTTAATTATATAAACCGTCCATGTTTTTTCGTTTTTTTTTCTTTGTTTCTTTTTTTTTTTGGGTGTCAAGCATGCACCTTGCATTTTCCCTCTACTGATAGGTATCATATCTAGTTAAATATTGGATATATTTAAGCCCCCACCCCTCAGATTTCTGAAGTAATAAGTGTGCACAAACATAATCATAAGGAAAAAAACTCTAACAAGCCATTAAATATTTAAGAAATAATTTAACAAAGCATTTAAATGCTAATCATGACCTGTTCCATCTTGTAAAGATTTAGATAGCCGTGTCATTGAAAAACTTGCTCACTGGTAAAGGGGTCACCTCAAGTTGTCCAGTTTTTGCACATGGCATATCTGTCTGGTCTAGGAAACATTCAGGAACCCTTGGAATATGGAAGATTTAGCTGATGAATAGTGGCTTTTAGAGTTCAGAGGTTTTTTTTAATCCTTAAAGCAGCAGTGCTCACTGCCTGGAAACCCCACTGACTATTCATAAAGTCATTTCTTCTTGGCCGAACACGGACCTTTTTGTGAGCTGCTAACAGAACACTTCTACATAATGTATTTGTTAATAATTCAAGACTCGGTGAGAGTAAACAAAATCACAATCAATGCTCTTTTTGTATCCCAGTCACTATTTTTAAGATAAAATGGTTATTTAAACCAGATGAGTGTCTGGCTCTAGAGGGTCTATGCAGGAGGGGCATGTGGCATACAATCCATGCTGTATTTTCTTGACTATGACATACTTTTTTATGTTTTGGGAGAAAAATGACTGACTTAGTCTAAATGCTCACAAACCCCTTAATTGCCTTCTTCTAAATGTTGAGTGATTAAAATAAGGTGTCAATGTTTTTTTCTTTTTTTTATTAGTTTACAAATCCATATCCATATTTTATGAGTTATAGCAAGCCAAAATTTTATTTCGCAACAATATTGAAAGAAGGGGAAAATGCACCTTTTATCATCTCTTGCCCTTTGTTTTTACTGGATTGGATTTGGAAGCAGGAAATGGCTCCCTGCGTATTTGTGTGTACATATATTTAAATAGCTTATGCAAGACAATAAGGACATTAATGCAAATACTTAGGATTGTGGCACTGTCACATGAGTCTTTCCATAAAAATCGGCTTGAAACAATGTCGCTGGATTAATGTTCTTCTGAGTAAGCTCTGCTAATGTTTTTCATTGTGGAAGAAACCATCTTGGAATTTCATCAGTTTTCAAATCCTCTGTGACCATTACTGATAAACAGAAATTGCAAAAGGTTGCCAATGTGCAGGAAGCAGGAAATGATTCGTTGAACTCTATGATTGTGTGAGCAACATGCCACAGTCAGCTGAAAATTATCTTAAAGGAAAATGTTCGTTTTTATTGCAAATAAGATTTCATATATTGCATTCTTTGTGTAGTATTTTTAATTCATACCGTATGAATAAATACCGGTAACTATTTTTTTGGTGCATTTCCCATGTGGGCAGCCATATATAAGGCCTCTTTGATGTTAAGCACAGCTTCACCTACGAAAAATGTGCAGATGATCAGGAGCCTAATGTATGGTTATGAATCCTTTCGTTGTGTGGTTGTGCCAGGCAAATTGTAATCTGGGATCGTTTCAGACATTAAAATTCCATTAGCCGATATATGGCTTTCCTAACAAGAGGGGTAAAGATGGTTACTCCTCAGATCAAGAGTTTGTCAAGGAATATAATAAAGTAATGTGTACTAATTACAAATTAATGTTCAGAAAGGTTATTACATGTAAACAATTATCTTTTATAATCTTTTATAATATAAAAATACAACTGTTTTCTTATAGCACACATAGGTAACATATGATCGAAAATCACTTTGAACATAGAATGAAGTATTGGATGCTACTGCACAAACAGGCTCTATAGTGGAATTAAGAGTTTTGTTATTGCTTTCACAGATGTAAAAACTCTAAAACAAGCAGGTGGCATGCACCACAAATGAGAAAATGTCAATAAGGTTAACAAAAAAAAAAGCCCTATTAATGACCGGCTCCATTGCATGGAGTATCTTGAGTTATTGTTAGTAAGAGTGTGCAATATAGGTCAAGAAATCTGCTAGAGAGGATTATGCTCAATAGTTTATTACATCAATGATAGTAGACATGTAATCTGCATAAACATGGACGATGGGGGAGGGGATTTGAATCCTCACAAGCAAACTAAGTGAAGTCAAAGTGGTACCCAAATTAATCTAGTTTGGTTAGTCAGAGTTGAAAATATAGTCTTTATATAAGATTGTATATCATTATATTAGAAAACAAAAATAAACCTTCGAGCTGTTTTAATTATTAAATTTTTTGGGAGGTGGGGGGAGCATGTACTTATACTAAGCTGTGCTCAAGTCATGTATCCAGCCAGACATCTCTTCATAGCCTTTTACCAATGTAAATGTAACCTCTGTTTCTCATTTGGTTGATAACTATAGGTGTAAGGTCAAATATGTGCCATAAATGTCTGTTTTAAAGCGGGTTGACATTTAGAGTAAAAGTAGTTTTGTGCATGACTGAACTATTAGATGTTTTAGAGATCTATATAGTTTTCCTTTTCTGTTGAGTCATAGAATATTTAGATTACGGGTCGACTTTAACAGGATGTCACTAGTAAAGTGCAGTGCTTAATAACACCGATTTAAAAAAAAAAAAAAGCTAAATTCTTCCTTTTTAAAAATCTATTTTAATTGGCAAAATCATAAACCCCCAAAAACTATTGGTGCATGATATTGTGTAACAAATATGGGCAGTTGTGGATCATTTTTTGTCAGTGCTGCTGTAGTGGTATACATTTCCCACAATGCTCAGCCAGCTGCATATGTAAATTTGTTCTAAAACAGCTGTAGTACCAGACATTTGACGATTCATGATGTTAAGCAGGGATAGGCAACCTTCTGCACTCCAGATGTTGTGGACTTCATCTCCCCTGATGTTTTGCCAGCATTATGGCTGTAAGAGCATTATGGGAGATGTAGTGCACAACGTCTGGGGTACCAAAGATTGCCAATCCCTGCTATATAGCATGGACGTAGCATTGTTCTATATAGGATTGGTATTTTAATTTGAACTTTTCTTTACTTTTTGTTACTTGACTATGTGAATTAACAAATAATGTTCCTTCTTGCTTTTATACTGCTTCACCCTCAGGGGAAATCTTTATGTGCCAGATTATAGAGCTCCAGTGGGTTTTTACACACTCTTCCAATAAGTATTTAAAAGTGACAGCAGCCTCTTCTAGGGACTCCCTTTTAAAGGGGGATTGCATGTATTGCTCATATATGACATGTAACTATAAAGCCGTGTGTCTGTCATATCTAATGGTACCGTCTAAGCACCATAACAATTACAACTCTTGTAGTAAGGAAGTATTTTATACACTCTCTTCAGATTTTGTCAACCCATTTTCCATTGGTATTTAACCTGGGCACTTCCATGACACACAGAACTCATCCTGTCTGCTGGTGGCAATATATTTGATTTAACTATAAAAATTTGGCCTGCATTACCAAGCAACTGCCAGCATTCACAGCCATCCAAACTTCTACTATTATCTATGCTGTAGCAGAGAGGGCAAGCTAGTGGGCACTGGAAGAGACGCAGTTAAAAACATGACAGGGTGCACCCAAAGGTCCATAGTTCTTTGTGCCTTGATTTTTGCCATTACAGTTTATAATTTGGTGAAAATGCAGTGCTTAGTTTTATCCATATATGATTTTCAGATATATGTGCTGGGTTTTCATTTGTGTGTGTGTGTGTGTGTGTGTATATATATATATATATATATATATATATATATATATATAAATGTAATTCTTGCCTGTCAGAGATGAGCATCCTTCTTGCTCATCCTTGTGGCGTTGATATAGTTAAACTGCTGATGTGTGGAGCCAGTAACAGAACAGTAGTTGAATGAATTCCCAGTAGCTAAGTGAGTTGCTCAGACATCTGTTCACTGATATTCTCTACCTGAGTCTCCTGACAAAGCTTGTGTTTATCATTGTTTTTGTTTTGATTGTAATGTAGACACTGTAGTATTTTTTTCCTTGGTGGTATTTAAAAACTGACAGCTGATAAAGTATTACAAGAGCAGTGTACCACAGTAGTATGTGTTTGTTTCTAAATGATCCTTTTGGTATGAATGATATACGCTGTGCAGTTAGTGATCACTAGCATTAATCACATGATGTGCTGAAATCCTTTTTTGTTTTATATTGGGCTATGAGAATTCAAAGTGACTAAAAGGAACACTATAGCGTTGAGAATACAAACATGTATTTTCATATGTAAAATGCCCAATGCATTATTGACCATATGTAAATGGATGACCAATCAAATGCTTTTCATAGGGAAAGATTGAATCCAATGCTTCCCTATGAGCTGCATTTTATGTTTGACATTCTTGTGCAGTGCATGAGGACATTAAGTCATATGACCGATTGAAACGTGGTCATAATAGCGAAAGCACTCTCTAGTCACTGGAGAGTGACTATACTGTTAGGAATAGAGCGTATTGCTAGCACTAGGGAATCCTTTTAAAAGACCCCTAGAAACACCCAAATCTCTTCACCTCAATGATGTGATCTGGGTGCAGTGGCCCTTTCGTTTCGAACCTGCAAACTAAAACATTGCTTTAAATTAGATAAGGCAATGTTTTGATTGCAGGGGTAAAAGCATCTCTAGCGGCTATCTTCCTGACAGGCAATGTCTGCAATCATACCATTCCCTTATCCTAATGAAAAGTAATGTTTTAGTTTGCAGGTTTCAAAACTAAAGGGCCAATGCACGCAGATCACATACGCTGTATTCCTTACAGTATAGAGCCCTCTGATACACCTTCCCTCGCGCCCTTCCAGCAGCTAAAAGGTTAGAAAAACAACTTTGTCATCCAATTACAGCGCCAATGTTCCTCAGCTCTGGGTCAGCGCTTCCCCTCAATCCAACAGTATGTACTAAGAGGCATGCACCATGAAACCGCAATAGTCCCTCCCCATAGTAAAGCATTGCTACCCTGCTTTACTATGGGGATATTTCTGACACTGGATTTCTGCATGAGGACGTCCAGCATCAGTTAGGCGACCAACAGTCGGTTAGCCATCAAGAAGTGATTTTAGTGACCGTCTGACAACCACTAGAGGCACCTTAGTCCTGCAATGTAATTATTGCAGTTTCACAAAACTGCAGTGATTTACATTGCAGGTCTAAGTGGGACCTGGGATGCTGCATTCAGACCACTTTAATGAGGTTAAGTGCTGGCTGCCTATAGTGTCCTTTTAAGTTTTGAAAGTCACATGGAATACTTGCTTTAGTGAAATAACCTAGAAGTGTAGGAACCCAGCAATGCTGTATATGCCTGTAAGAGTTCATGGAAACTGGTTAGTCTTATTTAAACCACATTAAATGGGAGCTTAGCTTGTAATCTTTTCCTTCACTGACTATAAAGGAACATTCCTTTATGTATATTTTAACCCCAAGGGGCCAACTTTTCTAGTTCTCTGCCATCCTGCCATAATGGGCAAGACACATTTTCAGGCAAGTATGCTTAAGGCTTTTTTCTTCAAAGTCTGCTGATCACTAACGTGTGTTAAGGCCTCTAGAGACCTGGACATCCAGCTGCTAAAATGAAATACACAGCAGGGTTCTCTTGCAGAAGGAAGGCATGTGTAAGAATGTGGCACAGGTGTGCTTTCCATGGGCTGAATTTCTGGTAAATCCATGGCAAATATAACACATGTATGGGCAGACAGCCTCACATCCTTTCATTTCCTTGAGCATGAATAAAATCTGTGCATTGCATTTTAAATCCATGCTATTCTTGCACCAGGCGAGTTCTTAGAACAGTGACCAGGTTCTCAGACTCCCGTGGAAGCTTTTCACCATTCAGTTTTTCTAATCCCCTTTGCAGCCAGGTATTTAAGCACCGAGCAAAAGGCTATATGCATAAGAAAATAGTAAAACAATGAGATTCTGTTAGACAAACTTTTTATGCTTTTCCCTTCTGCTGTGATATAGCTCAGCATTCCATAAACTTTGTGCTCCTTGTATTTTCCCCCTGAACCTCAGGCAGCAGTTACTGCAGTTGTCGTTTGTTCCACTATTTTAAGCAAACTAGTGTGGAGAGTGCACAATTGGCATGTAGGCGGCCGCTCAATTGAAATGCTGTTTTTCTGGAACAGAACAGCCCTTGTATAAAGTAAAACTGATTGTTGCTGGGTAGATTGTACAGGCCCTTGTTACTTATTCGTTTAACAGATGTAGCATTGAGTGTGGAGCAAATGTTCCCATAAGTCATGGCACACCTGCTCCGGTTCACACACTGTCAGGAAAGCTTAAGGTAGTCATACTTTTTCAGTGGAACAAATTTAGAAATCATTATTTTAGTAATCTGTTGGATAGTATGTCTGAGGCGTGGGCTGGATTGCAAAGTATGGCTGATTTCATTAACAGCGATCTCATCTGTAATGTTTTCTTAATGTAAGAGTGCAATGCTTGTGAACAGGCCTTGTTACATTACATTTCTTAAAAATGTAATTGTCATGAAGAAAAGGAATTTAAACATTTTAAGTCAAAATAGTTGAGCTGAAAATAACGGACTTGTAATGTTTTTCAAATTCTGTTATTTGGACCTAAATTATAAAAATGACTTTGAATTTGCTTTGAATGTCTAACATTTCGCACTTTAATGAATAATTTTTGTTAAAGGGAAACTTTAGTGCCAGGAAAACAAACTTGTTTTCCTGGCACTATAGTCTCTCCCCCCTCCCTCTCTCGCACGCACCCCCTCCCCTTATGCCACTTATCTTGGTACAGCACCGATGTCCCTCAGCGATGGTTTGTGTCTGCCTAAGCTCCTGGCTGTGGAGATGTAATGCGCACACGCGGGAATGTCCATGCTCACATTAGTATTTCTACATTCTACATATCATGCTTTCCTATGGGGTTTTTGGTGACGCTGGACGTCGAGCATCTGGCGACCAAAAGTCCCGGAAGGGCATCTAGTGGCTGTTTGGTAGACAACTGCAATAATTCCCTTTCTAAAGTTAAGGGACCTAGAAGACTGCACCCAGACCACTTCAATGAGCTAAGGTGGTCTGTCATTTTAAGTGGCTTGTGTATTAGCTGCAGTGAAAACGGCTTTGGTGACATCTTAGTGTTGCATAGTATAGTTATATGTCAGAGTTAATAAAATAAGCTTTGCATTCAGTTGTAACCAACATACAAATTGGAAAGTGTGGCGTATAAGATAAAATATTAAATAATTTGAAAAGCTTACCCAAAAATATTAAATCAAGGCACATGTAGAGAGGCTCTATATAGGCTTTAAATGTCAACAAAACCATCTGGACGTTTGAAGCTTAAAACACGTGTGCAATTTAATGCAATCTGTTGAAGTAAACAGTACAAGTGTGTGCATGTATTTATAATGTAGTTCTGTATAGATTTACCCCTGTATAGCTGAATAGGATGCACTATTAGAACACTCACTTTTTCATGTTTGGCTATTTAAAGGGTCACGCTAAGCAGAATCTTAGTAATTTTAGTTTGATCTGTTTATGATGCAAAGTCCCAGTCCCCACAGCCATTCTTTTTAATTATTTGTTTATTTTCATTTCAAAGATATAAAATGTAGTTTGCAATAGCTTTATATAGCAAATCACCATTTAAAAGGCCATTACAAACAATACAACCGCACTTAAGCTAAAGTAGCCCTAATATTTATATGTATATATGTATATTATTATTTGTAAAGCACCAAAAGATTCTGCAGCGTCCGTGTATAAAATCTGTCTGTCTGAGAAGCTCTTTGGATTTGGGGAAGGAAGGTGTTATATTTTTAGGTCTTTGAAAGAATTGTGCGTATTTTAGTAAAATGTATGTTTATTTTGTTGCAACAGTTATATATGCATTAAAGCATGCCATTTTGGACAGTTTCTCTTTAACCACAGAATATTGTAAGCCTTTCCATTGAATGCATGGGCTGTCAGGCTTGAATGGATTGACCTCTGTTTGCTTTGTTAGGGTAAAATTTCATTACACTATAGTGCTTTTGTGGAGCAAAAAGCTGAACATTTAAGAGGGAGAATCAAATATGTATATACATTTATTTACTTGAAGACATTGAACTTCAACAGAAATTTGGTAAAGACCATGCTGTTGGAAAAATAGTTGAAGGAACATTTCAGTTGGTCATTTTTGTGCCTTTAACTCTTAGCCCTTGAGAATTAGCCATGGATTTCAAAAACAGGATATGAATCTTGACACCAAAATTGTTTCTGGAGTACGTTTCCCATGATGCTCAGCTTGCTTTTAGTCTAAAAACTTGCTGAGCATCATGGGAAATGTAGTCCAGAAACAATTTATAGTGTCAAGGTTAGCCATCACTGCTGTAGACAAAACTTTTTACATCCTAATCATAATATTGACTTCCAAATTATTCATTCCGTTGTCAGCTCTGACTTTACTAGATGGATGACTTATATTTTGCCATGCAGTTCAAATATGTGCTAAAATCTGCCTATCCTCAGACACCCTCTCCTAATGTGTTTATTGATTAAGGGTTGTGTGTCTTGGTTATCTGACTACCTCCAAATAGATTGTTTCAAGCATATTTATTTTTTTTGTCATGGTTTAGTGATGCATATGAAGTACAATAATCACAAACATTGATATAATGGACAAAAGTCCCGGAAGGGCATCTAGTGGCTGTTTGGTAGACAACTGCAATAATTCCCTTTCTAAAGTTAAGGGACCTAGGACACTGCACCCAGACCACTGCAATGAGCTAAGGTGGTCTGTCATTTTAAGTGGCTCGTGTATTAGCTGCAGTGAAAAAGGCTTTGGACATGTTTGAAGTTGTTTCACATCTTGCATAAAATTTTAATTTGAAAACCATGTAAAGAAAAGTAAAATCGAAATAAATAAAAATTACAAACCCAGTATGCGCTCTTAAAATTATTTTATAGTTTATTTTTATTGCCATTTATATAGCGCCAACAGATTCCGTAGCACTTTACAATATTATGAGAGGGGGGATTTAACTATAAATAGAACAATTGCAAGAAAGCTTACAGGAACGATAGGTTGAAGAGGACCCTGCTCAAACGAGCTTACAGTCCAGGCACAACATATCTCAGTATCGGAAGCAACAAACCTGAGGTGTTCAGGATTGGGAAGTTTATACTTTGGGGGTTGGCCCCTACAACTCTTTACATCCTGTAAATTCAACATGGATTTGATTTTGGATTTAGTTGCTTTGTCTAAGGAATTGGTATAGTGTTGCGAAATTAGGTAGAATTGTTTTTATTCCGGTGCTATTTTAGAAGATTTCTGCCCAATCCATATGAAATTGTAAAGTGATTTTGATCTTGGGGGATCCAATAGAGGAGAGAGGGGCAGATCCAGTGGTGTCATATACCTATAAGAGGCGTTCTATATAATTTTCAGTTTGCTTCCAGAATGTTTTAATCCTCACCTATCCTTATAGATTTAAAGCGCTTCTGAATTTGTTGGCGCTATATAAATAATAAAAAGAAAAAAAAATAATCTAAAAATGTAATGTACTGCTAACGCCAGCTATATGTTATGCATCCTCTTTGGAAACTGAGTTGAGACCACAGGCTAGTTGAACAATTTCTCTTGTGCTTTTGGTAGAAAGCAGAGAGTGTTAATAATCGTACCTTTAAAGGCAAGATTTGTTATGATTAGATTTATGGGGATTGTGTGTTTTGCAGCTGTTAGTCTGCTTCTAGAGCCCCACAAGGTAAATACAATATAACATAGATCTTTGAAGTAGGGTTATTAATTTATAGGGGGTGGTGTGTTTTGACAAGCTATGTTTGCCTTTCTTGAATTTCCAGTGTTATATTTTTCTTGGTTGGGGTTAATATAAATGTATATCTACATATAATTTATCATTTCAATACACATACATACGTGTGCGCACTATAAACGAGAACTGTAAAACCCCACACAGTATTTGTGTACACCTCTTATAACTCATGACAATGATATTTAGAGTCCTGCTACAGTGGAAAGGCTTTTGTTTTCACAAATAGTGCTCTAAAGCAACAATTGCCTTGGCACCCCTGTTTGAAATTATATTTGAATTATACCCCCAGTTATTAGGCTCAGTCACTTAGTCAGGTTCTAATGCTGGCTGAGCATTATGGGAAATATGATTTGATAACTACCAAGGACCCTAAAGCAAATGATTGTTTCAAGACTGACTTCATGATCATTATTTGTACTATTGTATTCTGAAATGGTCATGATCTAGAACTTTCAATCTCTGACATTACCGTATTTAACCCTTTAATGAACTGTTACTTTGCCAATATCACAATCTGGTCTCTAAGATCTTATGGCCACATTAAATCTAATTGTTTAGCTATAGCAGTTCTATGCAACCCTGCATTGGTTAATTTAGTGAACCATTGTGTTTTGGTATAGAATCCTATTCCTTTATAGGGTTACTCTAAGCACCATGGCCACTTCACTGGTTTGAAGTGGTCATGGTTCTTAGAATATTTGTATACAGTGGGACCTCGGTTTACAAACGCCTCGGTTAACATAATTTTCGGTTTACAAATGAAAATACATTATAAATAATGCCTCGGTTTACAATTTTTTTTTCACAATACAAACAAGTTTCCCCTGGATGCATTGCACCTGGGAGGTTAATAGCAGTGCCCCCTGCATGCTGGATCCTGTGGGTAGCACATGGCATCGAGTGTGGAGATGTTGGAGCGGCTTTTGCATCGAGTTTTGGAGCCATTCTGGAAATTGCAGTTGTTTTGGGGCATTTCTCAAGCTCTGGAAAGGTAGGGAGCTGAGCTTTGTCGTTTGCATGCCTTTTATTGTGTGTTCTGCATTGTGGGTTGGTTTCCATGCCGGTTCATTTTGACTTTTTTTCTGACCTCCAGAACGTATTAATTGGTTTTCCATGCATTCCTATGGAAAACCACGTTTCGGTTTACAAATGTTTCGCAATAAGAAACATCCTGGAGAACGCATTAAATTCGTAAACCGAGGTCCCACTGTATATAGCATTTCACTCCAGCATGGGTGAGTAATGTCACCAGATGACGATCGGGCTGCCAGGAGAACTTTGTGTCGATGCTGGATCAATTTTTAATTTTTTTTTTGGGTGGCAAAATGCCAGTAAGGGCTGCACCATTCAAAAACTATGTTTTACCAAAACACTGTTTTTTTGTTTGTTTTTTGGTAGGAGTAACCCTTTAAAGTGCTATAGTTACAGAGGCTTCATTTATGTATACATAAAATCCATGTCGCTTTCAGTGACGGAATTAACTTTAATCCGTATGTTATACCAGTAAAATTGTCCCCAAATGTAGAGATTAGAATATATACTGTGACATAAATTGAAGTTTGCTCCTGGAACTGATGAACAGGATCTGTTTACTTTTTGAAGTCCTTAGAGTGCTGTTACCTACCATTTTTATTTTTATATATATATATATATATATATATATATATATATATATATATATATATATATATATATGTAAAAAACAGATAAGATTCTTATCTTGTAATACCTTTTTTATTGGACTAACAGAATTTTTTAATGACAAGCTTTCGGGAGAACCTCCCTTTTTTACATCTACATCACTGGACTAATACGGCTACAATCTCTACTTGAACACTATGGAAGATATATATATATATATATATATATATATATATATATATATATATATATATATATATATGTGTGTCTTTGTGTGCTGATGAAAGTTCCAAGCTAGGAACTGAAACGTCGACTATCTGTGAGAATAAAATCACAGCAGAGGAGAGGGGACAGGCATGCGCGGTAGTGTGCTCAGGACTTCATAGGGCGGCATGAATGTATTGCGCATGTGCGGCGAAGCTGCGCATGCGCACAAGGGAGCAATGACGCTTCCAAATGGAAGCGTCTGATTGCTCCCTGCTCGCGCCCGCCTATATCGTCATTTTGACGAAATAGGAGACGCGGCTTCACGAGGCTCCCGGCGCTGGAACGAGGTGAGTAAAAAGGGCTGCCTGCAGTGTCCCTATAAGTTATGCCACCAATAAAAAATACTTTTACACTAATGCATTTTCATTAGGGCTATACTTACTAAATAGTGATTTTAATTCATTTTTGATTTGGGCAGTTTAGTGTCCTTTTTAATTGAAATTACACTTAGTGATAATAAAAAATGCATATTGTGTGGCTGCAATGTACAAACTGAGTTTCCATATGTTTTTTTAAATCTTTGTGGCATTGCAGACCCAAAGGGTTAAAGATTTAGGCTGATCAGCTGGGTTGTATCTGAGTAGGCTATATCCATCCCCCTGACTTAATTCCTCTAAGTAAGGGCCACTCCAATTACATTAGAATTTTTAGTATGGGTTCATATTGTCTTGGCGTCCTTCTGTTGAGTAATGATGTAAAATGGGTTATTCCATTACCTTAATGGTTGTCCTGTAAGGCGGTTGGAAGAATGACTGGGTATTAAATGCAATATTGCTTCATTTTAGTGTCTGTAGCTGCTGAATGCTGTGGTTTAGTGAATTATCCGTTTGTATGAAAACAAATAGCTTTCATACTCTCAAGCAGAAACTGTTTTTGAAATTGAAAGTTTGCCTTTAAAGGAAAAATGTTTTCCCTGGGCACCCTGAATTTCTGAATTTATCACATAAAGGGCACTTAAGGGGGTCTCACAATGTCAGCTCACGTCTTCAAGGAAGATCCATTGTTAATGCAAAGGCCTGCTCTGGAGTTTTTCATCAGTTTGAATAGGTTTTTTTTTTGAGTGATCTCTTGAAGTAAGAATGGATCTGCTGTGCATGCTTGAATAAACCACAAATCTCAGGCATGCTTAAATCCCTTCAGAGTTGGGGGTTTTGCTTTAAGTGGATGGTCTTCACTCAGATGTTCCAGCTAGAGATTGATAATCACTTGGCAGTGTTCTGTATATTAAGTGAAATACAAATATACATATTTTATTCTAGACTAGACAAAGATTTTTGCCTGGTATCTAATGTTACCTCGGTGCTTCATATAGTTAAAATATTAAGAAATGAATGGATACTGAAATAGGCATAAAGGGAGCAATGTTGAAATAGAGATCTATGAAATTACATCATCTCTGTGTGGCTGGTGTATGGGTCTGGCTTCTAGATCCCATCACTTATATGAACTACATTTCCATATAGAATAAATGAGTCTTATGTCTCATCTTGGTTAAGTCTGAAAAACGAGTTGTCTGTTTTTAACTCTCTTTTATATAGAAGGTTTACAAATTGCTTCCTGTTCTGCTGGAATGAAGTGCCTGCATGTAAGATTGAGTGTTTTTGTAAAACTGTTTATTTTGGTAAAACTGGTTGCTGAATGTGATCTAAGTGGGTGCTGTTTTATAGGATGTCATCTGTAATGCCATTGCCTTGGGAGTGGTGGGACTATTGAGAGATGTTAGTGGTATAGTGGTGATGTGTCATTGGGGTGGCTGATGACTCGTATGTGAAGATGTATGAGGCCAACTGTGGGTGTCACTCTGTGACTTGGATGCTGATCAGTGATTTGAGTGACACAAATGTTATTAATAATATTGATGGAATTGTGTGGGCATCGGAGTGCCATGTTTTTGATTAATCAGTGATTTGGGTGACACTGTGATTGTGCCAGAGGAAACATCAGCTCACCAGGGGTTTCCGGTTCTTCATGTTTGGCCTGACTCCTAGATCTACTTTAACTTTATAAACATCTCAAGTTTATTTCTAGCTGTATAGATTGTTACTGTTAAGTATGCTGCAGAGAGGAGTGGGTTGACCTGCTAACTTTCTAGTGTAATTTGTCACCTAATTGTGTAACAATTACCTGCCTGGCTACATGCCCAGCAGTTGTGCAAAGAGACCTAGCCACACACCCATACTTTACTCAGCCATCATGTTCGTAATGAACATACCGTGGGAGCATTATCTTTATGCAAATATATATGTTATTAGACCAGCCCCATTATCTATAACTCTGTGTTTAACCTTTTTACAGAGGTGACTATTTTCTGTGTTTCCCCCCCAGAGCTGATTTTAATCTATGTGAAATAACTCACTCCATTCCATTTGGGTGCGTGTAGTTTGTTTTGAAAAGAGCTAGTGCGTTGGAAGGGTTAAAGATGGATTGGCTGAGGCATTATGCAAGCTGTTAAGTAAAAAGGAAGTGCATGACAAAACGCTGAGCTCAGGAGTTTGGCTTCCAGCCAAGCCTTTGCTTTCTTCACTACAGCTGAGGGCTTTCTAAGCTTCCCACAAGTGGGTTTGTCTGAACTGTTTAGGAATGCTGCCTCAGTCGCCAGCTGACGTCAGTGCTAGCAGTTCAGCTGAGGGCCAGGCCGGGCTGACAGTGCTGATAGGGAGGGGCTTGCTACGGCTGGCTGCTGTATTTTTAAGCCTGGGTGATGTTGGGAAGCTGCGTCGGAGAAACAAATTTGGCTTGTGTGTACATGTATGCACGAGTTCTTTATTTATTTCTTTAGTTTTTTGGTTTTTTTTTAAACTGCCCTTATTTGAACTTTTTGTATTCGTGAATGCATGTTTTTATATTTTTAGGTTTGTGTGTTTCAATTAATTTTTTATTAATCCGTTGTGTGTTGTACAACAATACAATTACAATTATTTCTATATCGCCAACATATCCTGCTACACTGTAGTAGTAGGTAAACAACAAACCTTTCTAACAAAACATTGACACACGGGAACAGTAAAAGAAGAGGACCTTACCCAAACAAGCTTTCAATCTAAAGGACTGACTAATGACCGGCTTTATAGCAAGGGTTTCAATACTTGTAAATTAGAAAAATCAGCTTCATGCACTGTTAAGGTTAAATGAGTAAGCGACAACTTACTGTATTGTCATGAAAACCAGGCTTATCCGTTATGATTTGTACATTCTAAATGAATTTTAAATAGATTTTTCAGTTGTGAGATCGCTCCACGTTAGAACAAGTTCATTGGACAATGAAAATTTGGCCTGATGCAGTCCTGAGCAGTTGCTTGCATTGTCTTTGGGGTGCCATTTAAAAAGAGTATTACCCTCTGTAATAGCACAATCTCTTCTGATTTCTCCAAAGACAATACAAAATGCTTTTCAGTTAAAAAATATTGGATCAAGTGATTTAAAAAAAAGTATCCTCCCCTGTCTTAACCCATTAATGCAGTAGATGGAGCCGGACTTGTGATCGTTGTGCAGCTTACCCCCTTTTAACTAAGAAAGATTAATGCATTAATAGACCTGACTATGCTTATCCTTTTCCTGTATCAAATATGAGATTTTGTTTCCAGTGCAGTCTATGGTCGGTGATGGCAGATGGCGTTAACATGCGTGCATGTATAAATACCTCTGGAGTCAAACAGCTGAAAAGTATCAGCACAATTTCAAGCTATCTTGGTTAGCTTGTGTTATTATATATCTGGTGTGGTGTAGCTTCTCTTGGTGTAACCTAAAAGCCTAGTGGTATCCTGTGTTTCTTCATGTCTAAATAAAGAAGCTGTGGTTTCCTTTGCAAGGCCTAACGTTTGTAGCTACAAGCAGTGGAATTACTCTAGCCTCTAGTGGCAGTAGTGATCAGTGCCACCCCACTTGCTTCGAAGTTAAATCTGAAGAGCTGTGAAGGGTGCTTTATAGAGTGCATTATTATTTCAGCCTTCAGCTCTGAGGCTTCTCAGAGTGGTTTTCATTCTTTTTAATCAAGAGGATACTGGCTTTCCCTTTTAGGCCAGATGTCAGGGAGAATAAAAAAGGAAGTCTGTACCCCAGATGTTCTAAGTAATTGGGTGATCAGTTGCAACCGCTGCATTCTAAGTGTGGGCACAATGAAAGCATTCTATATTACCCACTAAGAATTTATTGTACATGAATGTTTCCCTTTCAACACTTCTTTGATCTGTCTTCCATATTTTCTATATTTATGTATGACTCGACACTGGAGCAAAAATGATGCATCTACAGCTATTGATATCTCGTCTCTGGGAGAAAAGTATGACCCCTAATGAACTTGGCAACGTTGTTGCTTCAGCAGCTGTTTTGCAATTAGAAGCAGAGAATATATTTTGAAATGCATCTGCAAGCCAGTTAGTCTTAGTATTTTGTTTCACTTCTCATTTAAAATTGCAGCTTTCAGCTCGATTTGACGTTATGTGTGTACCCACATGAGTAAGACATAACAAGTCTTAAGCGTTTGAGGAACATATTTATGTTCCGAGCAGTACAGGAAGTACTTTGTACTAAAACCAACCCTTTGGTGGATCAAGATTTGTTTGAGTCACACGTTCATATGTTAAATCATATATGTGAGTGTGCAACAAGAGGATTTTCCCTGCTGTGTCTGTTGTGGGATGGAAGTATTATCTTATTTTTAGGAGCTGAAGAACCTATAGTAGGGAGTGACATGGCTTCCTTGGTGTTCCTGCTTCATTTTTTATAATGTCTGAGGGAAGCAGACTGCAGTGCTTCCAGTAGACCACACACGTCATGTCTAAAAGGTCATGTTGTTTCACATGGCGGTAGCTTTTATAGTTATGCATCTTTGTCTGAGTATATGTGTGTGTAATAAATAAATAGTTATGTCGACTCAGACATTCAAGAACAAAAATCATAAAAAGTAAACATCTAGTCCAGGAGTATGAACCCCCTTTCCCCACAAAACATGTAAAATACACACAGTTTTAAAGTACAACAGTTCAAAGTATATTATTTAGTTTGTTTTTATAGGCTCCTCACACCCGTCCTCTTTAAATAATAAACTACAGACAAATCATAAAATAAGATTTATTGAGATGTGATGGAAACAGTAAAGAAAACTGGGTTTAGCTGAGTGGAGAAAGATTGCTGTAATTATGATATTCTATGTATCATTTAGAACAGTGTCTCTTTTACATTTCTGCACTCGTTTGTACGGGCTCCCTTACAAGTGGTCTGCTGCATTATATACCACTTTTAAACCAAAGTGTGGGTTTAACGCTACATAGAAGTTCACATCTGCTTTGACCTTTATGGAAGCCTGAAGCCAACTGCTATTAGCACATTTTTAATTTAACTCTCTCTGCCTACTCCTTAGATGTAAATATTTCATTAGAAAAGGAAAAACTGCATAGTAGGCACTCACCACTTCTTGGCCAACAGATTTGGCACAAGATATTTAATGAGTATACATACAAATATTTAAAGCGTTTTTGTATGTGTGCTAGCTTTAAGTCCACAGCTCTAGTAACACAAACATATACCCAAGCCTAATATTGAAAGCTGTACATGTTTTATTGTTTACTATTAACTGCTTCTAGAGGCACACTTGCAAATGTAAACATTGCTATTTCTCACTGTATGTGCAGCAAACTACTACATTAAATACACTATAGGTCCCTTGATCACCTCCCATTGAAGTGGTCTAGGTGCAGTGTCCCTGACCCCTTAACCCAATGTAGAACATTGCAGGGTTAGGACAGCCTCTAGTGGCTTTCTTGCAAACCGCCAATAGAGGAACCTGTTTTTCAGAGTTTAGCTCAGTGAAATGGTGTTGGTTGTATAGTGTTTCTTGTTTGTTGAGATTTTGAAACTTAATGTGCCTTTACTTTTTTAATATGGCATTTCTTTTGCAACATTAAAGCTATGATCATGTCACTGTATTCACATTTGTTTGCTTTGGTATGTATATGCCAATAATAATTATTATTATTATAATAATTGTACCAGGCTTGATAAAGGCTTTCGTGAGAGCAGAAACTTTGCTCATCATTTCCACTTAAACTGTCTTGGGACAGTACCAAAGTGCCTTTTTTTGTATCCATCGTGAAAAAGGAGTGGAACTGCCCTCAGCGACTGTCCATCTACGTGCATGTGCCTTCTCCTATATTTCCTCAATAGTCTCTTTTAAACCATTGCTTGTTTTGCCAATGAGGGGAAGCTTGGGAGGTTGTATAGATTTTAGTATCTGTGAACATCCTTTTGACTGGATGGAAATCCAAAACTGATTGTTGAAAAGATTTAGAATAAATAATTTATGAAACTCAGTAATTGATTTAAAGACCTTCAGGCATTCTGTACATCATGTAGTGTTTGAACCATGGAGTATCTTTCTGCATTCAGTTGTATTGATTGTAAAGTACTCAGCTGATTTTAAGGATTATCAAGTCTTTGCATGCATTTTTGCCTATTTCATATTCTTTCAAATCACAGAAAACTAATTCCATTCTTTTGTTTAAGATAGATTTGTAAAAAAAGGAATTCTATCTTGGGTTAACCAGTTAGAAAAATGTCTGTCTACATAAACAAGGGGCTAGCCAGTAAGTTGACCGGAACTCACCTCTGCAGTGATGACTGTTTGGTACCAATCCAACCGTTATCGACTGAATCTGGCTAGTGTTTGGGGGGGGGGGGAACGCTGTAGAATTCTTTGGCTACTTTGGAAAGTTGACAAATTTATGTCAACTCGGCAGCAATGATTGCTCCCAACTGCAAGGTCTAATCTCACTGAAGTCAATGAAGTTCACTTGTTACAGTAAATGTGCAGATTTGTCCTCATCTTTGGCTTGCTAGCTTAGTAGAAGCTTGGTTTTAGTGGATGAGATGACATAATGTTCAGATCTAATAAATATGCTTAATACGTTGTTTTAGATTTGCCACATGGCCTAATGAATGTCTGTTTCAAGCCAATATAGAGAAGAGTACATTACAGCTGAGCAAACAAGCAGAGAGTCTCTCATCATTTCGCCCATTATGCAGTGGCATTAAATATACATATAAGGAAGGGAGCAGATGCTTTTGTTCATGAATTGATAAGTAAAGAAGCAGCCTTTCCCAGCAGGGTTCTGCTCAATCTGCTACTCCTTTACATGTAATGAATAGCTAATTTCTCCAGGATGGTCCAAGAAAGGTAGACTGCGCAAGTGCACGGAGGGGGAGATCCAGAAACTAAAACCAGCAGGATGCGGAACGATGTGCTTTTTAATGGGGATGCATTTTCACAATTGCAGGGGGTGATAATCATAAAGACATGCTCATCTGTTCATATTCAAATGAGAAATTTACAGAAACAAGGAGGTGCTCTCCTGGTATGTGAATAGCTTAAAAGGGAAGCAGGCACATTGTTAGATAGCAATGTGCAGCACGCAGGATTTACATTTTGCTAGTGTGATGGTTTAGTCTCCAGCATTTTTAACTTTGTGTACTGTAGGTCTAGGAATGCTTATTATTGAATGCTTCTCTTTCGTGAGGAATGTTTCATTTTTAGCCAGGCAGTACTGCACCACCTCTGGTCGTTTCATGGAGCAGTGCACCCGATGGCATATTTCTTTCCAGTTCTCATTTTGGTCTGGATCCCTCTAGAATATCTGTGTTTTACGTGAAAAAATACTTATGACAATTTTTAGGCAGTGTTTAGGAAAAAACAGTGCACATACAGATTTGATAATCTACTCTCATGCTTTTTGGGGTAAAGGGCAAACCATGCAGTTGTTTTCCTTAACTTTTGGCATGCTCACAGAACATATAGGGACTACCAAATCAGTGACTGCTTTTAGAAGTAGTTAGAACTGGTCATATTCCTTAAAGGGTCACTCCAGCACATAACTTAGCATTCCAATGGTTAAGGTGCAGTGTACCCTGTTTCTCGTGTCCTTGCTCAAAGTGGTTTATACGAGCAGTGTTTATCTGCTGAGCATTTAGAACAAGAGTACTTAGACAATGTTTGTGTGCATTAAAGGAGCACTCCAGGCTTTCATCCGAAAAATGTACAGAAACAAATGAAAAATAATGAATTCTACTTGCATTGAAAGAGCCAGCTTTTGCTGCATTGCAGTGAGTAATCCCAATCAGGGAAGTGACTCAAAGGATGACTATTTCTGGAAAGGGGAGGCAAAATGGTAGCGATTTGAATATGGTGAAAAATATGTGGATATGAGGCCATATGCACTTAAAGGCCTACTCCAGGCACAATGTCCACTTCAGGGATTTGAAGTGGTCATGGTGCCCTGGGCTCTGTATGTGCAGTGTTTCACTGTGATACAGTTTAACCAGTCTGCTGCCAGAGGTGTAACTACTTTTGACAGTGCCACTAGCCAAGAGCTCCAGGCAGGCTAATGTCAATTCTGTACATATTCTTTGCAAAGAATTGCATAAATGATTCAAATTTGAATAAGCGAGTAGTCAGCTGACATTCTGAACCAATGATGAGAATGGCTGGTGGGATTGACTTTTGCACCTCTGCAGAAGCTGGGTGTTCTCACTGGCCACAGGAGGGCGATCTGCCCTGTGAGGACCCAGGTAAGAGTGCTAACTGTTGCAAATCTTTTTCCATTACTAGGAACCAAGGCCAGGGCACTTTTCCAAAAAACAGCTTTCAAAATTAGAAGACTGTAGTGGTTATGATGCTTGGAGTAACCCTTTAAGGGAATACAAACTTCTGCTGCGTGCGCTCTAAGCAAATGTTTCTCATAATAAAGTATTGTATACTATAAAGTGAGCTGCATTTGGTCACATGACAGTGGTCTGGGTGCATTAAATGGTCCTTTAAGTTGTGTTGGAGTCTTTCGTGTCCCATTAAACCAATAAGATTTCTAACGTCATATGGTCTTTTACAGAAGAGTAATGGCAAAAGAAATGAATGTGTCTGTTTTAGATGCAAAACCTGAGATGGCCTGCTGAATCCTGCGTTTCCTGCATTTTATAGATAATGGACAAATGTGTCTAGAACAATGGATATGTGAAATGTTTTTTCTATTGGTGAAAATTCTAAATTAAAGGAGGAAATACCCGGAACAACCTTTCACTTGATGAAGGCAAGGCAAAAAACTGTAAATAAACTTTCTGCAAAGCATGTAAGGTAAACCTGCGTAAGTTTGTTTGCAGAGGGCAAACTAGTTTGGTCAATTCGTACATATGTTATTGCAATCTGTTCCTTGAAATGGGATTTCAGTTATTTTTCTAGGGTAAGTATTCTTTAAACAATAATGCAAAATAGGCATGCTGGAAAAAGTCCTCAGGCCTTGCTAATAGGGCAGAATTTCTGGATCTTGTATAAGCACAGGTGGCTTGATCACGTGTCTAATTCATGTAGCACCGGTGGCCAACACAGTTTCCAAAACCCAATTGCATACTTATTCTCTGAGTTAAAATAGGTCAGTAACGCACAAGTTGCTGCGTGGAAACAATTAATATTCACTTAATATAGGATGTTGGCAAATTAAAACAAATTACTCTATTTCCTTTCAATACTAATTTATCTGTAAGGTTTTCCTACAATTTACTCCTCTCCTCAATGATAAAATTAAATACAGTGTGTCAATCCTGACCTAGTGAACCTTTGTTTTTAACATTTAAATGGACTCTATGTAGGGTAGAGGTGTTAAAATGTCTCCTTGAGTAGTGTTAATCCTGCTAGAGATATAAGATTTCTCTAACTTGTAACTAGTTAACTCGAACAGCAAATAGCGTCTGGAACGTTGTAATGTTAAATCCAATTTACACATACAGATTAGGAATACCTTAACTGCTAGATTTAGAGGATGCACACTATATGAAAAGTTTAATAGCTTGCCTGATGCCCTAAAACTGCATGTTTACGTTAAATCAATGTTAGATTTGTTGACCGTCTAAATCAATCCATGCCTTCTGCTTCACTTTGCCAGTGACACAAGTCTAATGCTGTTAGTTTCCTGCTATTTTTAAACGTTTTAGAAAATGACAGAACACTTCAGGTAAATTCAGGCACAGCCAGGGCACCCATTGCAAATGGGGAGAAATAAAAACATTGTTTAATTTCTCCTATTCTCTGTATGCTACCTCTATGATGGATTGCAAAGGAAAAATGACAACCGGTAACAATGATTGCCCGGGAACGAAGTTGGAGGTACCATGTTGCAGTATAAAGAGTTAAAGGATCGCTATAGTGTCAGGAAAACAAAGCAGTTTTCCTGACACTGTAGTGCCCGGAGTGTGCCCCCACCCTCAGAGCCCCCTCCCGTGGTGCTGAAGGGGTGAATACCCCTTCAGCAGCTTACCTTATTCCAGCGCCAGGCTCCCTCGGCACTGGTGACCTCTCCTCACCCGCCGACGTCAGCAGAGCCGAATGCGCATGCGCAGCAAGTGCCGCTCGCGCATTCAAAGTGTCCGTAGGAAAGAATTTCTCAATGCTTTCCTATGGACACTGCGCGATGGAGGCATAATATGCCTCCAGCGTTGCAGATGCGCCTCTAACTCCAAATGTAAACATGGCTTAACCCCAAATGTAAACATAGCAGTTTCTTTGAACTGCTATGTTTGCATCTGGAGGGTTAAAACCTGAGGGACCTGGCACCCAGACCACTTCATTGAGCTGAGGTGGTCTGGGTGACTATAGTGTCCCTTTAAGGATTTTTTTTTTGTAAATTTTTCTCATAATACAAATCACAAATCCCGGAAAGTTACAGTTCCCATTTTAAAGTGACAGCTTGAGGAACATTCATTACATTATTCTGAGATGTAAGCTAAGAGCGAGAAGACCACTATATTCATATCTCTAATGTTGTTTAAAAAAAAAAAAAAAAAACTCTCAATTTAATAGTTAAAGGAAAAATAAATACTGATTGTTATGGAGAGACATTAACCCTGTCCCTTTTAGTATTATGCAGAATGCTGGTTGGCATGACAACCATGTCATATTGTCTAATGAGATTTTTATTTTAAATGCACACACTTTAACCTTTTCAGTACCACAGAGGCTTATATCTGTCACAGTAGTGGGTTTTGTTGTTGAATGAAACCTGACCTTGTCCACAGAGAGAGACTTTTCAGACTATCTCTGTAGATCTCCATGGTTTCTGCAGTAATCTCCCTTGTCCTTCAGTGTCCCAAGCTGCCATCATCTGAGTATTCTGACACGTCTCTCCTGAAGGAGTTTCTTCAGGGCGTCACTTGTTCTACGTGGAAGTCCTTATGGGAGAGCCCATACCTCCCTGTGCTGCTCATCAGAAGCACTGCTAGATGAATGTAAACATTTTGCTGATTGCTTACAGACTGTATCTGGCATGAAAATAATAATGCTTGGCTTTAAATTTCCATTTCCATTTGCACTCCTCAGGTTTACTCTAGCCGTCAGATTTCTGTAAAGTTAGCTGGAAATCATTATCCTCTAGAATTCTTTATTAGAAGACCTGAGTGTCTATGCAATGTCCGAATAAATTCTTTAATAAACATGCTTCACAAAAGCTATACGTGGTTTTTCAATGTGTTACTCAATTATGAAATCTCCAGAGAAGTTACACTTCCCCTTTAAAACCTTTTTTGGAGCCATTAATCCTTTCCCCCACCTAACTAGGGATGTGTTTCTGCGTACATGCCTGATCTCTAAGGCCAGTACTAATGGTAAATTGTTTATATCTTGAGTACATTGTTGTTTTTAGATGACTAGTATCTGTTAGTGCAGTGCTCTGCATGCTTAAGATATATAATATGGTTAAAAAAAAAGTGCCTTTTTTGTCATGTTAAAGGGGAGAGTGTTAAATCTTGGGAGAAAATGGAGAGGAGATCCATTTTCATTGACCGCTGCTCTCTCTAAAAGGTCTTTTGTGAGTGGTTTTTCCTTCTTGTTGCTCCTGGGTGTTAAGTTTTTGTTATTTCAAACATGTATGTGATTTACACTTCGGGAAATGGAGCAAGCCTCTGTTGGAAATAAAGGAGAAGGGAGTGCCTGTTTCCCCTACTGAGAAATAGGCTTTTTTTTCTTCTTCTTGAAAACCAGTATTAGCTTATTAGTGTGAATTTGCAGACCGAATGCCTTCAGCAAAAGAAATTTACTGGAACTTAAGCCCTGCACATTTGCTGTCTTTTATGTTTGAGACAAAATAGAACCTTGTTTTTAGTTTAATCCGGCAGCATTTATTTTCTTTATATTTTTTAAATTTTGTAAGATTCCCCCCAACTTTTCATGTTCTATTCTGCTTGATATGAGTTTTTGTGGTGGTGGTGGTAAATGCACTTGTTGGTCTGTTGATATCTTTAATAAGTCTCATTGCCTGTCACTGGATTGGGCCTTTATTCCACTTTTATTATTGTAATGAATAGTCATGCTTAACATTAGATTTTATTGGGACTTAGAACCATTTTCTATTTTATTAATTTAGAAAATCATTTTGGGGAATCATGAGGTTTCAGGAGCTGCAGATACGCTTTTGGCCCTTGTAGGTTGCAGTCTTGTAACATAATATTAAATGATTAGATAATTTTTTTAACACACGTGCAGTCTCACTAGCTGAGTGACTGTTATATATGTGGTTATTTTATTAGTTTGTTTATGGGGCATGTAGGGATTAACTACGAGTGTTTGGCATGTTGAATTGCTGTTCGGTTTCATTCCTAGTGAGTGAAGCAAATTCTTATTTGTATCCTTAGTCCCAATGATACATTTTGTAAAGGTTATTGTGCTGTGCTTCCTGTACTTGCCCTCCTGTGGGATTTGTAGGTGTAAGCAACCAACCGCTGGGTTTACTGTTAAGGAAGCTCATCTGAAATGCCTTTTGTAATAGCAATCAGCATTCTCTCATTTAGAAGTAGATACAAGCCCAAGTCATATGCACTATTAAAGGCAAAAAACTAGCATGACCAGTCACAAGCTCTAATATGTGTACAGATTCTCAACGTCATGATAGTTGCAAACAGAAATATGGAACGTTTAAATAATGTTTGTTTGTGTTTTAAAAAAAATCTGAAAATAAAAGAATGAATAGTATGATCCAGATTGAGATATGTCTTCAGTCAAGTAAGAGCAAGATCTAATAATAGCTTTGAAAGTGCACAGACTTACAATATTTATTCATTCTAAACTCCTACTATCTTACCCACTATAGCCTTCTATAGTGGTTTTGGTGGTAGTAGCAACATGGCACTGTCCCACGGCAATGGGGCAAAGCATTTTACAACAGTTTATCCTCCCTTGCTGTCTTAAGACATCTGGGTTCTGCAGAGAGGCAGTATCCTAATGCCGACCCTCCCTAGAACTTCACCTGACTGCTTTCAGCCAATGAATGACATTTTGTGTGTAGAAATATGCACAAAATAGGCATTTGCCAGACCAGAGCTCTTGTCCTGGACTGGCTAATGATGCCTAAATGAAGCTGCCAGAGTTAGAGATACACCTCCTGTAGCAAAGAGGTTAAACTTGGCATGTGCAGCATCCAAGCACATGATCACTTTAAATCACTGAAATGGTCATGGTGCTTGTAGTAACCCTTTAACACACCTGATGTTTTGTTTTCTGTTTTTGCATTTTATCAACAGAAAGGTACTTGTTTGACAAGTGATTCCTTATGGTACAGGAATACCCCAATAGATTTGCTTCTCATTTTAGAACTGCAATCTGATTGGCTCTGATAAACCACGCAGTGAAGTATGCATTTTGGTTTTTACTATTTGAGGATAGCTTATTCATTTCCCTTTGCTTTCTCTTTCATGCAGGTTTCCATTTGAGTGGCACAGTGACAGAGCCTGCAATGCAGTCAGAGCCAGAAATTGTTTGCAATGTAGCCATCAGCTTTGATCGTTGCAAGATTACCTCAGTGACCTGCAGCTGTGGAAACAAGGACATCTTTTATTGTGCTCATGTCGTTGCACTCTCATTATACCGCATCCGCAAGCCGGACCAGGTGAAACTACATCTTCCTATTTCAGAGACCCTCTTTCAAATGAACAGAGACCAGCTGCAGAAATTTGTACAGTATTTGATCACAGTTCACCACACAGAGGTCTTGCCTACCGCTCAGAAACTAGCAGATGAAATTCTGTCACAGAACTCTGAAATAAATCAAGTTCATGGTGAGTTATGCTGCATTTTGGTAAGATCTTCCAATTCTGCCTCTCTATCAGATTTATTTATTAAGAAGCACACCCAGTGTAGACAGACAAGCAATCAATAGTAGAACATAATGCGATGGCATCTGAATATGTGACAGCATAAGTTTTTCAAACGCGAGAGCAACTTATCAGTGTGTTAACCACTTTCTTCCTCTTTCTAAATGAAAAAATGTCATTAGATTAACAAATTATAATTACTATCAGAACCTGTAGTGGTGGCATTGAGTTTCATAACCGTGCTAAGTTCAATAAACTTCAAAGCCTAGTGTTGCACACTGATTTGACCATTAAACTTTTGATGGCGGAAGGGAGTGAAACACATTTCATCTTGTAATCATTGGCCCCCTGTCCGAGGCTTCCTGTTTCAAGAAGCAGAGAGAAGCAAAAGACAGGGACAGACCCAAACAGCACTGGCTTTAAGATTTTGGTGTTAAACAGTTAATGGTTTAACCCCTACAGGTAAGCCGGCACCTTGGACCTCCTGGTAACGTAGCATAACTTCATTCCGATTAAAGGCACTCTATAAGAAACCAAACGACTTGATCTCCTTAAAGTGATCTGGGTACAGTGTCCCTGTCCCCATATCTGCAATGCAAAACTTTGCAGTTTTACAGAAACTATAATGGGTGACAGCCACTAGAGGCACTTTCTGCTGTTTCAAGGAGTTCAACTCTGAGAAACGGTGCTGGATGTCCTTTGCATAAGGATGTTCAACGTCTTGCAAATACCCATATGAATGTCTTGATTCAATGCTTTCCTATGCAGAAGGTCTACTGTGCACATCACGCTTGCCACACTTGTGCATTAGGTTACCCCTTGCTCTGAAGTCGGAGTTTCCAGCACTTGGGGACCTCAGTGCTGGAAACAGGTAAGGGGGCAGTGAGGGCAGAGGAACACTACAACCATAAATTCTATTGTATGGAGCATTATCCTATAAACCCCTTTCCAACAGAAATTAATAATACATATAATTTGTCTCCAGCCACAGCTCCATTAAAAAATAACTGCGTGGAATTGCCAATAAGCTAGTAACAGATACATTAGCTGCTATCTCTTTACTAGCAGCTCCTTTCACATGTGCCTCTTCTCCTGTTTAATCTGGTCTATCCCTGTGCTCATCAAAAGAAATGTTAATATGTAGGTCTCTTTGATTTTTAATAATGTTTTCAGTTCAGTTTGTACTCTGTTAAAGCAAATTTATCCTGCTGGTGACATCTAGGCCTTGTGTATCCGTTTGGTGCTTTAGTGATCCCAACTGGTACTCTTAGATTACATTACTCGCTGACCATTGTCCAGGACTGCGGCTAGGGATAGTCTTTATGTACCTTTTTTGAGTAGACTGTTAAAAGGGTTGTACCTAGAATTCATATACTGCAGGAAAGAAATTAATCAAGGGGGTGTCACAAAGGAACTACGACCAATAAATTCTATTCAGCAGCTCATGGCTACAGTCTGGCATTCTTTATGTGCTACACATTATTGCGAAGTACGGTAAATTGTCCAGGAAGGCTTGGTGGAACTGATCATTTGCAACCTGTGCATTACAGGCGTGTTAAGTGTTATTGTCACTGGTATGATTGTTACTTTATCTGTATACATGCTGAAATGAAATGTTTGAGGCCTTCTGCCATCGTTTTAGTTTGAAATGGTTTCATTGCGTGCATTGCTGCAGGAACAGGATGTTTGTCTAAATGTGTGGAGAAGGTTATTGAATCTGAGACTTAGAATACGAGGTAAGTGTTTGGCTCTTAGAGTTGCATTACAATATTTGCATATCTGTTATTCATGTTTGGTAAAAAATGCTGACTTAAAATACAATAATGAAGTGCACAAATTGTGCACATGAATAAAAAAAAGCTTAAGGTAGAATAAGAACAGAATTTGTTCTTGAAAGAATTATTTTAACTATTTCACCTAATTACAAATTGCAGCAAAGTGCAAACTAGCCACTGCAAGATAGTGTTGTTAAGAGATAGACAAGTTCAAACATGCTCCATCTCCAATGATTCAATTGAATCCCTTTCCCCACCCCAACAAGGCATAGTTTTTCTTGGTTGAAGATGGCTGATTTTTGCTGAAATCACTGGTTCTCATTTTCAAAGAATTCCCCCTGTGCAGAAAATACTTGTTCACTCATAGCTTAATGTATCACATGTCACTGTTTGTTCCACTGCTATAGACAAGAAATGTCTATGCAGCGTTCATATCTGGGAATTCCACCTACAGTGGCTTTCTTTTCACATTCTATTATTGACCTCCCCTGCTTTGCTATAGAAGCCTTCATCTGGAGAATAATTGCTGAAAATGTAAGGAAATTGACTTACATCTGGGTACTGATACTGAGTGCAAAAAGGATGGAGCTTGTATAACCATCACATGTATATGCCAATTGTGTCCTGAGCAAAACAGTGTAGTGTTGGTTGGAAACTTGCATTTATTTATGTAAGGGTCTCCATGTCTTCCAGAGGATTCCATTTTAAAAACTTGGTTTCATATGCATATATTCAATGTGGTTTGTAATCCAAGTTGTTTCTGCTGTTAAGTATTCTACTGACAAAATGTACCTTTTATTTCTATAGAGCATCAATCACCTTGACTAATTATTCCACATCTCCAGTATTTACTTAACGCAAACATGATGCTTAAAATGTAGAACCCCTTAAGGATCAAGGCTTTTTTTTGGTGATGCAACGTGTTTGTGGCCAAGGCCTTTTTGGCACCTTTACCATGTGTTCTCCCACAATTTCCCCCTTTCTGTTTATATATTATATATTATTTGTTAAGGAGAAATAAGACTTAACTTTGATACCTTATATTTATACATCACAATTGTAAACAGGAATTAAATAGGAATAATTTCTACACATCCGAAAACTGGACTAATTACTGAATCTAGTTTTAGTTAGATTGTTAAAATGCCCTATATGTCTAGGATTTCACTTAATTTTTAAAACTAATATTGAAAGAGTAAATTACAATATTAAAGCTAAAACTTTGCACAATTTGACCTTCTGAGATTACAACTTTCATAGTAGTCACATAATTCAAAACTGGTACACAAGTATATGTGCAGAAAGTAGATCTATTAAACTATGTAACTGAGAACATTTTGACACTTTTTCATTTAACCATTTTATGCCAAACCTAGGTCAAATTGGTTAATTTTTTTAATCTAATTTTTATTGCACACTTTAGCACTATTGCAAACACCCTGCAAACACTACTGGTCTCTAGTACAATGATACCCCGCATGTATACCTTTTCCCGTAATCTTACCCATAATTCCAGTCCTTATCCTAGCCATAACCCAGTTGTAATCCTGTCCCCTAATCACACGTCTCTAGGGATTCCCTGTGAACCCTCTATACAGTGTGATTGGAGCGTGAGAGGGAGAGCTATTTCTCGTGCTGTAGCATACAGAGAATGGTGCTGGGCTGTTGGCAGAGCCCAGCATTGATCCTGCTGCATGGATAATTCAGTTAGACCTCCCAAGGTGCTGCTTATATGTCTTCTGTCCGTATTAACCCTAGCTGGTACCTTGACTGCATGAAGTCTATGCCATCACTTGGCATTAAAGCCCTGCACTGCTGGACAGCATAGACCTCATGTAGTAAAATTAAACCTACAAATAATGCAATCTGCAACATAGCATTTTAGTAACTGAAGGGAAAAATAAGCAAGTATGTAAATAATTGTTAAATTAATGAATCTAGAGAATATTTAAAAAATATATATTTTACAGATTTTTCACTGGCTATATTAAAAAAAAAAAAAAAAAAGAAAAAGAAAAAAAAGCTGAACCACCTTCTGGATTGTATTGTTAGGAGCTAGGTTTAGGGGCTGATTGTTCAGCTATAAGGCTGGATCCTTTCAGGTGGCAGGATAATTCTTGCCTTTATGGGTTTTTTTGAGACAATCTACACTATTTGCACATTACCGGGTGAGAGTTTGTAGGCTTGATAAGTGATCATGTTGTACCCCCTTTTCCTTTTGTGCACTTCACCTCCAAAATCTGCATTAATGTCCATTATGCATTGAAGGGAAAGCATAGAAACCACATGTGCTTTATCTCATTGTAGTGGTTATGGCATCATCCTTCCAGTTGTCAATAAACAATTTGAATTGTTTTTAGGCCCATACCCTCTCTGCTGCTTGGGAAAATGAGTACACATCCTGAGCAGCAGTGGGCGGCTTTGATTGGATGAGATGGTATGCTAACTTCATTCAGGCTATCACAATACCACTGCAGGTATGAATTGGTATGCCTACAAGGAAGTGTGTAATCTCTGCCTTAGACACTCCTCCATTGAGGACAAAGCTACTAGAAGTCAGAGGTCCATCATTCTGTGTTAAATTGCTCGAAAATGGTTTAAAACTGAATGGGGGGCACTATTACCTATTCAGTAAGATTAAATGGTTATAGTTATGGTCTACGGTGTCCCTTTAAAAAACACTCCATACATGTAACCACCCTTCAATAAATATAAGTAGTGTCTCCAGTGGGTGTGGTGGAAGAGAGGTCCCCGGCTACAGTGTCTATGGGTGGATCGTCCATCTGTCAGCTGTGAGCAGTTTTATATGTTCAGGGTGCATTTCTACTTTTAGTTGCATAGTACTCTGGGCACTTAAAGGACAACGGTCATCTTAAGACTATTTAATATAATAATCTTTTTGTCAAGCTTTCAAAGAAAATTGATTTTATTTAGATTACGTATATGTAAATGAGAAACTTATCTCTACCTGTAGTATTTTTTTGAAAAGATTATTATATTAAAAATAATTTTGAGGTGACAGTTGTCCTTTAAGGCTGAAGCTCACACCATTACTTTATACGCTATTGAGATATTGCAAGAAAACATGTGCTAGATTAAAACAAATCCTTTGTAGGTCCCATTTTAGAATTTGTGCTGAGGGTGCAGAAGGTGCACGTTCCTAGCAAATGCAGCATTCATCTGTCTGAGATTAGTGGGAGTAACGTTTCTGGGCATAGCTGCTATTTGAAACTAATATTTCAGTCCTTCTCCTATAAATATGCTGTAATAGGAACCAGGAGACAGAATGACTATCTTCTGCTCCTCTCCTGTGATAGGAATAAATTGCCAGCTGCCATCCAACAGTGTACCTCTTAAATATCTGGTAAGCCTGCATATAATCCCCACTGTTGAATGCAGAATTGGAAAGCCTGATTTCCTTGTTATAGTAACAGGCGAAGTGTGTGTATATATATATATATATATATATAATATATGCGTGTGTGGAATGGCTAACATTTTTTATTTTGTATTTGTGTGATTGGATTATCTCTTACATATAATTTCCTCTTCCATGCTGTCCGACTTGTCATGAGCCTCCTCACCCTCCCACTACATAATTATCCGTTCTTATAGTAATTTGCTTTTTTTTAATGGTATGGCCCATATAGGCGTAGTATCATGGCACACTTCAGGCTGCTACAGGTAATTTTTCAATCCTATCGTTATAAAGGGCTACTAAAGGCACTCAGACCACTTAATCTCAATGAACGGTGCAATGTAAAATGTTGCAGTTTTGTAGAAACTGCAAGCTTTCCATTTGCAGGTTAAACACACCTCTATTGGCTGTCTTCCTGACAGTAGAAGTGATGCCTTGTGAGAACAGTCAGACTATTTTTACTCAAATTATCAGTCATGATGATCTCAGCCAGGAAGTCATAGGGGCTGTGGTGAGACCATAACAACATGGAGATAAAGTAAGTCAAACTTACCTTCTAAACCCTCTTGGAGTGGAGAAAAACTCGGAACAATAAAAAGCTATGTGATGTTAGTATTCTTAACACTGTGGCGTTCCTTTAATGACATGCCCATAAATGCATATTATATGATTAGAATTGTGTATATATATATATATATGTATGTTTTAATTTCTCTTGTGGATACAGTGACAATACTTGTTTTAAATAGGGGGTAGAATATGGCAATCACACAATTCTCTAGGTAGTGAACTAATTGGCATGGTGTAAAAGCCCACCCTGTAGAGTATGCACCACTGCGTGTTCCTTGGAAACCCCCAATTAAACCTAAGTGGAACAATATGTGGTAAGGCTGATGAGATCTGAAGTAGTCTCCTTATGCTTTTACTGACACAAAGGTGTTCTTCTAGAATCCTGACAAAAATGTCTTGGGTATTCCCAGGCTACTGTTTTCATCTTAATCTCAGGCTTGACATTCACAGTTAACATGGAGCTAGCTGTTCATTGTAGAGCATCAGGTTCCTTTTTGATGTTTTTTTTTTTCTTCTTCTTCTTCTTTTAATCCTTTATTCTGCTGGTATGTAGTTAGTATTTTCTTGATTTAAACCTCGTAAGCAACCAGCGGTTTTAACTGTGCAGGTTCCATGAAGGAGTAAGAAATTCATAATTTTGCAGTTACATACTATATGCACTTCTGGCATTTTAGAGGTTGCACTCAAATCAGCGTTTTGTTATGACTTTCTTCCAAAATCATCTGCTTGTTTAAAAACACAACAATTGTATTTGTTGTCTTCATATAAAAGAGAAATTAGATTATTGATATTCATTTTGATTTTAGTTCTGCTGCCAGAGATCGTAAAGCCATAGATGCTCACCTAGGGTTTGCCTGATATTCGGTTCTGAAAGGGTTCAGCAATTGTACGCTATCCGGGGGACTGTGTCTGAATGTAGGGTGATTGAGGACTTATAACATGATGTATCGGCTGACATTCCTTAAAATTTAGAACCTACAGGGTAGGATACTAAGCAGAATTTACAGAAATTGCACAGACAAAGATTAGAATTGCCATGTGATCACAAAGTTATTATTCTGCAAAATTCATTATTTCTAGGTAACTATTTGCTATTATTGATCTGTCAGCTGTAGTTAGGACTATATTTCTTAAAATTCTCTCAAACTTTGCTTTATACTTGCATTCAAACCTCAGCTGCACCAGCCATCGAGGTAAATCAAGCATGTCAAATTCAAAGTCTAGCACGGGCCAAATAAACCAGGTTTTGTGGGCCCCAAAAACTTACATTTTCATAGAAACGTAAGTTTATTTTGAAAAGTACAGTATAAAAAAAACCCCAGCCTCCTCCTCTACTAAATCCCAGTCCCCCACATACTAAATACCAGTCACCCCTCTACTAAATCCCAGCACCCCCTCTAGCCAACAAACAGACTCCACTCACAGCTGGTGTAGGGATCTTCTATCTGGAGATCTCAGTCTTTCTGCTGCCCTCTGCTCCCTCACGCGTGCAGTTTAGTGATGCCGGCACATGGCATCACTACAGATGGCACGCGAGGGAGCAGTGAGGACCTGGAAGACTGAGCTCCTCCAGTGACTTCTGTGTCCCGGCCGGGTAAATTTTAGCAGAGTAGGCACCTGCAATGTGGAGAAAACAGGTGTCTACTCTGCTTTAACACTAAGCATGTCTCAAACTCGCGGCTCGCTGGGCCGCAAAGATGCTTGTTGTGGGCCGCGAGTTTGACATGCTTGATGTAAATGATCAGATAATGATAGGGCCATATTGATGCATCTGTCTATACTGCTTTTGAGTGTTTACAGTTTGAGGCATATTTAAATGCTGGTGATACTTTTAAAACACATCTGATCTAGTGACTGTGATCTACTATTTTCAATAAATACAACTACTTTTTCTAAGGACTTTCTAATTAAAGAAATAGAACACATACATTACATTTGTACTGATTTTTTGTTTTTTTGCATATATTTTAAATGGTAATTTGTCCCTGGTAAAATAAAGCACTGTGCTTAAAATGCTTAAAGATTTTTTTGGGGGGGAGAACAGTTGTTCTTTGTCTAAAGTTAAAGCTACCTTGAGGCTTATGAGCTCAGTGCTCAGGTATTCCGTTTTGGCTATGCTCTGCAGTCACAGGTGTGCTACAAACATTGCTAAAGCATGTATGATCTGCTAATCCATCCAACAAAGGGCAAACTGGTCCTCACAAAGTAGGTCTTTGTTTTCTCACCATCCTTTTGATACATTTTTATCTTTATATGTGCTAACAGGATATAATTGGGTTGTAGTGGTAGGTTACTGAAAGAGGGATGGAAAATAAAAATCTAAAGACCATTGGATTCATCAGAATTAAAAGCATTGGCCCTGTCTCTGATGAAGACCCCTACTCCCATTCTAGCAAATACTCTGAGCTGCAATATCTATAGACCTTGTGGCTGATTAATTTGTGGCTAAGTGCAGTATTGGCACTTCAGGTGTTGTGCAATCCATAACTAGTTTGACTGCTTGGGGCCTCATGGGGAATGGTTTGCAACATCTGGCATACCAGAGTTTGCTATCACTACATTCAAACAATTACAATAAGCACATCTGTGTGTTAGAAGAAAGGGGTCATTATGTTTTGTTTACTTGGGTGAATGCATTTGTAAAAAAATCTAAGCCCTAATGGTAAATCGTTTTGTGGCTATACCTTACTCGGCTTAATTTTCACTTAAAAAAAAAATGCTGTCTATCTAGTGAAATTTTAAATCTAAGAATGAAAGTAGCATTTATTTACCTTCTCTCCTTCTTGCCTATCTGACATTAGGTTGGATTTGTCAGTCTGCCGTTCGCTCCTTATTAATTTTATTCTTGCCATGCAATGCTACTGCTTTCAAACAGAGAGCAGAGATTGTCCAGAAGCTAAGTCAAACGCTGTTTTAAGCAGTCTCTTCTGATTTAAATTAAATGTAATTTTTAGATGATCTTCCTAAACTTTAAAGACATTGTATGTAATGGTTTGTGTAAATTAAGCACAAAGATGGTAAACTTCTGCTTTAGAGTACAAGGCAGACAAGTTTCTTTTAACATTGTTGAGATTTGTGTTATTGTAGTCAGACAGCAAAGGCGTCAAAAAAGTAAAAAAAACAAATAAAACCTCTTGCTTTGTTAAAACGTTTTCTCAGTTTTAAAATAAAAAACACCACCACTAAGGTAATCTGCAGTATATCAGAATCGTATCTTGGAAACCACTCCCCCTGCTTAAATTGTTTTTTTCTTTATAAGTGATTAACTTCTTTTTAAGACATCTTGGTCAGAGATTCCACCATTGCTTCTTTTGTGTACAAAGTGTAGCACACAGCACCATGAACAGTCTATTGCTGGCTACCAGTACAGTATATAGAAAGACCTGTACAAAAGTACCTGTATCATACTTTGCTACCTGCTGTCATACAGATAAAGTAAATTGTATTTTTCTGCACTGATTCCTGATACAGTAATAACGACTTGATCATTTTAAGGCAGAATTACCTTTCCATTTGTGAGTCTGCCATTCTACAATGCACTATGTTTAATTGAAGGCAAACTAAATGTGGTTCTTACACGGACCACGTTTAATAACCCCCTATTGTCCTCAGCCAACCATTTTGTGGCCGATGTCAGTGAGGCCGTATTTATTCTAGTTTTAGTTTAATATAGCTGAAGAGCTCATATTAATCTTCTTTCTTATTTCTAAAAAACAAATCCATGCTCATTTTGAATCTGTCACAATGTTGTGTTCATTTATATAGGACATCACCAGATAGCTCATTTCAGTCTGTTTTAATCTATACCCTTTTTTGGTTAGCACCATGGAATTTGTCACCATATTCTTCTCCCTTTCTAGTGAGAGGACCTATGAGCATATTTGTCTCTCTTAGTTTATATCCTCTTCCCAACGGACTGAGTATCTGATTGTGCCCACACCTGCTTTATTTATTCTCTGTTCTTAGTGCCACTGAAGTGTGTGTGTGTGGGGGTCTTGTGTATTCCTCATTCTCGGGTCCCTTGCAAGAGGGATGTTCCTAGAACTGCACTCTTCTGGACAGCGATCTCAGACCCACCTGAAATCTGCTGGAGCCCCTCTCTCATCTTGGAGGTTACTGTCTGGAAAGCTTCTATCACCACTGGGACCACTACTGCCTTCGCTTTCCACATCTTTTATATTTCCCCTTTAGTTCCTTGGTATTTGTCCACCTTTTAATTTTCTTTCTTCTTGATGTTATGGTCGCCGGGTATTATCACGTCCCCCACCACTACTGTAGTCTTTTCTATTTCTTGTGTACCACCATGATGTCTGGTTGGTCACTACTTCCTTGGCTGCCTAGATATGAAAGTCCCACAGGATCTTAGCCCTGTCATTTTCAACTACCATTTGTGTTACCTCCCATACCTCCCATCTGGACTTAGGTAGGTTCATCCAAAATTCTCTGCACCATCTCAGCAAATTGATTGTGCCTCAGTGTATATTCTGTCCCTGCTAATATTAAAATATTACATATAATTATTTAAAATTGATGTTGCTACTCACCTGTTTCCTTCCAGCCCTTTGATAACCGTTTCTACACTGCTGGGGAGAATCGGATTTAAAGGACCATTATAGTGCCAGGAAAACACCCTAAGGGTCCCACTCCCGCTGGGCTAAAGGGGTTAAAACCCCTTCATCCACTTACCCTTTTTCACCGCCGGGCTTCTCTCCTCCTGCCGACATCAGATTTGAATGCGCTTTCCTATGGACGTCAGCGTCTTCTTACTGCTATGTTTACAGCTACAGGGTTAACACTAGAGGGACCTGGCACCCAGACCACTTCATTGAGCTGAAGTGGTCTGGGTACCTATAGTGGTCCTTTAAGCCAGAAACACTCTGAGCTTGAGCCCAAAATATTATTGGTGTGGCATATGTAGATTTTAAGCATAGTTTTTAGGTTGGGACTTTTTGCAGGAATCTTAAGCCCTGCCAGCGTGCAACACATGGCTTTAGGATTTAGTGTAGCATTCTGGGACTGAACCACTGATGCAGTGTGTATGCGCAGCTCACTTACAAATGTTATGACCGTTTACTTGCCAGTTCTCTTAAGATATAAAGGAGTTTCTCATCTCTGGTTAATAAGAAGGTATTTTTCTATCATTTCTTTTATACCTGACAAATCCTGTAGCTTTGAAAGCAGAAAGGAAATTGTACTATAGCTAAACCTGGCTTTAAAGATGTCCTATTTTTTCAGATTGTCTTGCCCCTGACACTTCATAAACTGTGATGCATCAATTCTTGTTCTTTGTTTGACATACAGGTGCTCCAGACCCTACAGCAGGCGCCAGTATAGATGATGAAAATTGTTGGCACTTGGATGAAGAGCAAGTTCAGGAACAAGTGAAATTATTTCTGTCACAGGGTGGATACCACGGATCGGGAAAGCAACTCAACTTGCTGTTTGCAAAGGTACATTACTGCAAATGATTGCACAGACTACATTTCCTGGGTATAGATTGGCCCGCAGTGCTCTTTTAGAAGATTACTCAGTATGTTTGTAAATATAAATATAAATATATATATATATATATATATATATATATATATACATACATATAAACACAACACAGAATAATCCAAAACCTTGCACTCCTACCTCCAGCCAAAATGATACCAAGCCACACTTGTCTACAGGAAATAGAAAATTGCCAGCATTCCTGGATTTGTAAGCAATTATTTTATTCTCACAGATAGTCGACGTTTCAGTTCCTAGCTTGGAACTTTCATCAGGACACAAAGACCTATATATATATATTTTGCTGACAGGCAGGAGAGAGCAGGCGCGCACACAGTGCCTTCTCTCTCCTGCAAACGTCAGACGTGTCTTAATACGTCTGACGTGTACATGGCCTTTTTAGGGCCCTACATGATAGGAAGTCCCTCTGGTGGCCGTCTGAGTGACAGCCACTGGAGGTATTCCTATCAATCTCTGAAAATACAGTGTTTACATTAGATTGCCTGCAGGGAGCTATAGATCTCACCTGAACAAATACATTAAGCTGTAGTTGTTCAGGCGACTATAGTGTCCCTTTAATGGAATTTATAAGGATTTCACAGTGTGGCTACTTTAATATTTCTCCAAAGATCTACCTACTTACACTGCCCTAGGGCCTTCCTTGGGGCATCCATGGCAAGTCTTTACAAGTCTATCCCTTTATTGGTTACACAATGGTCTAATCTCACTGTATTTGTGCAGCTCAAATCTTGCATTCTGTTGAGTTATTGCCCCAGGCTAGAAGCTATGGATCCTCCAAGGGCAGCAGCATGATATCTAACAAAGTATAATCCCATAGATACCCTTACTACTTGTTTTTAATTAAAGTATTAAAGCACTATTAAATTGATTTAGAATTGTTTTCAAGGTAAAAAAGAAAAAACATAACATTTAGTTTCTTGCATTTTCAAGTATGTCCTAAGAGGCTTAACAATATAAATGGTGTTCTGTCAGAGGCTTATTGGATACCAAGGTAGAAATATATCTATAGCTGGTACATGCTATTAAGGTATAGTACAGTGATTTCATCAGATTGACAGGAGTGATAATTTTTGTGTGCTAATTAAGATGCTGGGTTAAAAATTTATAGATATTACTCATACCCACACACACACACACGGGCTTGAGCTACACAAACAAGCCTTAATCCTTGGACCAAGTATTGAATCACAAGTCCCCCCCAAAAAGTTCATGAGGGAAAAAAACTCAAACTTGTATAATCCCTAGAAACCGGTTTAAAAAACAATTGAGGTATTTCTAAGATGTAGCTATAAATGAATCTATTAAACACTCATGCTGCACAGGAAAGCCTAGGCATCATTTGTAGGCAAATATTTCCAGCTCTCTGCTTTTGATAAATACTCTAGTGCATAATTGATACAAAAGGAAATACAGGATGTCTCCAATTTTAGGCAAGCCAAATATATTGTGTAGTATGCTTGTATTGTTTTGTTCTAGGTGCTCTGTGTGTAAAATAGAGTATTAATAGACACTGGGGTGGATGTATGACACATTTTAATGTGCTCGGGATAATGCAAATATCAGTAAAATTTATCTGACTGCCATTACTTGCATCATATAACTATACATTTAGCTTCTGCAGTTATATCCTCTGAAAATATAACATTACTGGTAACTGTCTTTCCTTGGCCTGATAATTTTTCGAGTTTTTTTGTTTCCTTGCATATTTTAAAAGCACCTTTTTTTTTTGTTAGCATGGGCTTCAAACTGCTTTTTTTTAAATTTTATATGTTTCTCTACTTCTCACCTCCTTTTTATTGTCCTTGTAGTATTTACTTGCTTACTACCCTAGATACCGTAATGTACCAGAAATGGATCAGCTGTGTACCCCACCCCCTCTTTATGGTACATTAAGTTATAAAGGGTAGTAAGCAAACTAAATAATGTAATCCACGATATGATCTGATGCCTTCTTGCTACAAGTTAACCACTCAAAAAAATAAGTGTGTGCTTTTTAAAAAAATCAAGATGCATTTACTAAAGTAACTGTTATAGAATATCCGCTCAATATCCACCTTTTTTTTTTTTTTTTCTGACAGGTGCGAGAGATGTTAAAGATGAGGGACTCCAATGGAGCTCGAATGCTGACGTTGATAACTGAGCAGTTTATGGCTGACCCTCGGCTTTCATTATGGAGGCAACAAGGCACTGCAATGACTGATAAGTACAGGCAGCTTTGGGATGAATTAGGTAATTTATTTTGTATAGTCATGGCTCACTGATATTTTGAATTCTGTAACTTCAGATTTTGTTTTGATGGCTACATTTCCCATGATGCTCAGTAATCACGGGCTGATTTTATACTGGCCCTTAGTGCGTAGTGAGTCCATACACAGCAAGATATTGTTGACTTGAGTGTCCTGGAGAATGTAGTTGAAGTGACAAAAGTAACTATTTCTGATTAAGTTGCTCTTTTCCAGTTTCCTAAAAATTGGTTTCCTCTGGTTAGCTCTATCATCTGCTGTGTGACTGTATCAAAACTGTTTGTTACTTACATTTGTATTGCAATTTTCTTTCCAGTCCATGTAAGCAATTCAGCATACTTAAAGCGGCACTGTCATGCCGCACTTACCTTTCTTTAATCGATTCCTCTTCTCTCCTTCTGTCAGGATCTGTTCTTTTCTTAATGTCTGCTCTAGTTTTCTTTAAAACAAAAGACAAAGTAGGGACTCGGTTTCCAACGCGTGACCAGCGGAGGAGCAAAGTGTTCCGGTGGTCAGAGCAATTTTCCCACAAGTCTCACCTTTGATCCGTGATCTTGCGATGCTTCCTGTCAGTATTCCCAAACGTCCTGTCACTTAGGACGAAATTCTGTAGTTTCGCCGGCGTTCTGTCTAACAGAATGAGAACAGTTTATCCATTCGTGTTAGGACGCGATTTGGGACTTTGTTCGGATCGGAATTTCATTCAAATGAATGAAACTCTGATCCTATTTGTGCCGCGGCTGCATCTTGATGCATGTCTGAGCAGTGGGTGAGTGCCCTAAATAACAATAGTGGGGGGGGAGGGTGGAGAAGGACCTATTGTCGTCCCCACCCATGAGCGGCGGATGGGGGCCCTAAATAAAAATGGGAAAACTATTGTTCCCCCAAGCCCCTACCACTGAGCGGCGGGTGGGGGTCCTAAATTAAATTTGGGGGCGTGCGACCTATTGTCCTCCCCACCCTTGAGCGGCGGATGGGGGCCCAAAATAAAAATGGGGGGGGCGGGACCTATTGTCCTTCCCTCGGCCCACACTCCTGAGTGGCCCCCCTCCACCAAAAAAAATTAATATACCCCTACATACCTCCCTCATCCTAAAAATAGTGAGGGAGGAACAATAAAACAACTAAATCCCTGTAAATAAAAAAATAACAAAAATTATTTGATGTCTTTTTTTCTAAAATCTTTCTTCAGCCCCAAAAAAGGCCAAATAAAAGTCCATAATACCCATCGGAATAAAATAAGACACTAAAAAAAATAATTTCATCTTCACCCATGGAGGGCACCGAGAAGACTGAGCTCCGCAGGGCGGGGAAAGGCTTTATAAGCGGAGCTCATTCTGCACGGTTCTCTCCATGGGTGAAGATGGATTATTTTTTAGCGTCTGGGTTTGTTTTTTTTTGTTTTTTTGCGCTCGTGTTTATATCCGGGTATTATGGATGTTTATTTGACTTTTTGGGGGGCTAAAAAAGACTTCAAATAATATTTTTTTATTTACAGGAATTTAGTTTTATTGTTTTTAGGGTATGCGGGGTAGGTAGGGGTTTAATTTTTGTTTGGGTGGAGGGGTGACTAGGGGTTTGGTGACCCCTAGTCACCGGGGGGGTGACTTTTTAGATTCTCCCCACCCCCCCTATTGTTATTTAGGGTTCCCACCTGCTGCCGCAGGCTGCTCACTGTTTAATAGACATGCCCCTACTTGTATTAAAGCGGGTAGGGGCAGAATTTACTAATACTAAGTAATCTTTACTTAGTATTAGTAAATTTGGCTGAAAGACCAATTTACGTCTTTCAGCCTTTTGGTAGATAGCTCCCTAATATCGTGGGAATGAGGAAGTTATCTACTTGGTGGCTGCAAGATGCAGCCGTGGCATGAATAGGATCGGAGTTCTATTCATTCAAATGAAATTCCGAACAAAGTCCCGAATTGCGTCCTAACCCGACTGTTCTCATTCTGTTAGGACGAAATTCGGTAGTTTTGCCGGCGTTCTGACAGGCTGTTCGGGAATACTGATAGGAAGCATCGCGAGATCATGGATCAAAGGTGAGAATTGTGGGAAAATTGCTCTGTCCACCGGAAATGAAGCACACTTTGCTCCTCCGCTGGTCAGGCGTAGGAAACCTCCATAAGACAAAGTAGTCCCTACTTTGCTCTAGTTTTCTTTAAAACATATGACAGTCAGGAAGAAATGAAGTACAGACCCTGACAGAGGGAGAGAAGAGGAATTGATTAAAGAAAGGTAAGTTTGGCATGACAGTGCCGCTTAAAGTTTTGGTGGTTAGTGTAACGTAGGCCTGCCCTTTGTCTTTATAGTAGATATTTGACACCAAAGTGTATTATTGCCATGTACTCTCAATATTTCGTTTTAAGGTCTTTATTCACAATATATCAGAGTAAAGGGCGGTCAAGATCTTGAAGACTTTTTTTTGTTTATTTCAGTTGATATTGCACTATTTCCAATGATTTTCTTTATATGCGGCACTATTTAAATCATTAAACACTTTTATTTATTTGGGTGTTTATTTCACTTATTTTGTAAGTTGGTCTTGCTTTGAACAGTGACAGAGCTGCTTTAACATCTTGCAAAATGTTTTGCTTTGTAAAATACTTGGCCAAATCACCACCCCCTTTTTTTGGTTGTTTTTCTTTTTTGGTTCAAGCTATGCCTGTTTTTATCACTTGTATGTGTTTACTATTATAATAATCCATTTCGCAGCCAACTTGGCAGCAGTCTGTAAATGAGTTATTTGGCATATTAATACAGGAACTTTATGCTCAGTTCTCCGTGGTGGTTGTTTCCTCCTGGGAAATTTCTTATGATCCATACTTGAGAGGAGCTGCGGAATAATTTCTCTGGACTGCACAACATTCAGTGCAATGTAGAGCAGCATGTTCTGAATGTCCCCATCATTCTGTGAAGCAGTCAGATCACCAAATCTGCCTGATGTTAATAAAAGCCAAAATTATGCACTGAATGGATCTAGCATTTCATCCATACAAACTGACAATTGTTTAAAGGCTTGCTTTTTATATTTGTTTTTTAATAAACAGATACTTGAAAAATAATCTGTTGAACAGTCCCTATTGTCCGTGCAGAACAGGAGGCTGCATCCATTCAGAGCTTTAGGAATAAATCTAAATTTAGATTAGAAAGTGCTTTGTCAGACAGTCAGCATTTTATTATAGATTATCTTGTAAATTATATGTTCATTTTTCAGATTTTTATTTTTTATTTTTTTTGTATGAGCCAAGCCTAAAATGTATTTGCTATTGCAAGCCTGGAGGGCCTGTGGCACGTTAGCTAGATTATTAATATGTTGGTATGCATTTTTATATATGCCCACTGTTTTCATCGTTGTAGTAATTTATACTGTGTTATGGAAATACATTGCTTTCTTTAGTCTTTTACAAATCAGAACAATTAATTAGTCTTTAAAAAAAAAAAAAACCTGTACATATGCGGTGAGGAATCACAGCAGCCATGTTACGCAGATAGAAGGGAAAAAACACTTCTTAAAGAGGAATTAGCAACTTAATATATTACGTTTTTATGAGGTCTGAAAAAATTACATTAAATTTGGAAGTCCACTCTTCTTGTCTGGAAGCGGGTACAGCCATCTTAGTCCTAAATGCTGCCATTTTCTGTCATTGTTTTAACTCTTCCACTATGTTCACTGTTTTTGTTCTCCTTTGTATTGTGTACCCGGGCTGTTCCTGGACTGAACTGGATTGTAATGTCACTTGCTAAATCTTTGATATATATTTTAAATGAAATTGAAGCATCACATTAATTTACTGAAGTGATCATTCTTAGTAAATTTCAAATGTAAAGTGTCCCTTTAAATCCAGAGTAGCTGAACTTAAAGCACAGTTGACTTATAGAACTTTTCCAATTTGGCTGTTTTTAGCCTTTAAATTTGAAATTCACTTTGAATTCTCACTTTAGGCAATAGCCCTGAACGTATAGTTGCCTTATATCAGAGAAGTGGCAGTTCGCTCTGAAAGTGAGTGGCTGCAACAACTGCAAACAGTGCATCCAGGATGCTGTATTCTTAGTTTTAAGTCAATGTGTATGTAAATATACAAATGAGAATATCTGTAAATATAGAAAAATACCAAATATTTGAAATTGTCTGCAAGTCACTGTAGAATTAGGCATTCTTTACATAGGGGTTTATAATGGTTTCATGGAGCCTACTCATCACGACCAGTCCACAAGTCCCATAATTAACCCTTGATTGCACATTACTTTTGTGAGTCTATGCTTTTTTCAGTCAAATTGACCACTATATCACACCGAGCTTTTAAAGTGTTTATTATGGAATATGTAACAGTTCATATTAGATGTTCACCTAATTTGTAGATCTTAAAAATAAAATCCCTAATCTCTCCTAAGGAAAGTTTAACTACTCTCCAACAGCAGGCTCCAGCTGACTGTCACTCAACCTCTAAGTGAAATACTAATGGGGGGCACTAACCAAAGTGCACCATCTTACTCACACAGTGCTGCCATATAAACAATGCATGTAATATACATCCATTTTTTTTACGTAAAACTGGTATTTAACAATACCTTTCTACAAAGTCTTAGGAGCAATCTTGGTTTTCTATGCTTTAAAATGTCTCCTCTTAAAATGCAACAGTTGATACATATTCTTTTCTTCACTCGTGTATCCTATAGGGGATGCAACTTGAAGAACTAATGACAAGGTTAAACCACCTGAACAACAGGCACATAGGCTTTGACATCGGAGACCTTTGAAGGTTCAATTCCTAAATGCCCGACTTCTTCCCAGGGTGACTGTTTGATCACTCATGGGCCTAACTTGATAATTAGAACAAGTTTAATTTTTTTTTAACCCCAAGCTATGGGAGTCAGGATGGAGGAGGACTATTATGCAAATTTACAAATGATTTATAATTATGATTGGAGGATTATTTGAATTACTTACGGGTGAGACTACCTTTTTCCTTACTCAACTATATCAAATAAATTATATTAGGTTGTCTTAAGAAATTTCTTTCATTTTACTACATTGGAGAAATAAGTTTATCTCCTGGCCAGGTAGAATATCGGCAGTAAAAATGTCAATATTACCTAAATTGCAATGTCTATTTAGAACATGGCCAATAGCAATACCAAGGTCTTATTTTCAGAAATTACAAGAAATTATCAATTTATTTATATGGAACGGTCAAGTTCTAGAATAGCACTTAACATATTAAGCAAACCTGTACAACAAGGAGGCATGGGGTTGCCAAATATACCTTATTATTACAAAGCAGCAATAATCAATATTATACTATCTGTTCATCAGATTCATAACCTACCACAATGGTTACATATTGAAAACTATTGGCTGAATGGGACAAACCTTATAGATTTAGTTTGGTTACCACAAGCTCTAAGACCAGTTCTCCCACAAGCTTTGCGCACAACAATGACACAGAATGTGATAAATCTAGTTCACAGTTAAGCAGTAATAACTCAATTTCTTTGGCAACACCTATAACTGTATTGCCACTCTTAATACCTGATTTTTAATTATAAATTGTTGGTTTGATGTGGACTCACGCATATATACAAATTATGTAAAGATGGGAAATGATTACTTTTTTCAGACATAGAATGCTTTTATACAATGCAGAGGATAGCTTACTTTTCATATCTACAAATTAAATCATGGTGGTCGAATGTATCAACAATTCTTATTTGATAAAAACAAATATGCAGAAATTGACATATTTTGAAACAGTTTGTTTAAATCTTAAACCAATAAAAATAACATATCTATATTATATGCCCAATTGACCCAGAACTTGCATATTGCCATGTGTTAAAAAGTGGGAACAGGATATAGGTTACCAGGTAACTGGAAAAAATGTGGTTGGAATCTATTAAAGGATCACTATAGTGTCAGGAAAACAAACCTGTTTTCCTGACACTATAGTGCCCTAAGGGTGCCCCCCCCCTTACCTTAATCCAGTGCTGGGCTCCCTCTGCGCTGGTGACCTCTCCTCCCTAGTGGAGCGGAATGCGCATGCGCAGCATGTGCTGCGCGCGCAATTAAACAGTCCATAGGAAAGCATTTCTCAATGCTTTCCTATGGACATTCTGCACGTTGGATGCAAATTTTGCATCCAGCATCGCATATGCGCCTCTAGTGGCGGTCAGGAAGACAGCCACTACAGGTTGGATTAACCCTGGTATGTAAACATAAGTTTCTCTGAAACTGTTTACATGTGAAGGGTTAAAACCTGAGGGCCCTGGCACCCACACCACTTCATTGAGCTGAAGTGGTCTGGGTGACTATAGTGTCCCTTTAATATGTACAGGGGAAAGACCTTTATGTGCATCATATGGAATTGAGTCGTAAAAATTTGCACTCTATTTATTTGTAAATTTGTATATAAATATGACTGTAATTTAAAATGTATGAATTGGGTAAAGGGAAGATGTGAATGCAAATTAGATTTATAGTGATTAATGAAAATCTAGAGCTTTAAAGTTATGTTCTAACTAAAATACACAGAACCATAAGTACCGAATAATAACCATTCCTCCCATTCCCTTTCCCCCCTTTTAAAATATTTTTTTCTCTTTAATCTGTTAATTTGTATAAAATATGTGATGTATCTATATATTTAGATACATAACGGGTTGTTTGTAAAACAATGTAAATATAAGCAAAAATTTATCTAAAAGTCAGATGTAAAGAATAAACTTGAGATGTGAACTATTGTCCTTAATCTTTAAAAAAAAAAAAAAAGAGTAATACAAAGTAGATTTAAAAAATTAGAACAAAACAGGGATATCGATACGGTAGCTCTCACACTGTGAATCAAGGTATTTGTCCAACTGGCGATCTTCCTTTTTGGTTGTCACTTCTCTGAAATTAAAGGACCACTCTAGGCACCCAGAAAACTTCAGCTTAATGAAGTGGTCTGGGTGCCTGGTCCCTCTAGGATTAACCCTTTTTTTTTTTTTTTTTTATAAACATAGCAGTTTCAGGGAAACTGCTATGTTTGTTAGGGTTAATCCAGCCTCCACTGAGCAGGATGAGAACTGGGCCTTAATACCCCTCCTGTAGATCTGATAGGCTGTAACCAGCCTTTGACCCCAATGCAGTTATGAGGTTCCCATTTGCATAATTGCTGCTCAGCATTAACCCTTCTGTGGATTTGGTTGCTGCTCGGCACAACTTTTCATGTGTGGACAGTAAATGCCATTAACCACATTTTTATAAGCGGATGAATACGTTAGAGAGTAGTGCAGTGGGGAAAAAATAGCTCTTCAGTACTTGCATGTCCAGGATGATGGCGTTGTTCCTTCCTGCTCATTCAGGTGTCTGCAGAGAAATGCTGACTGAGCACATTCACACAGGCATTCATTCCAAATTGCCATACATGTGCATTCAGCACCACATGTAATCACTACACATTAACTTTGTAACACATGGTATATATAACAGCTGTCACAAATGCATAAATGGTAATTCCACCAAAAAATATTTATACTCGGTAAGCAAACTAAAGTTGGATGCATTGAGGGCCCATTGTAAATAAGAATCTCTGAAAACAGAGCTCATTTGGATGGTTGTCCATCAGATCTTCCCATGGGCTATATAGTCCATGGATGACATATCCGATTATACTGTATGTCTTTCACATGATATGTTGTGATGGTATTCCTGTAGCTTGCCTAAGATTCTTTTCACAGGTGGCGCACTTTGACTGCGTGCTATTTTTACTTCTGCGTTCATTATACATGATCTCACTAGTAATGTTAAATTTTTTATGTAACCAGTGAAGGACTGCTAAACCCAATGTTATGAGGAATGGTGATGTTTAACCATGTGTATTATTGATTTATTTCCTTAGTGGTACCAGCTATCTTGTGTTTTCTTTCAGAGAAAGAATGCAGCAGTTTCTCATTCGTTTGGTACCATTGTAACTGTGCAAGGAGTTTTACACTTCTTGAGCATTGACAAGGTGAAGCGTATTTTCATGCGCAGTGTGTGGCCAGAAATGCTGTCTCCTACTTGCCAATCAGACAGTTTGATTTACATGCATCTCTGTACCTCTTGACAAATGCTGCAGAATTCTAACAAACCTCTCAAAGTGAAACCTGCTCAAAACCTCTAAAAGCAGAGCAGATATAATCCAGCATTTTCATGGCAGGATTTCACGGTTTGACAGAAGGCAGCTCCGAGCTCGGTCAAGACAAGTATCCGGCCTGCTGTTACCAGGAACAAACCGTGAAATCTGACTAGAGCTTGGCTTAGTTTTCTATAATTCTTGTTAAAGAAATCACATACCCCTGTGTATTTTCTCAATACCTTTATAGGATAATGTAATCTAGTTTAAACTACTAAATATATGGCATTTGAACAGTGTACACATAACAGGCCTATAGCACAGCTTTTTATTTGAGTATTAATAAAGTCATTAAGGGAAGTTCATGCAAATCATATGAGAATGGCACTTTTTTATTTTTTTATTTAATACAGAGTGGCAAAACGCAAACAAGCTAACTACTCGCTCTAGATGGCTGGATAAATATTTTTACATCTCTTGCTAGTATATATAAGGCAAAGCAATCTTATATTTTGTTTTTCTTTTGTATTCCAAGTGGCTTTAATTTATTGAAGTGAGTAGAATTAAAATGCATTTATTATTTTCATAATTGGAATATTTCTGCACAAATAAGGGGAAATGTTCAAATTATTTATGTAGCGTGCAAAGACTTGTAATTCTGAACTAAAACATTCATCAACAGCTCGAGAAGAGATCCATATTGTCTAACAGACGGTGATTTGTGGGAGTTTTAGTTCATCTACTGGAGATATAGATGCATTTTGCCTTCAGGTTTTCCATTGTCCATGATTCAACGTGTTTGTTTTTGCTATCTCCCGAGGCTTCAGTATTTTCCCCCTCTGGCTTTTGAATGGTGTAATACAAAGCACTGAAGGGAAATGTATCTGCTGTTCTTATAATATTTTTGGATGAGGATTTTTTTAATGGATTCTGCAACATAAGAGTTATCCATTAATAAAGTTGCAGAATTTTTTGTTTTTGGAAAAGAGAAATGCTACTTATGTTCATGCTCTGTACTGCCTAGGTATCAAAATTGCTGGACTTTGAGAAAGTGAGTCTTGCCCGTAATTTACTTGTGGCTTTCTCCTCTGTCCGAGCAGTGTACAGACATTTCCAGCCATTTTAAGCCAGACTGAGAATTTAGGACTTGATGAGACAATGTCATTCTCACTAAATACTGTGCCTTGATGGATAATTTAATTAAGTGAATTTTATTTTAGTTGAAGGCCCTATTTGCCCCTCTGCTACAAATTAAACATCAGTTTAGCAAAATAGATGTGGCAAATTAAATAAAAAGTTTAGTGCCACAAATGAATCATTATACATGTCAACCTTAAATAAGCTGTAATTAGTGCAGCTAGTTCTGTAAGTAAGGCTGTTTATATAATGACAGTTTAATAAAGCTGGAACTGTTTAAATGAAATCCCAGAAGTTTAATTTGATGGCAAGTCAAGTTAAAAAAATAAATAAATAAAAAAAATCAAGTCAGTAGCTATAGCCTGGTGAACTGACAAGTGTAGCACCTTGTTAATGCACAGATTACTGATTGCACGGTTTTCCTCCTGGCTGTGGGTATCTTACTAATTATTGCTGATTAAATCCCAGCCATCTTCTTTTTCACAAATGTTGACCAGCCTGCGTTGTTTGGCTTCCCATGATTCACTGTTCTATCACAGTTAAGGGTCCAATCATTTTGCAATGCTATGCTTTTTTTTTTGCTTCTATGCTCCAAATGTGGGCCATTGAGAAAAATATTTATATATTTATAAAGATCATGAGGTTAAATGCTATATTGTCGGAAAATGTCAGATATACAGCACCTTTTTTTTTTTTTTTTTTAAGTAACAGGAAAAATAATGATGCAAAATATATACCATGCGTGTAGGGGTGGTTTGGAAGGAGGTTATGTTAAAGCAATTGCATTTCCTAGGCACTGACATTGCTTGAGCATATGTTGGAAACATAAAATAGAATAGAGTAACAACTAGACATCTCACCCTGTGCACACTGGTTTTTGGCTAACATTGCTGACGATGGCACAGTGTTACAGAGGTGTGCGCCTATAATTTGTGTGACCCAGTAGGGCTGAGGGATTAATTTCGGTTCTTGTGGGGTGATGGTCAGTTTGGAATCTGGATGTACTCAGTATGGGTTCGGGTGAAGTAGTGCCCCTCACCATGGGGGGTGAAGGAGACTAGGTAGTGTTGAGGCTATAAGTTAACTTGCTCTAGAATTTTTTGATCTCCTGCTCTGCAAATTGGACTTTAATCATACATATATATTTTATATACACTTTTCTTTCGTTTTGACTTTTAATAGGAATGAGTAATTTCCTTCAGATTTCACATTCCTCAGTTTTTCCCCTAAACTTACACGTCAATTTTTGTGACAATAGTTTGCCACAAATAAAAAAAATCTTGCCCTCACTCTACCTCCTCCCCACCTCCATTCCAGATTTCAGTTGTTAAATAAAGGGCATTGTCCTGTCTTTGTCTACATTACACAGCCATTTCCTGCACTCTCCGCTCCCTCTGAAATAGATGGCAATGTGAAGGAGGCACGGACTCCCTCTTGCCATCAAAAATCTATTGCATTAATCAGCCAGCCGGTGTGAAATGCATTGGGAGTGATTATACTATCATGCACAATACAATCAGCATGAAGCACTTGTCAAGTCCAATACATCAAAGTTTAATTCAGTAATAGAATGAATTAGAGCAAAATGGAACATTCTGTTCTTCCAAGAAACATGGCCTTTAGAACAGGTTCTTTCTGCAAGCTGGATAAAGCCTCTTAGTGCTTTAAAAACAATTGAACGAATGAATCCAGTACTCCAATCTCAAAATAAAGCAAGGTCTTCTGAAAGAAAGCTTGTGAATATTAAAATTAAGAATGTGCTTTCGCATGAACTTTAAAAGTGTTTCTTCAAATTGCAGGATTTTTTAAATGCATCTATACTGAACTGTAAATCAAACGTGCCCTGTTTATACTTTTACATAATGATTCTATACTTTGTTTGGGTTAACAATGCAGACACACACACACAGTACGTATCTACAGCTATTCTCCCTGTAGTTCTGTTTGATTATCAAATGGCTTTTTTGCAGAGGTCAGGTTAAGAGTGCATCTTTCATTGCTTTGAAAACCTTTGGTTAATACATACAGGACCCCTTTTCTGTACATCCATAGATGGAAAGCAGTCTTGTTTAAAGCTTTGTGACTGACTGCTTTGTTCAGATATTAAAGAAATGAGTATATTGCAATGTGTCTTGTTTATGCTAAATACATAATTTGCTCATTGGGAGTAGAATATCTGACTTCCCAAAGAGTCATATGTGTGGGTGTATCTGGCTGTTGAGGGCATTCTCAAGAGGTTATTTGTTCATTTAAAACAAAGTGTACCCAAAAGGTAGATCCCCAGATGTTGTAGAACTACAACTCCCATAATGTGTTGCATGCCTTTAGACCAGTGGTTCCCAACCCAGTCCTCAAGTACCCCCTAACAGTCCAGGATTTAGGGATTACCCAATTGTGTCTAAGGTGTTATTAGGGGGAAAGAAAAGCACTTTAGACACAACAGGGTAATCCCTAAATTCTGGACTGTTAGGGAGTACTTGAGAACTAGGTTGGGAACCCCTGCTTTAGAATGACTAAGCATCTTGAAAGCTGTGGTTTTAAAACGTAAGGAGATCTGCCTTTTGGGCACCACCATTTAAATCATGTGCCCCTGGAGCCTAACTGCATCACACTGGATCTTCATTTAAGGAGCAGTCTGTCCTTCTAAGTGTCAAAGGTGCATGAATTGCACCTGTCACACAATGATTTTACTAGCTTTCTACAGAGAGTTAGTTGTTTTGGCAACTTGTTTTCAGGTCAAAATAGATGAACTGGAAAAATAGCTACGTCCACAACTTTGGCCTTCAATTTAAAATTCACTTTGAATTCTCACTTTGGCTCCGAGTCCTCCGGCATCCTTGGTGACTTGCTTCTGCAAAGCCGATCCAGTCACCATTCATTGGCTGAGTGCATCGGCCAGTAAATGGCACAAACCGCAAATAAAATGTAATCCCTAGGGATTACCCTGTTGTCTACATATAAAGCAAGAAAAGCATACATTTTAATTTTTCTCACTGTTCAAATTTTACTGCTGTTACCTTAAAATAGAGGCAAAATATTGTGTATGTAAAACTGGTGTGTACAGTATTACATAACTACTAGAGTGCAACTGCGTGTGATGCCTTACTTGTTAGTGGTAGTACACAAGCCCAACTTAAAGGAACACTATAGGGTCAGAAACACCCTCTCTGAAAATGCCTGCTGGGTATGATTATACTCACCAGACCAACTACATTAAGCTGTAGTTGTTCTGGTAACTATAGCGTGCCTTTAAACTCTGGTTCGACTGACAAATTGAAAAGGAAGGTGCCATATTTTAATTTGGTTGTGCAAGCACATTTTATAGATTAAATGTATGCCATCTTTATGATGAGACAGACTGCCAAATGAAGGTGCTGCTGCAGTGGTGCAGGGGTTTCATTGTGCATGTCAACCAGAGCCCTGTATGAAGACACATACACACACACTCACACTCTCTCTCACTCACACTCTTCCCGTGTTTGTAATTGGATGTGTTCCTCCAAAATCTCTAGTTTTATGGTTAATCATCACCACAATGCCCATTATTGTGTAAGCAACATGCAAGCAAGGCACTGACAAGTCATGTACCCTGGTTTCAATGACCATTGACTCATCCCTGTATCTTATGTGACTTCAGTATCCAATGGCATATTCTACTCCTTGCGTAATTGTAGATGACCAGTCAGTAGTATATTATCTTAACCCAGAACTCTTAGTTTGCCTGCCCCGTCATATTGGTCTTTTAATTCTGGCATGAACATCAGTGTTGTATACAAGAAGCTCACGACGTAGGACAGGATATCTATCCATTTATTGCAAATATGTATAATAAAGTATTCAACCTGGAATGGTAAGCTTGTTTTTCCCAGGATAATGCCACTCCTGTTTTTAATCTAGCAAGGGTGAAAGGCTTCACTGGGAATGGCATCTGAGATACATCTTCAGCCCTATCCACAGCGCTATATAATGTGTTTGCTGTATAAATCCTAGTTAAAGAAACGCTCCATGCACTATCGCCACTACAGTGTTTTCAGCCAATGAGTAACAGGTGAATTGACATCCAGCTTCTGTAGCTCTGCAGAAGCTGAATACACATCACCAGGCTCATTGGAGGCTCGGCGACCAGCAGGGTCCCAGTTAAAGGTAATGGCCCAGTCAGCTGTATTGGTTATGATGCCTGGAGTAAACCTTTATGGGTGGTCTCATAAAATAATTGGTTTAAAACAGATAATTGGAGCATATTCTACATTTGGTACTCCTGTTGTTTCTGGTATTGCACATGATGAGGCATTTCACACTACAAATGCTATGAACTCCATTTTTCATAATGCTTTGCAAGATGAACTGGCAACAAAAATGGGGCACACGGCCACTTACTGCTGAAGTGCTAAAGTTCAGTATTCATATGAACTGACCAGTCAGATTCTCTACCACATAGCTTTATACCAGTCTCACTTTCCATTTAGGGATTTTTGAAACAGTATTTCAAAATGTAGAGCAAAACAGCCGACTCTAATCGCAGCCTTTTTGTAGCTTGTTTTGCTGGATTTTGTATTTTTCTGTTGCTATCATTTGTTGTTTAGTGAATAAACCATATTACCCTTTACTAATTCATTTCCACACAGATCTCATTTTATATTTATTCATTTGGGGATATACCGTTCGATTAACCTTTCCTCTGAGTGCACTGCAGTGTTTTAGACTGTAAGCTCCTTTGAGCAGAGCCCTCACCTCAGACTTGTTTTATTACTGTTAAAGGGTTGTTTTTTTTTTTTTGTTTTTTTTTAAACTGTTGCACATCACTGTTGAATATGTTGGTGCTTTACTAATAAAACTAAATCCAAACATACCAGTTATCTCCGGTGATAAGCTAGCTTACAGTACAGCTGAAGGAGTCTGTGTTGGAATGTAGCTGCCACCACATTCTCTTATCTGAAAAACATTTTTTTTGTTTGTTTGAATGCTTTGTGAGTGGAACAAATAAGTCTTCACAAGCTTCCCACTCTGCTGGATGCTTTGAAAGCCTTTAAAAGCCAACCCTTGAAATCTGTCGTGTAACAAAGAGGCTTATGTAGAAATGGCATCACATTTACAGTGCTGGCTTAAAAACTGGGACAGGAAACATGTATTGGCTGGAACACTTGCAAATACAATTAGGCTGATTGTGGATGCCAGGAATGGGATCTGAAAAGCCCATACTATAGTGAACTAGGAAGCCCAGTGTTTGGGACTTTTGGAAATCCTTTGGGGTGGAGCAGATTTCAGTTTTCTTTTTCCCTATTTTGAATTGCTTTCAGTTTTTATTTTTTCTGTATCTATGGAACAACTGTGTTGCACTAGAAGTATATTAGTCTCGATTTAATTTAATATTGTGTTTCAGATTTTACCCTTGTTTTATTTGATTAGATATTTTATATACTATTCAGTTTATCTTAAAGGAACACTCCACTCCACTGCTATGGCGCCCCTGCCCCCATTGTAAGTAGTCTCAGCAGCCAAGAGAGCCTGAAGATCCGGCGTAAGAGCTTTTGTTGATACCTCTGAGCTAAGCATTGACTGAAAGCATCATAAGATTGACATCTACTTCTCCTGGAGCCTTGCAAAAAAAACCTGTGCCAAGTTCTGACTGTACTGTTTACAGTTTGCTATTTCCTCGCCTTCTAGTGAAATTCGGACAACCAATAAGATGGGTTCTGGATTTGACAAGATTCAGTTATTTTAATGTCTGCTGTCCCTATATTAAGTAAGCTGCCCTGCCCCATACTTATCCCGGATAATCATTGGATTGGCAGATCACAACTGATTCTTTTTGTTCTCTGTCCAGCCTATTTCTCATAGAGAAGAACTAAGGTCATCCGTTTTGATGACTTCACTGGACAAGGATTGGCTGCAGTGAGGACTTGGTCCCGGCAATAGGATGAAAGTTAGTGCAGTTTTATGAATTTCTTTACTTTATAAGGGGAACCCAGTATCGTTGATGGACACATCTAACTAGTTTATTTTTTTGTTTGTTTAATGTTCCTATACATTATTTTTTCAGTAGACACATGAAATGTTAAAGTTTTTTCATGTTTTGATTTCTTCAGAATAATACAGGGTAAAAACATAGACCATCAATACAATTATTTGAGAACGGATAAGGGTTATGCTGGTCATGGTTTTTTCCCTACACAAAAGATTTACAGAAATTGCCTGAATAAGTTTGAGACTCAAAATCTGAACAAATAGTCACTTTTATCCAAGAGAAAAATATAAAATATCTGACATCTAGTCCAGCAGTAGTTCTCCATCTTCAACTAAGGCTTTAAAAACATTTTAATTTGATTGGGAAACCAAACCAGGCATGAATAGAAATGGTGTGCCTGAATCTTTCTGTTGCTGTGAGGTATAACCACCCACAAATAATTTATACAGTTCAATTGGCAGTAGATTTTTACATGTAAGTATTTAATATTTGATTTAATTATACATTTTAGCCTACTTCTGGCACAATGGTTAAATAAAATTTAGGATCCCTGCAAAACCGAACAGTCTTGCATGGCATGGCATGTCAGTGTCCTTTTAAAGTTAGAAGGAAAATATGTTTAAATATCGGACGAGCAGATGCTGAGGTTGGATGTACAGTCGGAATATGTTCAATAAAACACGCATCTTCAAACATTAGTAGCTGCTAAACAAATATGTACATTTTAAAATCTTATATCTATTTGTTGTACATCAATGTTTAGAACTCCAGTGTAATTTTTTTTGTATGGTAACACTATCAGACGCTGAAACAATACTTGATTTATAGAGCTCTTTTCCTTACCATAATTATTTGGAGGGGTTAGTGGGGGTAAAGGTTTTTCTACAGATTATGTAGAAGTGAAAAGATGGTGAAATGAGAGCAGCGGGGGGAGATTTTGGAGAGATCAGGTGCAGTACATGGTTTGCATTATTATTGATGGGAAGGCACTAGGGCTTTCTGCAGAACTGCGTATTTGCAGCAAATACCATTTCAGAGCATCTGATACAGATGGTGGTGAGGGATTTGACTGTGACTAGGTAGTTACGTTTTACAAACAAAAGGGCACACCCAAATGACAGTATATATATATATATATATATATATATATATATATATATATATATATATAATGGCATATTCCCTAGAAATGTGTCCTTTAACTGTGACAGGACTTTTTTCCTATTAAGTTTTAATTAAGTTATAAATAAATGATATTGTACCTTCATAACATATTAACTTCCCCAGAAGGAGATTTTAGATACTTTAACTGAAGCCATGTGAGCATCATGTACGGGCAGTCACTGATGATTAGTTTAAGAATTTGAATTCTTCTTGACGAATGCAACATGCGCTTTATATAAATATTGTCTGGAACATCAAATAAATATTAAATACAAAATCCATAAATGAAGCACTCTGCTACAAAGTACATTTTATCCCTTTTTGCAGAGTAAAAATAACCATGCAGTTACCTTTAATTTATAGAATGTTTGTACTGAATTGATGCCGTAAGTGAGGTAGTTAGTGCTGTGACTGCCTCTCTCTGGGACAGTCTTCCCACATTGTTTATTACTTTAGCATACCTCTTTACTAGCTCTGAATGTTTAATGTGCTGAGGATATCACAGAGATTCACAACAGTAAAATCTAGTTAAGCTATTTTGTGTATTAGTACATTCTAAAATATATTGTTTTGCTAGAACTGCAATTTAAACCATGTAAACATCAGCCTCCAATACAACCGCTATGAATAAAATCATACTTTCACAGTTCTCCACTAATGACATGCTGAGCAGACAAACACAGACCGGTTTCACGTTTTTACATTTGCTAATAATTTATGCAGTTTCCCTTAGCATTGTCGCACAGTTTTAAGACCCCTTTTTACGCGAATGCATAAGTTTTGATCCAAATGGACCAATTACTTGCCATGTGTTGTGATGTTTCATTCACTAGGGACTCATCAGCATGGTCCAGTTCTCTTCCAGTGGTAGAAATCTGTATGGCAGCAAAAATATAGATATTAAAGTATCAAAAAGTCATAAAAAACTCACTTCAGTTCTGAAATGTTGTGGACATAACTCCCTTACAGCTTAAAAGTAAAAATCTTAGAATATACCTACTTCATACGCAGCACCACTAAAAGACTAGATAGGCTAAATGGTACAGACAACTAAAACTGTCCGATTTTCAAGCTACACTTATCAAGGCTTAAAGTTCAAAGTTCTATGCTACTAGCCAGGCCTGAAAAGTTACTTGCCTTAGTGCACTAGTCAGGGCTACATTTTCACTCACCAAAGGCTAGTTGCGAATGGAAGTTTTGAGCCCTGCTAATAAATATCATAAACCTCTGTTTAAAACAATGTGTCTTTACCATGTGATGCATGTGTGTTGGCTATAAAATGTAAAAAGTGACCGTTATTTGCATATTCATCATGACCTTCTGGGTGAATCGTGGAAAATGTTTATTTAAGAGTAATTAGAAGTGATTTAAATTAGTTGGAAGTTTTTCTTATTTTTTTTTTCGAACTAATGCTATTTCTTTAATGCTTAAATTTGTGTAAGAGAGGCACAGCTCAACACTGCATATTCTATTCTATTGCACAGTGTTAAACTTCAATCCACCAATCCCTCCTCCCCACTGACCTACTGTTTTTCCACTTGTTTCTTTACCCCTCATAGATTGTAAGCTTGTTGGAGCAGTACATTCTTCACCTCTTGTCTCTGTATGTCAATTATTTGTCCTATATCCCCATTGTATAATTGTAATTCGATGCTAATAATAAATACTGTGTTTTAATACCTCATAACATTAAAATGGAAGATTGGCTTTCCCCTTAAATGCCAGATTTGAAAAGAATGGGCTATGTTTAGGAAGTGTGCCATCCATTCCCTATTCATTACTTCAGCTCTGCAGAAGGTGACAGCCATTTAACAGACTCAGACTATTTCCCAAGTTGTAACATCTTTATCTAATAATTCCTTTATGGAAATACAATTTATTGTACAGTATACATTTCTATATATGGTTGTGTGGTCAATATTAGTTGATTAACCTTTTAACTGATGTATCACGGTTTAACCATGTCTGTAAGGTAGGTTTATTTTTTGTTTGTGCTGTATCATGATTTCTAGGTGCACCAATTTTTTTTTTTTTTTCTTCTCTTCCCCTCCCCCCTCTTTCCTTGGCCCTTTACCTTGTCAGTAAGCTGACCCAGACTCATCAGTGTGAGGCCATGCATGACTTCTGGGAGTAATTGCATAATGTCCGCACAGCATAGCATGAAATAGCTTAGAATCATTGCAGCTCAAATCATCAGCCAGGGTACCTTACTTCTGCTTGTATTCTCATCTTACTTCTGCTTGGTAATTAGCTGCATGTACATTATTTTTGTTTGTCTAAACTAAATGCCAATATCTTCATATGGATACTCATTTAGAAGCCGTTCTATTGTTTTTGCTCACTTGTTCTAGAATGGATGTGGGGCAGGGGAGACTTGTTTTCTTATGCCCTTGCTTAGAAAGCCTATTCTGCAGTTTCTTGCAGATTCTCCTGTTCCAGCAGATTGTCCAACTGATTGAGCAAATTTCCTCAAGTGTGCAAAACGCATCCTTAATGAGGAAATGAAGTGTTGCTAAATAGCACTTTCAGACATCTTCACGCTCCTGTCAGAGTTCACATTGGTGAAGAGACAGCTGATTAAAAAATCTCTGCATGTGAAAATGAGGTTGTATCAGACCCTGATGCATTCAGACTCACCCGATATACAGTGTCAGGGATGTAGATTGTGAACTGATGGTACGTGTGAAATGTCAGCGCAAATTAGATTTCGTTTAGAGTTCTTCAAAGAAAAGAAAAACACGAATGTTTAACAAATTTCTCTGTTAACCTAATTACAGAAATAATAGCAATAGAAAGGAGTCGTGTCCCATTAAAGACATTTTGAAGTCTTGATGAATGGTATCAGACTAGCATATGTGGTTTAGAATTTAGTCTTCAAATAATGTGTGCTTTTATGTTAAGGTATCTCTGTAATTATGAGTCTGACAAAGCATCTTGCAATTTAATAATATGGCTTTGCTTTCAGAGCATGGTTTTGTTCTGTGAACCTGATGTGTTCCTATGCTTTCCAAATACAGGTTTTGGGTTGATCAGCCAGGAAAACTGCTTGCACAGAGTTCAACATTTTATGGTTCTCATAAATTTTAAGCAAACCTTTGGGTCATATTATGTGTGCATGTGTATATTTAACGGTGAACGGAGTGTTCATGAAAGCGAATTTCTTTTTAAACCACCATACCAGTTGTTGAGTTTATGGATTTATTCAGAACCCTGGGAATGCCTTTTTTCTTCTTAATATACGCTTCAGTGTTTTGTTTCTTGGGAACATGTTGGCTTGCATACTTGTGTAATGTGATATACAATATTTTCTGAATAGATTACCGCCACAGAATTGGATCTAAAATAGTTTAAATGAAACCATGTGAGTTCTACGTATGGCAGTCACTGAAGATCAATGCTTTAAGAATCTGAATACTTTCTGCATACAGCATACGTTTTATATAAGAACTCTCCAAAACATCAAAGAGCGAGTCATAAAAACTAAATCTTTCAGTGGAGTGCTTGGTTTATGATACAGTGGAGTGGAAATTAAAGTATGTAGGGATAAGATCCATCTCTGTTCTGTGGGGACACCATTAAACATACCCTTTTCCTCTAACATACAATCAATAGATCATGGTCCTCCTTGCCTCTCCATTGTGTTCCCCTTTTATCAAGGATGCAGACAACAAGGATATTCTGTATATTTACTATAGTCATGACTAGTAGATTTTGCATATACTATCAAATAATTGTTTTACGTCTTTACAGTATATGCATGGCATTTGCTTGTTGTATCTCCATTTTGCAATGTAAGATCTTAATATATAATGTATATTTTTAGTTTATTATATCCATTAATCCAAAAGAGTAAACCATGGAGTTTATATGTACAAAAGGATTGCACACCAGTGTACCATTTCTTTCCTAATGTAAAAATCTGTGCCACGTATTGTATCTGTGATCCTGCTTTAAACATGTGAGAGCCACATTGCACTGACACTCGTGGGGGTTAATTGTTGAAGTGCAAGCCTTTATTGAAGGGTTGCTATAAAATCTGCATAGATCGAGCTTCCAAGGGTCTGTGTATTTATCAAGTACAATGTGTAAAAGTGCTCTCTGGGTTTGCATTCTCTGTATTTTAACTTTAGAGTGTGCTCGAGCAAATTGTCTGTTCTAGATCGTGCTGAAAATATGAAATGTGTCCATATGGAGCTTGTTTTTCTGCTATTTAATTCCGTTTCCTCTTCCTTCTCCTTTTAGGTGCCCTGTGGATGTGCATAGTTTTAAATCCCCATTGCAAGGCAGAACAGAAGGCCAGTTGGCTGAAACAGCTGAAAAAATGGAACAGTGTTGATGTTTGTCCCTGGGAAGATGGGAACCATGGAAATGAGCTGCCTAATTTAACCAATGCTCTGCCTCAGGCTGGAAATGGCAACCAGGGTAAGTGAAGACAGAGGCCCACAGTCTAGCTTGTAGAAAAAATACCCAGAATGAGCCCTCTAACATCATTTAAAGTATAATTGGGATTCCTTAATTATTTTAAATGCCTTCATTCTGATGCACAATGTGACTTATCTCCTTTGTATATTGTTAAACACAATTATTGCTTATGGTTGTTTTGTAGGTAGTACAACAGTTTTTTAGAGTGACTTTTCTTGTGTAAAAGATTCCATTTCCTGCCACCAGATTCCTCGCACAGGCCTCATCGAACAGTGTTTACACGAGCCATCGAGGCCTGTGATCTCCACTGGCAAGATAGCCACTTGCAGCACATCATTAGCAGTGACCTTTATACCAACTACTGTTACCATGACGACACTGAAAATTCGCTCTTTGACTCCCGTGGGTGGCCTCTGTGGCATGGTAAGTTTTCATGTTGACCATAAATATGTTTCAATGGCTTGCTCCTTTGTTCAATATTCTGTTTAAATACATTTTGGTGGAGCAATAGGTGGATGGAGATATGTGTCTTAATATGCTTTTTTTTTTTTTTTTTAATGTGGGAAGAATCTGATTAACAAACTGTTTTTTCTGTAGAGCACGTCCCAACGGCTTGTGCAAGAGTGGATGCTCTAAGGTCACATGGATACCCACGAGAGGCCCTTCGACTTGCAATAGCCATAGTCAACACACTAAGAAGGCAGCATCAAAAAAGAATGGACATTTTTCGTATTCAAAAGAAAGGTATATACTGTGAGAGTCTCTGTAGATTATGGGAGTGCATTGATGAGGTTGCCCTCCCTTGTCTATCGTAAATTAAGTTTACAACCACCTGGTCTGTCCCTTTGGTAGCTTGAACTCCCCTAATATGATCCACTGGACATTTGCCCTCCCGCCCCCAGACTGCCCTGATAAACACTAAACCTGAGCTGTTAACCTCTTAAGGACACAGCTTCAAAAGCTGTTTGTGTTTAAACGCAATTTCCATCTGTGATTTATTGCACCAACACATATTATATCCGGTTTTTTTTTTTTTATATATATGTCCAGCTTAGAAAAATTAATTCAAAATAAATTAATTTATGTGTCTTGATTTAGAGTACATAATATGCATAGGATTTCAGCTTATTTTGAAAGTTACAGGTCACAAAATACAAGGACTAAAATTAAAATTTTATGTTAGACAATTTTATAAGTTGGTAGGTTTAGTAGCCATCACAGAAAACAAAATTACCACACAAAACTATATATTTATATAAAGTAGACATCACAGGCTATTTACCTATGGTTAGTTTGACACTTTTTACGTAGCCACTTCATCTCCAATCTCTGCTAAATATTGGCGTAAAATTGTGTTTTTTCTTTTTTTCATATACACATATAACAAGGTTTTTGTAATGTGTATTTCGTAAAGCTAGTGAGTGCTATTCATGCACAGAACCCCATATTGTGTTCAGCTACATCTGCTGAGTATAACGATACCCTCATTGTATGCCTTTGGCACTATTCTATGAAACTACAATGTCCTATAAGAACGCTATTTCAGTTTCTATACTTAGAATTTTCGTAGATGGATTTGACGGGCCTATGTCTCATTTTAGGGTATTATAGCAGTGTGACTGTTCAAATAACCTCACAAAGGACTTTCATTTGATAAAGCAGACACCCCAGGGTATCTTATATGGTGTATATTGTGCCTTAACTTTTCACCATTTTTTAACCAATTTATGTCCGTTTGTGGTGAAGGGGAAAAAATTGCATTTTTACATATATGTTGGAGTATTTCTTACACTTGATATGTACCACTGTCATAAAAAAAAACAAATTATGCTCCGTTACATCTTCTGAGTAAAACAATATGCCCAATGTATGACCTAGACACTATTTTGTTTGAGGGTTTTGATGCGTCCGTGTCCCACTTTGGGGCACTTGAGCAGACTACATATTCCAACTACACCATAAAGGCATACCATGTCTTAAAGAAGACATCCCAGGGTAATTCAAACGGTATATTTTGAGCGTTAGCATGGGATAATTTTATTTCTAGTTTTTTCCAGGTGTAGTGGGGATGAGCATTTTTTTAATGTATTTACTTTTTGAAACTTTTTTACTTATTAAATTATTTATAATTTTTTATAAACTTTTTTTTTATTGTTAACTCCTAACTAGCAGTAAGCAGCACTAACAGTAAATTTCCCATAACTTTCACCCACCCCAGCTAGCAAAATATATAATTTTAAAATATTTAAATTAATTAAATAAATGGAACACATGAGGGTTAAAAAAAAGAATAAACGTTAACCGGCAGGGAAGGTGTTAATTTCTATTCGGACTGGGTGTAGGGAGTGGGATTAAAAAAAAAAAAGTAAATGTTATTAAAACATTAAAAAAAAAAAAAATTTTTTAACGTTAACCCCCTAGCTAACCTAACACCAAATTCCCCACTTACTAACACCCACCCACCCCAGCTAGCTAAATATATAATTTTAAAATATTAAAATACAATTTAACCCCTGAGGGGTTAAATCAGATGACCGTAAAATGTAGTCCCTGCCAATTGATCACTGTAGTCAGTGATCATTTGGCATGGAAGGGGTTCATTTTATTTAAGCGAGGGGGGCAGGGGGGTTGGGATTTAACTGTAAGTTTATTTTTATTTTTTTGCAGGGAGATCATCACTGCTGATCCATCTCCCTGCACGTCACACAGAACGCGGAAGCACAGGGAGGCGAATCAGAAGTCCCTGCAGCACGAGATCGATCACAGCTGCAGGGACAGCGTGGTCGGGTGCTCTTGGTCTGCCTCTAATACCAAGGCAGACCGGAGGAGCGTTAACTCCGCGATTGCAACGATCTGGGGTTAACTTTAGTAAATGACGGAAATGTTCCGTCAAGGGTCCTTAACACAAGGACAAGCTTGATGGAAAATTTTCGTCTTTGGTCGGGAAAGGGGTTAAATTAACCCCTGACCAAAGAGAATGATGGGAGCTGTAGTCCAAGGACTGAGGAGGCACAGTTTGCACAGGCCTAAGTGTTGTAAAGTTAACAATAAGCATTGTGTGCATCACAGCATTGATACTTGGCCTCCGTGCCTGACTGTTGGGCAGAATGCTATTGTTCTCCATCTGAATCAAGGAGACTTGCTTTACTGTAGTTTAATATATTTATATTCTGAAGTATCAAAGGGTTACATTTTTTTTTTAAAGTTTTAAAATAATATTTTATCAGCCAGTTTGATGTTTAATGCATCTCTGCACTGCCACCCTATAAATAATCCAGGACATTCATTAGGAAATTCTTCACTTTACATGGAATTGACCGTCCTTTTACTCTGCACAATTCTCTTCCAGCTGACAATGAACAGTCCATAATGGACACAGCATGTTTAATATCGAATTTTTATACATTTTTTTAGTTTCTTTGCCTAACTAATGGTATGACATTGCTTTGTAAAGTGTGTTATTACATTAATAAATATTCAAATGCACTAGAAGGCAATGTTTAATTTATGCACATCAATAATGTCTAAAAGCATTTCCACTGGAATTCAGCCAGTGACTTTGCTCTCTCTCCTGAAGATACATGCATGTGTAGGATGTACAGAGTATGATAACTATGTATAAACCTTATATAACATAGGCATTTGACATTCATAGGTTATGTATCTGAATAAATAGTTGGGTTTATTACAAAATCGGTAAACCAATGATTGTGATTGACCCCTACTACCTTTTAATACAGTTTTAAAATGTCTTGTTACCAATCAGGCCTTAGTCTGAAATTGAATGTTAAATGAAATAACATGTTGGGAGTATGAGCAGGAGCTATTGTTTTTGCTCCACAGTTCTCAGTTGGAGAGAAGGTGTCTCCATAGTACAGTGGAACCTCGGAACTCAAACAGTCCCTTACCCAAACAAACTTGGTAGTCAAACAAAAAATTCGAGAAAAAATGTCTCGGTGCATGATTCTCCGTACACTTACAAATCACGCTGCATTAACCTCCTGTAGATAAACTAATTGCTACCATAACTACTCACAGGTGAGCACTTGCTTATCTTTACAATATCCCAAAAATCCACCACAGACACTCCTCACTTACCAACCGGGTTCTGTTCCTATGACCTGGTCGTAGAACGAATTGGTCGGTAAATGAGGAGTTAAGGTTTACCCTGCTCTGGCGCGTTTGTCTATACACGGGGAAACTTCCCTGAACATATACGAACACACCAGATCAGGGGAACCCTCTAATATATGTTCGGGGAAATTTCCCAGAGCATAGATTAGAGGGATTCCCTGCTCACGTGCGTTCGTCTATGTTCTGGGAAGTTTCCCCGAACATAGACATGCGCACCAGAGCAGGGAATCACCAGGAGGGCTCATGCTTGGTAGTAAGTGCGAGCCATCGTAAAACAGGTAGGTCGCTAAATGAAGACTACCTATATACTCTTTATAGGAGAATAATTGGTGTGATTCAATGGGAATGTTTATGTTGCCTTGTTTAATGGTTTCTGTACATTCTGTCTATGCTTGAGGGATTGGTCCATTAAGCATTATTTATTTTTCACAAGAATAAAAAACAAACAAAAAAAACTCGGACTTGCTATACGTGTAAGGTATGTGAACTGTTCACATGGCATTTTGTGCTGATCACCTGAATGATTAGAACTCCTCCATTGCACTTAGGCTGGCTAAGGGTTGTGCGAGTTGGAAGGGGATAAAAGCTGGGAGTTGACTTCTCTCTGTACTGATTTTTACCACTCTTTCCTGTTTATTGAAACAGAGCTTTTGCACAAAGGTTTGACCTCCATAACAAATTTGGAAGGCTGGGTGGGCCACCCTTTGGATCCTATTGGTACGCTGTTTAGTAGCCTTATGGAAGCATGCCGGGTGGATGAAGAGGGATTCCATGGCTTTTCTGACTTTGCAGGTAACGCATACTTTTTACATGTGGGTGGAGGGGGAGGGAATCACCTTATGTCAAGGCTGTCAAATTTTTCTTCTGACAGAAGTAAACTTGGTAAAACTGTTAATGTTTTAGTGCCATATCCTCTAATCAAATAATTCTGCCACAAATGAGTCTCATTGCTCAGCACACAGAGTACAGCATGCCACGATTTCAATAAATAACTTTGGATACCCACTGTTAGTAATGAATGATTGATAGTGTTCCAGCAGCAGTGTTTATTAAGTTCTAAGTAGGTATTATTGAGATTTGTCATGAGGCATTGTGCAGGGCTTTTATGTTGCAGTCTGCACAGTTTCCACCAGGAAATTAAATTCCTTTATTTTGATTTCTCTATAGTGCTTAGACTATCCCAAATTACAAAATGTAAATCATACAGCCAGCCTTTTTTATTTTATTTTTTTTTTAATTCCAACTGATATGAAAAGCCATTGTTGTGTTATACTGCACTTTTGTTGTATTTTTTCAAGACAAATCAATCTACCCATGTTCCTTAAAAAAAAAAAAAAAACACTCTTATTTTAACTCTAAATGTGAAAAATATTATTTAACGTATGTGGTTAGAGTGCATTTCCTAGAAGATCACTAAGAGTTCAATGATTCTCAATGCCAGATTCTCAACCTTCTAATATGCTGCTTTCTTTCATTCCCCCCCCTTTTTTAATGTTTTAATTCTTCAATGCTTCCCACAGCTGATATTTCCAAAGCTAACTAACCCATAGAACAAAACTGGACCAAACGACTTTGTCTTTTCATTAACTGATCTTTCAGCAGTTCGGATGTTATTGCATTGTATGTGAAACGGAGTACCAGTAAAAGCACCCCAATAAAGGTTTTTACATAGTAATGATTGAAAAAAATTCTAAACTAGGAACATTGTCATTACTTTCTTTAATGCAGGATGTGATTCTGTCACATGGGCCGTGTAAAGAGCAATAGCATTTAAATATGTTATGTGCACATTTCCTCATCCATTATGCAAATCTAACTTTTCCCATGATTTGTACTGTTCCAGAGTTGTCTAAACTTGGGAAATGAGGCCCCGTGGGATTCATCTTGGAATTTTTTTCAGGGGGGGTTGCCTTTGAGATGAGATTGCAGTCACGGAAAGCGAAAGTTGATTTGTATAAAATTACATTGTGGTGCCTTTCTGAAGGAAATTGTAATGTCATAGTGTCATTTTATCGCCTACGCAATTCGGCAAAAGTTGAAAGACAGCACAGTGAGCTGAGAAGGACAAAAGGAGACAGTGTGCTTTGGGCACAGTAGAAATTAATTGCTAGCCTCCAAAATCCAAATATTTATTTCAGTTCTCTTAACAGTGCTTCTTTTATGTCTGTTTTACAGATGGGTTTGGGCATTGCAAATCTATGGAATACCAACATCTGCCTCCCCACAAATTCCTAGAAGAAGGGGAATCCTACCTAACGCTGGCTGTGGAGGTTGCCTTGATTGGCCTGGGACAGCAGCGAATAATGCCAGATGGCTTGTATGCACAAGAGAAAGTTTGTCGGAATGAGGAGCAACTTATTTCTAAGCTGCAAGAAATTGAATTAGATGAAACGCTGGTAAAAATCTTTCGAAAGCAAGCGGTCTTCCTCTTAGAAGGTATGTAAGCTGTGTCAGATGTCTGCAGTTCAAGGTTAGGCTGCAAACAGCATTTGTGTTTTATTGTACAAGTATGCTTTAGTTTGTATTTACTAGAAAGTCATTGCAATTGGTATTTTTTTTTAATAATCATTTAACCTCTCTCTGTATAATTGTATATTTCCATCTGAAACCTGTATGTTTATATGTATGTGTAAAGATACAGTGTGATTCATATATCAATCTTTACATAAAGCTTATTTTGATGCTGGTGATTTGATTTTTTTTTTAGTGACACAATGTTATAATTCCTGTTTATCCTCTCATGAAAAAGTAATGATGCACTTTTCTCCATTTAGCTGGCCCATACAGTGGTTTGGGCGAAATTATCCATCGAGAGAGTATTCCAATGCACACATTTGCCAAGTATCTCTTCACCTCCCTCCTACCTCATGATGCTGAATTGGCATACAAAATTGCACTGAGAGCAATGAGGTATGTATTACTTTGTTGGTCTTCCTAGCACCGCATGTTTTCCATGAGCCATGCTTGTGTGAGGCAATATCATTTGCAGACAACGCCCAAAATGTCTCCTACGGGAGGAAGGATACAGGGGATAATGTGACCCATCACCATACTGACACATTCATTTTAGAATGGAATATTTTTCTTTTGCTATTCTTGGACACATGAATATTGAAAGTAATGTTTAATTACAAGGCAGCTCTGTTTCTGTATCCTTCTTTATACGTTCCAAGTACACTCACAGTCAAATGGATCTAATTTAGGACTTTGATCTGATCCCTAACAATTCTGAATTTAAACTTATTTAGGGAAATTCATTGAGTGTACTTTGTGTATGTGTGTGCTTATGTGTACAAAGGCTGGTTTTTTTTGTTAAGTTTTTTTTTGCATCATCTTCAAGTCAGACCCTTTATCTCCATGTGAGAGAGAACAATGTTGGCTTCACCTTCTGTCTGCCCAGTTCTTCCTTTATGGATGGACCCCCCTCCGTCCGTTGTAGTATACTTCATTTGTCTTGTGAGTGCAGTAATGATTATAGATGCAGCAACACCAACCTGAAATAGAGTATGCTCATTGACCCATCTTTTTACATGGGATATACAATTTCCGTTTGGTTTTTGGTTTTTTGAGACCAACCTAATAGGTTTTAGGACTTTTATAATTTTATCTTCTCTAATTCCCTACAGATGTTCCTACCTTGTTCATTTGTATTGTTATTCCTTTTTCTGATTATAAATATAAAAGCAACTATATATGTTTGTCAAATATTATGTGTGTGTGTGTAAAAAAACAGATAACATTTGTATCTGGTAATACCTTTTTAATGGACTAACAGAATTCTTTAATGACAAGCTCCCGAAAGCTTGTCATTAAAAAAAATTCCACTTGTCCAATAAAAAAAAGGTATTACAAGATACAAATGTTATCTGTTTTTACATCTACATCACTGGACTAATACGGCTACAATCTCTACTTGAAATATAGAGATTGATATATAGATAACAGCAACTAGATGCATACTGTACTTGCAAAAACAGAATATTCAAGGATATCATTTTTCATTGTATGGTAAATGCTTCTTGATCCAAGGATTAATCTGCCATTCTGGCGGCAAGGAGGAGTTATTTTTCCTAGTTTGTTGCAAAATCAGAAGTGCTTCAAACGGTTTTTTGTTTTTTTTTCCTTCTTTGGGATCAACAGCAAAAAGCAAATGTGAGGAAGGCTGAATGTGATGGACACATGTCTATTTTCAGCCTATGTAACTGTGTGTATGTGTGTATTACACATATCTGCAGACAGGTATAGATTTGATATGTCTACTATTTTTGTGAGTGCTTACCTAAGGTGGAAGATAGCATTTTACGTCACATTATTGCACCAGAATATTTTGTACAGCTGGCGTTCTTTGTTTTATGTTTTATATATATTCCCCAAAACTGGTTATGTTATATACAGGAACTAAACACTTAGAGTGATGGGCGTTGTAATTACATAGCTGAAGAGTTACTGATGGGCAGCCATGTTAATTATAATGCATCTACTTTTCCACTGCCTCATATTATGATTATTTCATTGAAAGAATACGTTGCTGTGGCCAGGTCTTGATGTATTAAGCCCTTGAAGGGCTTTGCAGAGTGAAGCATCGGTAGAACCATCTACTTTCATTATATCGATTTTTGTACTACTGATTTTTATTTTATTTTTTTTCCTCTTTCATCTGACCCTCTGGTAATAAGCTGTGTGACCTTATTGGCAGGAACATCAGGGGTGGTCAATAAGTGCTGAAAGCAGCATAGTGGGTACAATAAACTGTGAGGCACCTGGGGAAATTGCTTTGTTTATTAAGTTTAGTCCATTGGCTGACCTTTAAATAATGGTTTCTCTGCCAGTGCTAAAATGGGTTTTGTTCATACAGGTTGCTAGTGCTGGAGACCACGGCTCCGACAGGAGATATGTCCCGCCCACACCACATTGCCTCAGTTGTTACTAACCGTTATCCCCGCTGGTTTACCCTAAGTCATATTGAGAGTCAACAGTGTGAGCTGGCGTCTACTATGTTGACAGCAGCCAAAGGTAAGCTTTTTTTTATTTTATTTTTTTAAAGTTAACCTTCATACTTATTTACTTCTTACTTGCTTTATTGTTTGATTTGTTTTTTGATAGTTGGCTATAAATAGATGGATTTTCATTAAGTATCCTTTAAAGCACAGATTGCCGAGGTAGATCCCAAGATTTAATTTTAAGAAAATAATCTTTTTGCCGAATTTGACTAAGGCTTCATTCATACGTCTTAACATAGCAGTTCCACATGCAATGATTTTTCATTGTGCAGATTGTTTTTCTTTTTTCAATGACTGTGCCAACATCTTGTTTGCTTTAAAAAAATATATATATTTTTTGTTTGTTCGCAGGTGATGTTAGGAGACTGGAGACAGTGTTAGAGTCCATCCAGAAGAACATCCACTCCTCATCACACATATTTAAACTTGCACAAGATGCATTTAAAATAGCAACGTTAATGGACAGCTTACCAGACATAACACTTCTCAAAGTATCTCTGGAACTAGGCCTTCAGGTTAGTATGCTGCATTCATTCTACCATTTAAATATTGTGCTCCTTGAGAATCAAGTGCTAATTTTTCTGCAGTTTGTTTTTGAGTATTTTAGAAAAATATTTTACATTCATCGTTCGGTATGTGTAACGTTTTAAAGGATGTTTGTGGTCAAAATTCTGTTATTAACAACCCTAAATATGGAGGTTCTCAAAACTACTGTGTCGTGCATCACAAAAAAAAAACCATATATATATTATATGTTATACTGAGCTAGGGGTTCATTTAAACTGCTAGGCTTCTCCATTTACTGCAGTAAGTATGCATGTGAACTTGTCATGTCATTGTAGGAACGTGTTCTAAGTTGATTCGTGACTCATCACGTATATTAGATGTCATGTCTCCTGGTACCTAAACTTACCCCATTTAAAGTTCTCTGTGAGTGATGAGCGTTAATAAAGCAATGGTAAAGATGGACAACCTTTTACATATCCAGATGACAAAGGATTACTTTTTCCATGATTCCTTGCCTGACTATGGCCTGAACCAGGGATGGACAAATTATAGCTCCCCTATTTGTTGCAATACTACAGCCCTTATGTTGCTTTACCAATCACATGGTGTCCTGGGAATTGAAAATCTCAAACAGCTGGTTATCTTCTTCCTGGTCGACCCTGGGATAAACTGAATTTCAACTTCCAGTAAAACAAAAAAAAAGTTAAATTACAGGGATCTGTATAAAAGACAGCAGTAGTTTAGTTTTATTATGGAAGTACATTTTTTATTTTATTTTATAAATTTATATATATATATATATGTGGCCTTTGAACACAGAAATATCAATACCAGCCGAGGACATGGTGGAAAGTATCCAACCTCTAATTGTATCATGGGTGCATGAAGATATACTTGGCCATAATGCCCTGTTGCATTTAATTGACCAAGTGGAAATGTTTGTTATATGGTTGCCCTTTGTTAATGAGTATATCACTGTTGCATGCTTTTCTGTTTTGTAGGTAATGCGAATGACGTTGTCCACATTAAATTGGAGACGGCGTGAAATGGTTAGATGGTTGGTAACATGTGCAACTGAAGTAGGTATGTATGAACCATGTTTTCTTATATTTACCTTTGGTGATTTATTATCACTTGCATAAAAGTTTACATTTCAATGTATAGTTAGATACTAGATTAAATAGATATATATTTAAATACTCTTTAGTTATCACTTAATTTGTATGTCAATAAAACTTATTTCGCTTCCCTTTAGTTGAATTGTGTATTTGATATCTTTAACTGTTAAAACACATTATCTATGACTTTAATATTGTGTATTAAGTTTTTTAGTATGTTATGACTCCCCCTCCCCCTGCAGCATGTAGAGTTTATTGTGAAATGTATAGGTTGTTCAAAATTATTAGCTTCCACTGCTGTGTGTAACTAGATTGCTGCATGAGGTTAATAATCAGTCAAGAAGAAAAGACTAATAATCTTCCTAAGCCTTACAGAATTATGGGAAGTAAAATAGTAACCGTGGTCACACAGTATTGAAAAAAATAGACAGAATCAACAGACACATTGTATTACTCAAAAAATGAATGGATGTGGTGCAAAAATGTAGTATATTCAGCATAATTGAACCGTTTACAAAGTGCTACAATGAACTTTGAAGGCCCTTAGTTATATAGGCATGTAGTTATTTAATATAGATAATGGAACATGCATGTAAAATTATAGTCCGTAGAACAAATTGTGTATTTATGATATTTCTCTCTATCTAGGTGTATATGCACTGGACAGCATCATGCAAAGTTGGTTTACGCTCTTCACTCCTACAGAGGCCACTAGTATTGTTGCAACAACAGTAATGTCAAACAGCACCATTGTCCGCTTGCACCTGGACTGCCATCAACAAGAAAAACTGGCAGGCAGTGCTAGGACGCTTGCACTCCAGTGTGCTATGAAGGACCCTCAAAACTGTGCCCTTTCAGCACTTACCTTATGTGAAAAGGATCACATAGCTTTCGAGACCGCTTACCAAATTGTACTGGATGCTGCTACGACTGGCATGAGCTACACACAGCTTTTCACAATAGCACGGTACATGGAGCACCGTGGTTACCCTATGAGGGCATACAAACTGGCAACGTTGGCCATGACGCATCTTAACCTGAGTTATAACCAGGATACTCACCCTGCCATTAATGATGTTTTGTGGGCATGTGCTCTCAGCCACTCCCTTGGGAAAAATGAGCTAGCAGCGATAATACCTCTTGTAGTCACAAGTGTCAAATGTGCAACAGTACTTTCAGACATTTTGCGCAGGTGCACTTTGACAACTCCTGGGATGGTAGGACTTCATGGAAGGAGGAACTCTGGAAAGCTCATGTCACTGGACAAATCCCCTTTGAGACAGCTTTTGGATGCCACAATTGGGGCCTACATAAACACAACACATTCACGGCTTACACACATCAGCCCTAGACACTACAGTGAATTTATAGAATTTCTTAGCAAGGCCCGAGAGACCTTCTTAATGGCTCATGATGGACACATTCAGTTTACACAGTTCATTGACAACCTAAAACAAATCTACAAAGGCAAAAAGAAACTGATGATGTTGGTTCGGGAACGGTTTGGTTGATGACAATGTGTGAATGGGGTGGGGCGGGGAGGGAGGGGAAGGTTTGTTTTTACTTGAGCCTGCCTTTGTATCCTTTTTAACTTAAGAAAAAAAAATGTCAAAACAATACAAAAAAAAAGAGCCACACCGGTATTATATGTACAGTTATATTGCGTTTGCAAACTAAGTTGTCATGTTGTGAAAGTTTGTGTATCTCGATTTTCCTTATTTTTTTGTTTTTCCAGTTATGTGTGTATGAAAGAAGAGAAGTTCAATGTTTGGTTTACACTGAGTATATGTTGTCAAGTGGCAAAAGCCCACATAGCTCTCCTGTTCCTTCTGTATATGTTCACAGCCTCAAAGGAAAAATCCAATGGCTTTAAAAGAATTCTGAAAAAAAAAATGGAAAAAAAAAAATCTTTTTTAAAAAAACAACACAAAAACCAAACTACAAAAAAACACCTCCATCTTGTGACAAGTACCTCGAATGGATCCAGCTTTACTCCTATATCTCATCCTTACACTTTACATTTCAATGTATTTAATACAAGAAAACCCCTAAAATGACAATATTAGTAAACAAAAAGGCTGATTCCGTGGCTTTTGCAATGCTGTTCATCTAGAAGCATGGCACACAACGCTTGTGCACGTGGAAACTTAGCGGCTGTCAACATACATTCTCAGGGATTATCAAGAAAAAAAAAGAAAAAAAAGAATGAGAGCATTTATTGTACTGTATATATATTATAGTATATGTCTGAATATTGAAAACAAAGTATAACAATAACTAATTTATAAAAAAAAAAAAATATTCTATGTAATGCAAAATACTTGAAGCTGCAGTAGCTTGGTTTTTAAATGAACTAAACCGAAAAGGAAAAACATATCAAGAAGTGAGAAGTGAGCCTTGCTTCAGTGTTGGCTCAGGTGGTGAACATATGTGCTGGGCATCTATGCAGAGCCACCGTGTTAGACTGCATGGCTGGGCTAATACCTGTTAGAAAATAAATGACACTTTTTAGCCTTGATCTATACATCTGTAGGAATAATTACATAAATATGCGCACACTTGGCATGAAGATTTAAGGGATACAACTACACAGCCAGAGCAGCGGGCCTTAGCATTAAAACATATAATATGCCACAGTAGGGATTTGTGCCTCCCTTGCAGATAGAACTTCCAAGATCCTTTTACAATAGCCAAGAAAATGTAATCCAAATCAATTGACTTAATACATTGCACCTTGGCAGTGGGCTAACAATAAGCTAAACATTGTGCACAAATAATATATATAGATATATATATATATTTCTGCATAGGTATTTTGACTTTGTGCAGGGCAGAAAGTTGTGTAGGTATGACTGTTCAACTTTTCAGTTTAGTTTCTTTTTTGTTTTACTTTTATTTCTTTGTTTTATTTCTCTAGATTTACTCAAAGCAAAACAGCCTTCTATCTTGCCTTGTCTTAATGCTTTAAAATAACCAAACTGGAGATCTAACTACCAAACTGTTCATTATATAATTAAATACCAACTTATTGGTTCCAATATTGTGTCTTTAATTTTAGCTGAATGGTTCCTGTATCCTTGTGCTTTTTAAAGAGCCGTTTTTATGTTTTTGGTGCAAAAGTTGTCTCGTGTCTCTTCCCTTAATTAGAGAACATGCTATAGGTATGTTTGTAAGTATTTTTGTTTAGGAAAAAAATGTTCATGCTCTTCATTTTATTTATTATACTAGGTAAAAGAAAGTTGTACTTCATCACCCCATGTAAACATGCTCATGAAGTTGAAAGTAATTAAGATTTGATACACTGATATCAATTTATTTATGTAACTAAATCACTGTTTTATAAACTTGTTAATGATCAACAATTTTTTTGTTTTGATTAAAATTAGTTTTTTGAAACTTGATTCTGTTTCCTTTTAGCTGTCTGGTATTGTTGTTTTAATCTATTCAGAAATGTTTTTTTGTTTTGTGTGGGTTTTCTTTTTTTTCAAGCAAACATAGCAAATTGATAATATATGCACTAATATGAGTATAACAAGTACACCAGCATTAAAGGGACACTATAGTCACCAGAACAACTACAGCTTATTGGATTTGTTCTGGTGAGTAGAATCATTACCTTCAGGGTTTTTGCTGTAAACACTGTCTTTTCAGAGAAAATGCAGTGTTTACATTACAGTCTAGTTATAACTTCACTGGCCACTCCTCAGATAGCTGTTAGAGATCCTTCCTGTGTCATGGCTGCCTAAAATGCATCCAAACATTCAGTGTCTCCTCCCTCTGCATGCAGACACTGAACTTTCCTTATAGAGATTCATTGATTTAATTCATCTCTATGAGGAAATGCTAATTGGCCAGGGCTGTGTTTGAATCATGCTGGCTCTGCCCCTGATCTGCCTCTTTGTCAGTTTTGGCCAATCCTATGGGGAAGCACTGTAATTGGATCAGGCTACCACTTCTGATATCAGCAGACTGCATGCTGTTTGCCTCAGAAAAACAAGCAAAGTTACAGCTTCAGGCTTGAATACAGTAAGATTTTGCAATATCTATGGAGGCATGAGGGGCTCAAGGGGGCTAGATAGTGGTTTTAACACTAGTGTCAGGAATATGTGTTTGTGTTCCTGACCCTATAGTGATCCTTTAAGCACTATAAAAAAAAAAAGTGAACTACACAGTAATTCAAATGATCGTTTGTGTATTTGATCTTTCTTCGTGACCACCAAATCCTGCACTATCCAAACTAGACAGCCTTTTAACTTATTTCTTAGTACCAGAATGCCTCATATTTTACTTTTAATATTCAATTGAAAAATTTTGTGATAAAATCACCAGGGTTAGCCAGCTCTCCCTTTTACATTTATTTTCATGGGTGCCTCAAGTATAACAGATGTGTGGTGACCCCTTGTCCACACCATGTGTGGTGGAGAGTTATAAGGAAGGCTTAACAATTTACCTCTGCCCTGTCCTTCACCTTATTGCTGTGGGTTTGGAGATTGTGATTAATGATGGGCTAGACCAGGCATAGGCAAACTTTGGCACTCCAGATGTTTTGGACTACACCTCCCATGACTCTTTGTCAGCATTATGCGTGTAAGAGCATTATGGTGTAGTCCACAACATCTGGAGTGCTGAAGGTTGCCTATTCCTGGGCTAAATTATTAGAGGACCAGAGTCCTAGTACTTTCTTTGGGACCCTCTGGCCCTAATAATAAAATTATATCTCAGCCCTCTTCTGGACATTGAAGCTCCTTATCTGGATTCATTTTCTGTTGCATCTTGTCATGGTAGGTATCAGATATGTACCTATTTTCTTGATGTTATATGTGTTAGATTGTACTATTGCTGCCCACCTTGATAAATGTGTTTGTGAAAACGGGAACCAAGTCCTGTTGGGAACCAAGCAACACCTAGATCCATGGCCTTAAAGTAAATATTACCCTCTAAACCCCATTTGCCACAAATCCAACCAACCTTCATTTTTAATAAATATTAGTGGGCTAACCCATGTTTAAAAAAAACCCATAAATGTCAACATTGTGATAAAAGCCTATGTATTAATAAAATAAGCCAAACAAGAATATAAACACACTGTAATGAAAATAAATCAATCCACAGCCTCAAACCATATTACAGAAATGGTTTCAAAATGAACTGTTGCTAAATTGGCAAGAACATTTTATGCCTGCTGCCTACTGAGCAGCCATATCCCCCTTTCTGATTTATTTTCAAAGCCAATCAGAAAGCCAGACTAGTGGAAGTGACTTTATCTGTAATTGGTTTTGTGAGATGTAACCACACAAAAATAAACAGTCAAACATGCATTTTCTTGTACTGGATATATGGTGCTTTAGTGTATTACACTCCCTCTCCCCCCCCCTTGTTTCTATAATATCTTATGTGATGTTCATTGTTGGACGTAGCAGCCACATAACTTGTCCTTCCTATAAACTCCAAGTCCGATTTTGACTTTTACACATGTGATCCCACGTTCCAGCATTCAGAAAGACCGGTCATGTCGCCAGTCAAGACGATGTAATAGGTTCGTCTGGGCCCATGTATGTAAGATATCACTATCCCTTTAAAACCTCCTTCAGATTGAGAAGGTTCCTCTATTGGGGGACAAGATACCAGGCATGTGTACACTTGCTACTGAAAATAGAAATTAAAGCAGCCTCACTTTAATATGCAGTGCTTACATGTTCTGGGTCCTTCTGACCATAAACCATGCCAAAAGTACTGTGATTACCTGGACTTTAAATTAACTTTTGAATTTGCTGCTTTTCCCGTAGTACTCTCTTAGAGCTCAAATCATTGTGGACCTTGCAGCCTGCCCAGATATTGGTTGATGAGCTTTTCCCAATTTAATTTAATTTTCTAGTAATTTAGATATCGTCTGCTACTATTTGTTTAATTTGACATCTCACCCGATGCTTTGCCACCATTATGGGAAATATTGTCCACAACATCTGGAATAGTGAAGGTTGCCACTTGATCTACACCTTTAAGCTTTTTGTGCTCGGGGACTTCTGGCTGAGTTGAGCGTAGATGCAAAGCAATTGAATCATCTGCTACTTCGCAGGATTTGTTTTTGTTTTAATAGGTCTTTTTTGTTGATTATTGATACAAGTGACCCCTGTCAGCAGTTGGTCTTAAAATGGCAATCCCACTTTGACTACTCATACATACATACATACATACATACATACATAAATACACACACACACTCATACACACATATAAGTGTTTTTTTTTTTTTTTTAAATATCTCCAGCCACCCTCCTGTTCCCTCCAGCTTACTTTATGTGCCAGGAAGGGTGGCTTGGAGTCCTCCTACTGCTGTGTGAGTGAGGGGTTTGGAGCTCTTTGTGCTCCACTCACGCTGCGGCTGCTTCCCCCCACAGCGTCTCCTGCAGGATGCTTGGAGGAAGTGACAGGCTGGATTTTTCTCCCAGCCGGCCAACATCACAGGCACCCGATTGCTGTCCTAAAGGACCATGGCACCCGACCGGGCCCCTGTTCAGTAGTAATGTGCACTCCTGTGTGCACGGGCATCGCGGCACACAGTTTGAGAACCGTTGCTTTAGAGGGTTCTACATCCATTGACCTCTAGGTTGTGGATGAATACTGTGCTCAATGACCAGCCCTCATACACTCTTAATTTAATCACAGAAACCTTTATCATCCCTGCCAAACATGAGTCAATGGATAGAAACCCCTCTAATATCTCTGTGGATTAATCCACAGATGTGCTGCATGATGCAGCTTTATGTGACTTCGGGTCACCAGACGGAATGGGCACCCCAATGAACATAATAAAATTAAATCCTTATAGTCAGAAAATGAACATATTGCTCAACTCTGCAAAAAGTGGTTGCTTAAATCGCTGGAGAAGGAAATACAGACTAAACTCATGCCCACGCCATCCTCAACAAAGTGTCTCTCACACCAAAATTGTACCTGTTATTGGTTACTTATCACGGCACTTCTGGCAAGGGCTTTGAGCAAGGCATCTCAGGATAAGATGCTGGATGATTTTGCGGTCCCGCTCATCCAGAATTGTATTGTTGCGGATGAGGCTCTATCAGAAGGAACTTTGGACCTTAAACAAGCTAAAGTGTGTTTTAATAATCTGTTAAGTGCAATGTGAATATATATATAATGCAAAATGAATGTGATGAAAAAATGCAATAAAAAGTGTCAAAACTAAGTGATTTGATATATTTACTCTTAATGCGTATCCTATATCTGCTCTATACCAAATGAAAATTCTAATTAAGGTGATATTACAATCCAAAACCACCTCAAATTTATACTTTCCGGTGGTCACCTCCAAACGGTCATCTGAAGCAGAGAGGTTGGGCGAGGTGCTCAACCCAACACATATACCTACCGATTGACAACTTCTCAACTGTGCGTTAGTCTGGGTGGATCACGCTCCAAACTTCTCTCGGATCTGACCATCAATTTTGTTTGGCAAAAATCTTTCTCTGAGAATGGAATACCTTCCTGATTCAGAGAATCTTGTCACAGACTGGTTCTCCAATCACTGGAGAGACGTGAGCGATTGGCAATTAGACCCTCTGGTGTTCCAAGGCATATAACTTCTTCGGAGTCTTCTTATGTAGGACCTTTTTGCTTCCCCCCCTCGGACCAACTGACCAACACGTTCTTCAGACAGCTTTCAGATCCGTTGTTTATGCCATACTCCTTACATGGCCGTTAGAGGGGGCATACGCCTTCCCTCCATTCTCCATGATGCAACAGACGCTCCATCACATAAAAGCTGAATGGGTCCAGATAGTCCTCATAACTCCCCTATGGCGAGCCCAACAGTGGTTTCCAATCTTCCTGACGCAATACCCACTTCTCTTACCACTGTCCGTGGGTCTTCTCTGAGACTCCGTACAGAATTTTCATCACCTAGCTCTTCAAGGTCACCTACATCTTGTAGACTGGACCGTTTCAGATGATCCTGGAATGTCTCCGGATTCGGCTCAGAATCTGCTCTGGGATTCCTGGGCTCCGGGCACCATCCTACCTTTTGGCTTGGAATGTCTGGGTTAGCTAATGTGTGGGAAGGGATATTGATCCCTTTCCTGCTTCTTTAATTTCCTTCGTGAATTTTTTCATTTTCAATCAGGGCTAGTCATATAAAGCCAGCAACATTTTTCGCTCTCCCATTTCAGCTGTGCATATCCCTATTGGTGATTAGTCAATTGCTAAACACTCTTCTATCTGCAGGCTTCTGCTTGGTATTCAACTCGCAAGACCTCCGAAACCTAGATGTCACGGTTGCATTTCATTTTCTAGAATCCTTGCCAGATAGATCAGCTCTTTCTTTGCATCAACTTTCTGCAAAACTGGCTTTGCCCCTGTGCCTAGTCTCTTTCTGGAGAGTCTCCTA